TTCTTCCCTATTTTAGGTCTTTTTTTATTAGTGCCAATTGAACAATATGGATATTTTTTTGTATGGCGTATGTCTGGGCGTATGACGTCACAGGTGGTATGCGCAAACTTAACGAAATTGGAGCCGCTATCGATCATACCTTGTTTTCTTTGTACCATGTTATATACCCATGGCGATGGTTTCTGGAATTTTCTAAAGAATTCTGTAATTTTCTTTTACTTTCTGGCGAATTCACCAGGTTCCTCAATGCACGTTGCGGTTATGCAACCAGTAATACACCTTGACCTTAACAATACATTATTAAATTAAACGATGAATTTGCTTTTGCCAGACATTTTTTGTGCGACAAAAAACTAAAAACAAGGATTTTAAGACAAAAATATTATTACATATATATTATTTTAAGACAAAAAAATTATTATTATATATTACAACCTAATCGAAACATTTCAGGAAACGGCTAGTGCCATCACATTAGAAACACATGTAATAAAGCCATATAAAATATATAGGTTTCGATAATGTTTCCTATTTGTGCCAAGAAACCAGACAATTATTAGAAACATTACCTAAAATGTGTCCAAAAATGCTACTAGGGTTGAAGCTGTAAAAAAATCAAACTTCTAAGTTAACGTAAAAAAAGATACGGCCGTATGTATATGCTGCAAAAAACGTATATTTCGACACTCTCAAAGGAATCAATATTTACAGGGTATTTACCAATACAAAATATAGTCTTGATTAAAAGTATGTAATCGCTTATCGAGGTTAAGCAACGGTATGCGCAGTCATAATTGTATGGGTGACCAAATCTTTTTGTAGATTTTTTAAACGAACTTTTACGTTTTTTACTAATGCTAGAACTAAAAATACATCTAAATGAATAACTTTAAAATTAACAAATTAAAATTTATAGAATTTTATGCATTATTTCTGTCATACATTATTATCAAAATAAAATACCTTAAATATAAATACTATATAATATACTAAGTGTATATATGTACAATTTTTAATTAAGAAATAACTTTTTTTTTGGATGTCTAAAATTAATATACAGCAGTGGCGGCTAGTGACCCGTGGGACTGGTTTGGTTTTAATTAAATTTACAAAGAAAAACAGATTCTCTTATTCATATACATATACAGGGTTGTTCACCACATACGACACGGAGTATTGCAGCTAAACAATTAGATTTTTACAAATTGTAAGTTTTGGGTTCGTTGAAGGACTATTAGAGCTACAATTTAAAACTATTTTTACAAGATACAGAGTGTCCCAAATAAAAAAAAATATCAAAGTTGTATTTTTTTAAATGGAACACCCTGTATATTATTACATTTTTAGTTTCTATGATAAAAATTTTTGCTTGTTCTAAAATGGTTAATCCCGTTTATACTTCTCCAATTTTCCACACCGTTTTAGAGAAAACTAAGAAAAACCATAATAATTTTAATTACCATAATATTTTTTATAATATACAATAATACAAATAATATATATAGGGTTGAATTTAAAATAACAAACATCTAAACAATTTTATAACAAACGGAAATAAATAATATTTTTGCTCTCCCTGTGTAATATCCAATGGGTTTATTTAGACAGATCGAATATTATCGATTTCCGTAAATTTATAATCCAAATTTCAACTTTAAAAATGTTTAATTCATGGTTTTACCAATGCTTATTCACAATCATGTTTTTGTCAATTTTACACATGTTTTATTTTTTATCTCAAAAACTATTAGAATAGGTATAGGTTAGTATAATAGAAAAATTATGGGATATGAAAGTAGTTTTCAAAAGTGTAATAATATACCGAGTGTTCTATTTAAAATAAGAAAAATGCTGCCAATTTTTGAAATGATGCTGCAACACTGTAACGCTGAAAATATTTTAGAAAGATGGAGAAGGTGCCTTTATGTAAAAATCCAAATTTTCATAAAAATTCTATCACCAGTTCTCCATAAACGTCTAAAGCTGCGTATAAATATGTCGAGACGAGTGCGAGAGACACCCGAGACGAGTCAACCTCAAGCGGATTTGAGGTTGACTCGTCATATTGGGACGGGGTCTGAGCTTCGAGCCGAGCCTATGCCCAGCCGGACGGCGTTGTCTCCGTTTTTTCTGGAGCCTTTGGCTAACCATCAAAAGGATTGGGGCGTCTATTTAACCAGTGGCGTATACACCGCGGCTCCGCGGAACAATTGCCTCGAGTCTCAAGGGGCTCGGATTCCACTTCGATTCGATATAGAAAAATCTAGAAATTTAAACTATCCAGACTACTAAGAAACTTAATTTATGGCAAATATGAAAATAATAAAGTTCCCGCCATAGAAATAATTAAAAAAAACTCTCCGAGCTTAAAAAAACCCTGTTCAGAAAGCACATTACGGTGAAGGTTTAAAAAACTGGGAATTAGATTTAAAATTATATACATATTAATAATTTAAAAATTATTAATAAGCGTGCTGCAATGATTGAAAGCCATAGAATAAAATGTGGCGAATTGAATACCTTGAAAAAATATACAACTTTAGAAATGAAGAAATGCAGATATATTATTTACAATATATGTTCCAGGTTAGTTATTGGCATTTAAATGTAGATTTTTTTAAATTAATAATTTAAATCTTAATTACTTAAATTTCTAATTTTTTAAATAAATAAAGTCGAATTAAGTTTTATCTTACAGCGCTTTCAGATGGAACGGAGCGTCCGCGACGGACCGTCCGCGACTTCGAGCAAGTACCAGGAGCTTATATGAACAATTTCACCGGGGTCGCGTATGCTCCGTCCGGATGGGCTATCTTGTAAAAACATCCGTGCGGACGCTCTGCGCGTACCATCCCGCGCGTACCAGCGCTCCATCTGAAAGCGCTGTTTATAGAAATTTATAGATATACAAACTATAGAAATTTTTTTATAGATATACAAACCACATACAAAATATATTATTGAATAAAATAATTAAAGACTCAAAAAAATGGCAATGGCAGAAGGCTCCGCCGCCGCCGCTGCCGTGCCGTTATCTCCAGGTAGCTCAGTCGGCGTTCTCCAGTTTTTTTTTATGTAAACAGTCCCAATATAATTTAAATTTATCATGAATTCCTTTAATTTATCTAGCTTGTTTTTTTACCTATTTTGAAATTAAACAAACATATACAGGGTGTTTCTAAAAACATGTTCCATCTCTCGTGGGGAAGTTCCTCACGTAAAAATAAGATTTATTTTTTATATCAACCAATCCAATTCTGCTTTGATTCGTAGCTACAGGGGGTTAAAATAGAGTTCGCAACCGTCCTCCATTCCAGAAACAGTCCTCTTTTGATCTGATTGTCCTCTTTTCTCTCACGTATTGAAAACTTTGTTGCATACCAACTTTAAAATCTAAAAAATATTCGTTTATCGCCACAATGCTTTAAAGAATTGTTAATCTGTGTCTTTTATGTAATTTTATGTTTACTTACTGTTAGTTTATGTCTTGAAAAAAAGTTTTGTTGACAATGGTTTGCTTTATTTTAAGTTTTGAGTATAAATATTTTTGTTTGTTTTAAATATTTATCGCATACCGTTTATATAACTTTTTGGTAAATTCTCGACATTTGAGCGACGTTTCAAAAATGTTTCGCCTGTGCCTCTTTTTATCCTCTCGCCCCTATTTTTTATTTTCAAAGTTGCCAACCCTAGGTTAAGTGTTTTATCATTTTCTTCCAAGTGCTTTTAGTAATTTGAGATCGTTTGATGACTGATTTAGTTCTGATCCGGGTAGTTTTTTGTATAAAACAGTGCCACCATCGTCGATTTTTTTCGTTAAATGCGAATAAGAAAATATCCTGATTATATTCTGGCCCTATCCCTTATTATTTTTATTTACAAGCGATCTTAAGTTTATAACATATACATATATTTTATTTAATTGTTAACATTAGGGTAGTTTTACCAATTGTGTATGTGTGGAATTCCACTGATATGTGTTTTAAGTTGTTTGTTAAATTTTTAAAATTTTTTGATTGTATTTTGCTCTCTTAACTTTGTAGTGTCCTGAAGATGCAAATAAATTTTGCGAAACGTCGACAAATTTAAAACAAAGGACTTCTGTTGATTTTTTTCGATCCTAATCCAATTAAAAAACACATTATACTTAAATTTATTAATTAATTTTTTAAAATATTGAATGGTATCGAATAATACTTTAATATATTTATCAATATTTTAAAGTATCGATACTTTATATTCAATACAACCGATACCAAAATATCGATACTGCCTCAGTATCGCATAGCCCTATGAAGAATTTTGTGGGTTCGCCAAAGGCTCCACTGAAAATGGGTAGCCGCGAGACAAAGCCGTTCGACTGGGCAGGGACTCTGCTCGAGGCTAAATCGCTCGGCTGGAGGCTATAATATGACGAATTCCGCTTGAGGTTGACTCGTCTCGTCCTCGTCTCGGCATATTAGTACGCCTTTTGGAAAGAATTTGCTATAGCCTCGTTTCATACTCGTTTCGGGTTTGTCCCATACTTGCCTCGGCATATTTATACGCGGCTTAACGTGCCATCGCCGTGAATCACACTATATAGTTATAGTTTTGTATGTTGTTTGTGAATTTAATGTATAACAGTTCAGTACAAAGTACAATACTTAAAAACAAGTTAGAAGATATAAAAAAATAATTATGTTTAAAACTTTTTTTTTTGCCCAAAAGCAGTATCGGTCGGTCACTATATTGATCTAGTTTTCAAAACCGAATTCTAGACTGGGCTTGGCTCTTATTATTATTTAATTACTGTAATCTAATTGAATTAAATAATTAAATTTTTACATTTATATATTTATAATTAATTTATTTTTGTTTCCTAAAATATTTTGATTAAAAGAAAATATGTAAAAGTGGGCAACGCTCTGCCGGCAAGGTTGTAATCACGTGACTAAAAGTTTATTTGATATGAACTATATATGATTTAGGTACCATTCTTATGCTTACAATAAATCTACCTGAATTCACTATGCTTATTATCAAGGTGGTCTTCTAAGCCTGTTTTTGTAATATATTTGTTGTCACAATACGAACAAGCAAACAGCTCTCGTTCTTCCGGTGTCAAGTGAACTTTCTTGTGTCTCTGAATAATATATGCATATCGTGCTTGGAAACTACATATTGAACATTTATGGATCCTTTTCTTTTTTTCCTTCGGCCTAATAAAATAATTTTAAAAATTACAGTGTGAAACTTGGGTTTTTTGAGATATTTAATAAAATTTATACAGGGTTGTTCACCACATACGACTCGGAGTATTGTAGCTAAACGATTAGATTTTTACAAATTGTAAGTTTTGGGTTCGTTGAAGGACTATTAGAGCTACAATTTAAAAATATTTTTACCAGATACAGAGTGTCCCAAATAAATAAAAAATATCAAAGTTATACCCTGTATATTATTACATTTTTAGTTTCTATGATAAAAATTTTTGCTTGTTCTAAAATGGTTAATCCCGTTTATACTTCTCGAATTTTCCACATCGTTTTAGAGAAAATTAAGAAAAACCATAATAATTTTAATTACCATATTTTTTATAATATACAATAATACAAATAATATATATAGGGTTGAATTTAAAATAACAAACATCTAAACAATTTTATAACAAACGGAAACAAATAATATTTTTGCTCTCCCTCTGTAATATCCAATCGGTTTATTTAGACAGATCGAATATTATCGACTTCCGTAAATATATAATCCAAATTTCAACTTTAAAAATGTTTAATTCATGGTTTTACCAATGCTTATTCACAATCATGTTTTTGTCAATTTTGCACATGTTTTATTTTTTATCTCAAAAACTATTAGAGATAGGTATAGGTTAATATAATAGAAAAATTATGGGATATGAAAGTAGTTTTCAAAAGTGTAATAATATACCTAGTGTTCTATTTAAAATAAGAAAAATGCTGCCAATTTTCAAATGATGCTGCAACACTGTAACGCTGAAAATATTTTAGAAAGACGGAGAAGGTGCCTTTATGTAAAAATCCAAATTTTCATAAAAATTCTATCACCAGTTCTCCATAAACGTCTAACGTGCCATCGCCGTGAATCACGCTATATAGTTATAGTTTTGTATGTTGTTTGTGAATTTGATGTATAACAGTTCAGTACAAAACTTAAAAAAAAGTTAGAAGATATTATAAAAAAATAATTATGTTTAAAACTTATTTTTTTTGCCCAAAAGCAGTATCGGTCGGTCACTATATTGATCTATATTTAAGAGAATCGCGCTAGAAATTTAATTGTTTTCAAAACCGAATTCTAGACTGGGCTTGGCTCTTATTATTATTTAATTACTGTTAATTGAATTAAATAATTAAATTTTTACATTTATATATTTATAATTAATTTATTTTTGTTTCCTAAAATATTTTGATTAAAAGAAAATATGTAAAAGTAGGCAACGCTGTGCCGGCAAGGTTGTAATCACGTGACTAAAAGTTTATTTGATATGAAATATATATGATTTAGGTACCATTCTTATGCTTACAATAAATCTACCTGAATTCACTATGCTTATTATCAAGGTGGTCTTTTAAGCCTGATTTTGTAATATATTTGTTGTCACAATACGAACAAGCAAACAGCTCTCGTTCTTCCGGTGTCAAGTGAACTTTCTTGTGTTTCTGAATAATATATGCATATCGTGCTTGGAAACTACAAACTGAACATTTATGGATCCTTTTCTTTTTTTCCTTCGGCCTAATAAAATAATTTTAAAAATTACAGTATGAAACTTGGGTTTTTTGAGATATTTAATAAAATTTATATATGCATGCTATAATAAAAAAGATTGTCAATATCCTGTACATTACTTTTCAGAATTAATTCTTGTTCTGAGTTTAAAGGTAGAGAAATAAACTTTACTGAAAAACTTGATTGTTTCCTTAAATGTATACAGGGGTATCAAAAATTGCTGGTCTTTTTTAAATATTTATTTTACATAAAAACTTGAAATTTCAAATCGAGGGGTAAACACCTGACCAAAATGTGTACACCAGAAATCCACTTTTCATGAATAAATCCAAGGAAATACAAAGAAATCTAAAGAAATCCACAGAAATCCAAGGAAATCCACGGAAATCCAAGGAAATCCACAGAAATCCAAAGAAATCTAAAGAAATCCACAGAAATCCAAAAAATATTAGATTGCATTTTAAATAGTAATATAATAATATAAAGCCGATATACCTAGTATATTTCAGTATATTTCTATATGACATATGACCAAAGTAATAAAAAACATTGAGAGTGAGTTTTTTATGTGAATACACGTCTATTTCACTTACTATTAATATTATGCGATATGATTATGCGGTGATTAGTATTAGTTTAAACGTCAAAATGAAATAAAAAGAAATAGACTTGGGACCATTTAAGCTGCAGTTTGACAGAATTTAAGTCATTAATACAAAGGTCTGTTTGACTGAACAAATCGGCAACTTTAATTGGTCCCATGGTACAAAGAATACAAGGTATGATCGATAGCGGCTCCAATTTCGTTCAGTTCGCGCATACCACCTGTGACGTCACTAGGAAAATAATGAATAAATAAAAAATAAAGAAAGTTGACAGGAGATCTGCATCATAATCTGCATTTTTTGGGGTTATGGTTAAGAATTGTTTATTTTTAAGACTTTTTAGTTCGTTTAATTTAATAATTACTAAAACCAGCAGTTCCAAAAATATATTTAAAAATAATAATTATCTATTAACATGGATTTGGACGATAGGTAAGAATACTAAATTTATTTCTATATTCGGTATAAAATTGTTTATTAGGTTTTTAGTTTGTGATGTTCATGGTAAATAATTTTCATTTTCATTGCCTCTGAATTCACATGAGGACAGAGTTGAGGATATCTATGGAAAAGTAACCACAAGAGGAATTGTTACATCATTTAAAAAATGTTGGGAAGTTTATTGTTTCCCATCGAGAAGTAGAAAATGCCAATGCAGATGAACGTATTGTAATTGTGATAGAAGTAATTCTAAGGGTGAAGTTTATTATAATTAGTGGAAGTAATACCAAGGGTGAAGTTTATTATAATTAGTGACCTCTGCTTCTTTTTATATGTAGAAGTTTCTGGTTTTGAGAATAAATCGGTTGAACGACACCCAAAATTTAAAGGAAGTATTTGCATACCCAGAATATGCCCATCAAGGATTATATAGCTCAAATTTCCTTTAATGGTAGGCAATTATTCAATGCAAATTAACTTTTTAAGTGACTAAAATATTAAATAGTTTACAATATGGTATATCACTAAAAATATATTACTTTTAGGTACAATTAGGGCCCGATACATTTCAAAAAGTAGAATATTATTTTATATTAAATGAGGTATTGTACTAACAATCAATTTATATTAATAACGGAGATTAAAAATAACAGAATAAATAGTTCTTTTTTTTTATACTACAAAAATAAACTATAGAATACAACAGTATTTAAAAAATAAATAAAAGTTTTATGTCCCGGCCGAGATTCGAACTCCGGTCTCTCGCTTCCTAGCCCGACTCCTTACGCACTGCTCCACAGTAACTTGCTTAGCGATAATTCAATGACGGTATATAAACAAAAAAACAGGTTTATAACAATATCTTGACGATTTGAATTGGCGCGCAGAGCGTACTGACCAATAGCGCCTGTTATCACCTGTGACGTAGCGACCAACCTGCGCAATATCATACCTTGTATTCTTTGTACCATGAATTGGTCCCAATTATACTTTATACTGAAATAGTTTTATTTCATATTTAACAAATAAGCATATTTTTATAGTATACTAGGAGGACACAACGAATATAATAACAAAAAAAACGAAGAATAAAAACAACAGGACCTTTGTATTAATGACTTACTATATAACAAATTTTTTCAAACTGCAGCTTAAATGGTCCTAAGTCTATTACTTTTTATTTCATTTTGACGTTTAAACTAATACTAATCACCGCATAATATTAATAGTAAGTGAAGTAGACGTTTATTCACATAAAAAACTCACTCTCAATTTTTTTTATTACTTTGGTCATATGTCATATAGAAATCTCCTGAAATATACTACCTATATCGACTTTATATTATTATATTACTATTTAAAATGCAATCTAATATTTTTTGGATTTCTGTGGATTTCTTTAGATTTCTTTGGATTTCTGTGTATTTCTGTGGATTTCCTTGGATTTCTGTGGATTTCTTTAGATTTCTTTGGATTTCTGTGTATTTCTGTGGATTTCCTTGGATTTCTGTGGATTTCTTTAGATTTTTTTGGATTTCTGTGGATTTCCTTGGATTTATTTACCAAAAGTGGATTTCTGGTGTACACATTTTGGTCAGGAAATCTACTAACGACATCTAGAGAAATCCACAGATATCTAATAGACATCCACAGAAATCCACGGAAATCCATTGAAATCCACAGAAATCTACGGATATCCACAGACATCCATGGAAATCCACAGAAATCCACAGACATCCATCGAAATCCACGGAAATCCATATAGGTGTACACCAGAAATCCACAGGTGTTTACCCCTCGTTTCAAATGCAAGACAAAGAGATCGCTAAGAAAAGTTCAGATTCGTGATCTACTTACATCAAAATACACTGTATACAATTTTTTTATGAGAAAAGGAAGACTTCCAAATTTTTCCAATATTTACAGAGCTTTCTACTGAATGACAATACATAATAATTACATATAAGAAAATATCAACTAACAATTATTTGTAAAATATGAGAAATTCTTAAATTATTATTAAAACTAACCTAACCTAACCTAACCTAACCCAGTTCGTAAATATATTTTATCTCTGGGTTAAAAACATAGCTCAAGAATATTTAGTATAAAACTAAAGCAAAAATAGCAGCATTCAACGTAATGATAATGTACAAGTATAAGTTTTTTTATCTCCTCAGATGCTAATTTTTAAGTACTTTGATAAATAAGATAGATACTAGTACCATGGAGTACATCATAGGATGTTATTTTATTTTATTTATTTACGCAAAGTTAAAAATTCGTAAGTATATAGACAATTAAATTTACAAAGAAAAACAGATTCTCTTATTCATTTACATATACAGGGTTGTTCACCACATACGACACGGAGTATTGCAGCTAAACAATTAGATTTTTACAAATTGTAAGTTTTGGGTTCGCTGAAGCACTATTAGAGCTACAATTTAAAACTATTTTTACAAGATACAGAATGTCCCAAATAAATAAAAAATATCAAAGTTGTATTTTTTTAAATGGAACACCCTGTATATTATTACATTTTTAGTTTCTATGATAAAAATTCTTGCTTGTTCTAAAATGGTTAATCCCCGTTTATACTTCTCCAATTTTCCACATCGTTTTAGAGGAAATTAAGAAAAACCATAATAATTTTAATTACCATAATATTTTTTATAATATACAATAATACAAATAATATATACCGGGTGTTGCATCGTCGAGCGGGACATAGGAAATCCCATGTAAATTTTAATGGGGTCAATTATTGGCTTCCCTAATTATTTTAGCGAATAATTCTATTTAGGTTTATTGAAGAGCACTAAAACCGACATTCAAAAGAATAACTTTAGATATTTTTGATTAACCCGTTTACGAGTTATCGCCGATTTCTTTTTAAATATTTCTCCTTTCTTATGGCCCTGTATTTACTTATGAGCACCAGTCAAGGTAAAAGATAATTGTCAAATGAAGTTGTCATTTCAGAAATTTATCTATTTAGTGCTTTATTATTATTATTAAAAACTCATACCTACATCGAAAATATTAGCCATGAATTACACTACCGAAGAAAAAGTATTAATGATTAAATGGTATTATCAAGGAAATCAAAAGGTGTCGGACATGTTTGCTGCTCTGTATCCGAATAGACTGATACCTGGAAAATCTACAATCGCAAGGAATATCCAGAGATTTGAGACCAAAGGTACCCTAATAAATAACTGCAGATGTGAAGCAAGGCAGGAACAAAGAGAAGATGCAAGAAATGATACCGACTTGAAAGTTTTATTGTGCGTGGAAGAGAACGATGGAAAGACCAGCACAAGGAAACTTGAGGATGAAATAGGAATAGATCACAGTACAGCGCAACGTTTGAATTTTGAAACGACATAAATACTATTCCTTCAAATATGAAAAGCAACAAGAGCTACGAGATGGGGATGAAATACGGCGGCAGGCGTTTTGTTTTGATATGATGGAAAGAGCAAACACGGATAGGCAATTTTTAAAAAAACATATGTTTCACTGACTAATGCACGTTTACCTTAAATAATGAACCCAATGTTCAAAATTATCGATATTGGAACAAAGAAAACCAACACAGGTTTGTCGAAACAAGGACGCAATATCCATAGAAAGTAAATGTTTGGGCAGGGATATTCGGATACAATATTATCGGGCCATTATTTCTTACGCGAGATTTAAATGCAGAATATTATTTGAAACTGCTCGAAAATTATATTTTACCTGCTTTACATGATGCCGCTAGGGAAAATCAGGAAGTTTGGTACCAAATGGATGGCTGCCCGGCACATAGTACCCTGGCTGTTCGGGAATATTTAGACAATAGTTTTAACAGAAACGTTAGTGGCCTAAGTCATATAGTAAATTGGCCAGCAAGGTTTCCTGATATTTCGCCAAATGATTTCTTTCTCTGGGGCCATTTAAAAAAACAGGGTATACAAGGATAAAAAATACCCAAATCTAGACGAGTTAAAAAAAGCTATTTCTGCCGAATGCAATAGAATTTCAATTTACCAACTAGCGAATGTAAGAAAAGAATTTTATGATCGCCTGGGTTATTGTCTAGAAGTCGATGGAGGAATATTTGAACATCTTGTTAAATCCTAAAGTTCTAACAATTTAATAGTACCTAAATTAATAAGTTATTGAATATTGTAATAATACCATAATTAACCTTGTAATTGATTACTTTATTTTACTTTAATTCATATTAATTTGTATTTATAAATACATGAGTTTTCAATAATAATAAAGCACTAAATAGGAAAATTTCTGAAATGACAACTTCATTTGACAGTTATCTTTTACCTTGACTGGTGCTCATAAGTAAATACAGGGCCATAAGAAAGGAGTAATATTTAAAAAGAAATCGGCGATAACTTGTAAACGAGCTAATCAAAAATATCTAAAGTTATTCTTTTGAAATGTGGGCTTTAGTGCTCTTCAATAAACCTAAATAGAATTATTCTCTAAAATAATTAGGGAAGCCAATAATTGATCCCATTAAAATTTACATGGGATTTCCTATGTCCCGTCCGACGATGCAACACCCGGTATAGGGTTAAATTTAAAATAACAAACATCTAAACCATTTTTATAACAAACGGAAATAAATAATATTTTTGCTCTCCCTGTGTAATATCCAATCGGTTTATTTAGACAGATCAAATATTATCGACTTCCGTAAATTTATAATCCAAATTTCAACTTTAAAAATGTTTAATTCATGGTTTTACCAATGCTTATTCACGATCATGTTTTTGTCAATTTTACACATGTTTTATTTTTTATCTCAAAAACTATTAGAGATAGGTATAGTATAGGTTAGTATAATAGAAAAATGGGATATGAGAAAATTATGGGATATGAAAGTAGTTTTCAAAAGTGTAATAATATACCGAGTGTTCTATTTAAAATAAGAAAAATGCTGCCAATTTTCAAATGATGCTGCAACACTGTAATGCTGAAAATATTTTAGAAAGATGGAGAAGGTGCCTTTATGTAAAAATCCAAATTTTCATAAAAATTCTATCACCAGTTCTCCATAAACGTCTAACGTGCCATCGCCGTGAATCACACTATATAGTTATAGTTTTGTATGTTGTTTGTCAATTTGATGTATAACAGTTCAGTACAAAGTACAATACTTAAAAACAAGTTAGAAGATATTATAAAAAAATAATTATGTTTAAAACTTATTTTTTTTTGCCCAAAAGCAGTATCGGTCAGTCACTTTGAATAAGAAGACTAAGGAAGGAGCATAATGCTATCCATGTATTCATGCATGGTGGGCGGAAAAAGCGCCATAAAAGCTCTCTAGGGTGGGGATCCTTGACAGTTCTGTTTGACGATTCATCTGGATACATTTGAACTTGATTTTAAACCTGTGGATTTGCTTCTCAGTCTTTACGGAGCTTACCTATTTTATGTTATTTACTACCTTTATACAAAACCAAAATTCTAAAAAAAAAAAAAAAAAAAAAATTGTGGCAGAACTTAAACTTAAACAGTGACATTATCGCGATTTATCGAAAAAGACTCAAAATAGTTGATGTGTAGCGTATGGTAGATCTCGGCAAAAATGGAGTGAAATGGTAATTTGGAACAAACCGCTAGTATGGACTATATAATATAAGCATAATGTGGTAAAACTGACCACTGCATGAAATCTGCTTTAAATTAACTAAATTATATATTTTCTTGCATTTTAGCTTATTACTTGTCAAAAATTAGATTTGAATGTCAAAGAATTTAGATAATACGTTAATCTGACTTGTGCATCTTGCGTCTTCAGTAGCGTATCGGAAGTTTGTGGTAATAAATACTCATTATAACCGTATTCGCTCTTTTATTAGAATTATATATTTTGTAAAACAATTTTAATAACTACCGAACATTTATTCACAAACGTAAAAATAAAACAACAAATTCATTGAGCCCACCCCCACTGCCCAATTCCCACATCATAGTTTTACATTTTAAATAAAATTAGTTCGGCACTGATAAACCGGAAATTAAATCACAATTTGAGGTGCCTGATCGGTACAGCTTGGTTCTTGAAAAAATGAATTATACTTCTTAACATTTTTAGAATATTTAAGAAAATACTGTATGTGTCAAGTATCACATGCCGTTAAGGTTATTGTGACATTGTATAAAAACTTTGCTTTTGACAAAGTCGCAAATAAATTTTTCAGAACATCACCATGACATGAATAGAGAAATGGGTGACTGGTATCATAGAATATACCGCCCGAAATAATAAAAATATAAAAGAGAGAGATAACATTGGAACACATAATACCATAAAAATCCAAAATGTGTCATTTGTAAATACACTGATCAACCATGCTGACCAACAGATTGATTATAGGATCAAAACTTATATCGCGAATATATTTTTTAGTCTCATTTTTTTAAATGTGTAACACGTTTGAAATTTTTAGAAATAATCGGGTTAAAAACTAGTCCAGGAAAAAAACGAATTTATTTAAAAAAAAAATGTATAAAAATTCAAAATGTTCATCTATTTGCCAGTAAATCAAAATTTTTTTTTTTAATGAATAATTTGTTGCATATGAAATACATTGTTATGTCTTTGTGCTGCATTTCCAAGTGACATTCAACACACATTTCACTTTATTACACGTGCTTGAATAATAGTTTTAAACGTTTTTAAATTAAGCCTTAATCCTGAAATGACCGAAAACCCGGAAAAATCCTAATGTTGATCCTCAGCAATTGTTGAGCAATGTAGTTATAACTTTAGTATCACAAATAAAACATAACAAAAAAATAATAAAATATATTATTTTTTGTTTAATAGACAAGAAAATGAAATAAAACTCCTTTTTTTAAATAATACTTATGGTTTAAAAAACAAAAACGAAGGGCATACATACATCATTAGAGTATACAACATTATTTTTCAAGTTCCTTTGAGTCCCTTAAAGCCTTCCGGTCCAATAAATGATTCGGAAATTATTCGTGCCTCAAATTAGTGGAATATGTTAGTAATTCGTTATTTAAACTATAATAAGAAGGCGCCAAGACGAAATCGTAAAACGACGTCCGGGATAGCGCTTGCGTAGTATCATGCGGAGTCCCACGTTTTAGATATGAGAATGCAAGTGTGTCCAATCTATCTCTAGTACATGACATTAGTCTATGGGTGACAGCGAGACCTGGAAGTTGTCTGCCATCTTGCCGTCGACAAAAATTTGGATGCGCACTCGTCGAAGCTCATTCTCCCTCTTCCATATCTCTGGATTTATACAATGACTAAAGAATCCAAGGACAAATAACAAACGAGAGCAAATTGTGACGATGTCACCAAACAGTGCCGTAGCACATATTTTTCTTAACCTAGCTGTTTGAAGCAATATTTATATTTTTTGATAATTGTTTTGACTACGCCAATGGTGTATCATCCTAATTAATTACGAAAAAAACGTATTAAAAATGTTAACATAAGGTACAAAACTAGTATCGGCGTTTAGCCCATATCCAGTACATATAGATGTTAATTGAAATGGAAGAATAATTATCGAATTCAATAAGGAAACTAAAAAGTTGGAGTGGAGTGTTTATTTACCTATGAAACGTAACTCCTGGCTCTTTCTTATCGCTGCTGCTTTTACACTTGAAAGCTGAACAACTAATCACCATTGTAATAAAGTTTATACAAAGTTTACTACACACAAACTATTAAAAATCGCTAAAATTGTCGCTGGTGACCAAATGATGACTCATTGTTTGCCACCAAAAGAAAGGTCTCTAAGGTCACAAATTCTGCTGCAGCCCGTATAGGCGCGTTACATGTTCTTATATTCTTTAGTCATTGGATTTATATGCCGTGGCAATAATTTAAATTGTTTAGCAAACGAATCAATATTATCACTGGTAGGCAACCCGTAATGATTTCGAGTTTATGAATTACCACCGAACCAAAGGAGTTAAAACTTATCTCCTCTTTGACTGAACAACAGCCTACTACGACGTGAAGACAAGAATTAAGGACAAATACAATAGACTTAAAAAAAATACCGTATGAAAAAAATGAAAAAAAACGGCGTCAGCGATGGCTATGAAATGAAGATCGCTGTCATTTTGTATGTAAAATTATATGGGGAATGTTGTCGATCGTCATTTCCAAGACAACTGGACCCCGTTTTTTTCCGATCATACGGTAGTAATAGTAATAACTCTTGTATACTGCTATGTATGGGGGCTCGCAGACCGTCTTAAACGTAAACTAAATGACTTTTTTAATATGCGATAATTGTTTTATGATTATTAATTATGTTACGGACTTTGTAATAAGCTAAAATAAAACTACAATATAACTTATAAAACTTACTTTTTTTTTGAAAATATCACAGTTATAAATTTGTATAGCTTAAAAATGTTTACATATAAAAATTAAACAAATCAATTAATTTTTATATTTTAGTATTACATTATAAAATCTTCCAGCCTAATAATATAATTTCTTACTTATAGATCAATTTTCGGTATTTCTGGAAACAATAAAAATATTTAAAACACTGTGTATCAATAATTAGTTAAAATACATTTATACAGGGTGTTTTAAAAAACATGTGCCATCTCTCTGGGGAGATTCCTCACGTAAAAATAAGATTTATTTTTCATATCAACATAGTTCCGATTTTGCTTTGTTTCGTAGCTACAGGGTGTTAAAGTCTTAATATTTTTTCGATTTATTATAACTTTCTTCCAAGCGTTACCTTTAGCGTTTCGAATGAAATTTTGAGGGTAAAAGTTACTATAAATGCGACACATTTTAAAGCTAAAAAAGTGTCGACATATTCACCAGGGACGTGCATTTGGGTTATCACTGGAATATTTCTCTATAAAAAGCATGTACGCCACTGACTTTTATTCTCTTGTTAGCGAAATACCTAGTTTAAGAAGTTTAATGCCAATTAAAAGTTGTCTCTTGATATTTTGTCGATTTCGGTCTCCTTGATGAGATAAACCCAATTTTATTAATTTGCCTTGATCCAAGTCTGATAGCAACCTTTAAAAAAATTGAATATCATTAACTTGCGAAAGTTATAAATAAGTACTCATTCGTTCTTGATAAAAAAAATATTAAAAAAGTTCGTATAAACGTGGGTATGGAAATTAATTGTGATTAATAAAATTGCGTTTATCTCATCAAGGAGGCTGTATTCGACAAAATATCAAAAGATAACTTTTAATTGGCATTAAGCGGCCTACACAATTTTGATATCAAAAGAAAAAAGTGAGTGGCGCAGATGAATTTTCTTGAAAAATATCCCCGTGATAACCCATATACACGTTCCTAATAAATTTATCGACACTTTTTTAGCATTAAAATATGTAGCACTTATAGTAACTTTTACCGTCAACGTTTCATAAATCGAAAGATTATTAACACTTTCACACCCTGTAGCTACGAAACAAACTAGAATCGAACCCATGTTGATATGAAAAATAAATATTATTTTTACATGAGGAATCTCCCCACGAGAGATGGCACATATTTTTTGAAACACCCTGTATATACAGAAAAAAACATACCTAATGTCATCCTGCATTTCTTTAATTAAAATCGGAGTGTCATCATCATCAATTTCTATTTTTATAAAATCTACCAGCTTAATATATAACTTCTTAGTTATAGATAAATTTTCGGTATTTCTGGAAACAATAAAAAATATTTAAAACACTGTGTATCAATAATTAGTTAAAATCTTTGAATAAGAAGACTAAGGAAGGAGCATTATGCTATCCATGTATTCATGCATGGTGGGCGGAAAAAGCGCCATAAAAGCACTCTAGGGTGGGGATCCTTGACAGTTCTGTTTGACGATTCATTTGAGACATTTGAATTTGATTTGAAATTTTGTGGATTTGTCAATCTTTACGGAGCTTATTTTATGTTATTTATTATTTATTCTACTACTGATAGTTGTATAAAGGTAGTAAATCTAGATGGAAATTGTGACAGAACTTAAATTAACAGTGACGCTATCGCGATTTATCGAAAAAGACTCTAAAATAGTTGGTTGTGTAGCGTGCAGTAGATCTCGGCAAAAATTGAGTGAAATAATGGAACAACTTTTCGCTAGTAAGTGACTATATATATATATATACATACGTGTAGTAAACCGATCATTTATGAAATTCACTTAAATTAACTAAATTATATATTTTTCTTGCATTTTAGCTTTTATTTATTACTTGTCAAAGATTAGATGTCAAAGAATTTAGATACGTTAATTTGACTTACCTGCTTCAGTAGCGTATCGGATGTTTGTGGTAATAAATACTTATTATAACTTATCTATTTTTATTAGAATTATATATTTTTATAACAATTTTAATAACTACCAACATTTATTCACAACGTAAAATAAAACAACAAATTATTGAGTCTACCCCACGTCTACCCTACATCATAGTTTTACATTTTTTAAATAAAATTAGAACGACACTGATAAACCGGAATTTAAGTCGGCCATATTTGAGGCCCATCGCGGTGTACCTAAGATTTTTGATATGCTCCTTCCTTAGTCTTATTATTCAAAGGTTAAAATAGATTTATACAGGGTGTTTTAAAAAACATGTGCCATCTCTCTGGGGAGATTCCTCACGTAAAAATAAGATTTATTTTTCATATCAACATAGTTCCGATTTTGCTTTGTTTCGTAGCTACAGGGTGTTAAAGTCTTAATATTTTTTCGATTTATTATAACTTTCTTCCAAGCGTTACCTTTAGCGTTTCGAATGAAATTTTGAGGGTAAAAGTTACTATAAATGCGACACATTTTAAAGCTAAAAAGTGTCGACATATTCACCAGGGACGCATTTGGGTTATCACTGGAATATTTCTCTATAAAAAGCATGTACGCCACTGACTTTTATTCTCTTGTTAGCGAAATACCTAGTTTAAGAAGTTTAATGCCAATTAAAAGTTGTCTCTTGATATTTTGTCGATTTCGGTCTCCTTGATGAGATAAACCCAATTTTATTAATTTGCCTTGATCCAAGTCTGATAGCAACCTTTAAAAAAAATTAATATCATTAACTTGCGAAAGTTTTAAATAAGTACTCATTCGTTCCTGATAAAAAAAATATTAAAAGAAGTTCGTATAAACGTGGGTATGGAAATTAATTGTGATTAATAAAATTGCGTTTATCTCATCAAGGAGGCTGAATTCGACAAAATATCAAAAGATAACTTTTAATTGGCATTAAGCGGCCTACACAATTTTGATATCAAAAGAAAAAGTCAGTGGCGCAGATGAATTTTCTTGAAAAATATCCCCGTGATAACCCATATGCACGTCCCTAATGAATTTATCGACACTTTTTTAGCATTAAAATATGTAGCACTTATAGTAACTTTTACCCTCAACGTTTCATAAATCGAAAGATTATTAACACTTTCACACCCTGTAGCTACGAAACAAACCAGAATCGAACTCATGTTGATATGAAAAATAAATCTTATTTTTACATGAGGAATCTCCCCACGAGAGATGGCACATATTTTTTGAAACACCCTCTATATACAGAAAAACATACCTAATGTCATCCTGCATTTCTTTATTTAAAAGCAGGGTGTCATCATCATCAATTTCTATTTTTATAAAATCTACCAGCTTTATATATAACTTCTTAGTTATAGGTAAATTTTCGGTATTCCTGGAAACAATAAAAAATATTTAAAACACCGTGTATCAATTAGTTAAAGTTAAAATACATTTATATATACAGAAAAAAAAACATACCTAAGGTCATGGTGCATTTCTGTATTTAAAATCGGAGTGTCATCACCAAGTTCTATTTTTAAAAAATCTTCTGTTTTTACTTTATTAGTCACCGCTATACGTTCAGCATTTCTGAAATTAATAAATTACATTATTATCATTATATTGGCAAATATACATTTAAAGAAACCTACTTAAAGTCATCCAAATGTGGAGTGTAATCATCAATTTCCATTTTCAAAGAATCTAATATTACTTCATCGGTTGGAGATTCAGCATTTCTGGAAACAAAAAATTAAAATGCCAAAATATGTGTCTGGACATTTCCGTTTCAAGGGCAATATTTCAACGAACTTTTTTGATAGCTGCAATTATTTTGAATAGTTTCAAACTTAGTCACCAAAGCCACTTCGTGATATTAAAAGACAACATCATAAAGTAATAATAGTTTTATTTCGTTCTCAAAAATTAACTAAGGCATATTATTATGTTGACATGAGTCCAAAAAGAAAATGCTCAGGAGACATGGTTCTGATTGAAAAATAATGTTTTTGGAAAAGTTACTCACGAAATTATTGCACAGGGTGTTTTAAAGGTAAGGTAAAAAAACAACCCTTCAATTAACCCTGTATAATAAGCCAAATACTGAAGTTTATAAAAAACTGAGTTTATGAATTATACAGTTTGTTAAAAAAATTATGACAATCGGGCTAAAAGTAAAAAAAAATAATCACTTTAAACTTGACGAAAAAATTCTCCGCTGCGTTTTTTTTGCCATATGAGTGTATATTTTACTATGAATTTAATATTATTTTACAGGGTGTTTCTTAATGACATGCTAATATTTAAGGGCGCGATTCCTGGACCTATTCTAAGAGAAAAACTTAGTATGAACATGTATGTTTGTATGTCCAAAGCATCTTAATTTCTGAGATACAGAGTGGTAAGTTTTTCTAATTTTTTTTTTCATATAATAACTCTGATTTTATTACAGATATCTTTATGACACTTGATATACATACGTCTTCTATGCATCAAAAGGTGCGTTCGAGTAGACGATCGGAGTAAACGGAGTATAGTTAAGCGTTTTTTTTTGACAATCGGGCAGTACACTGCTGCGTTTTATTAACTCTACGAGCGTTTGGAGTGTACTCGATCTGCACCATGTTAAGAAGAGGAGCACGGCGATTTTTTTTAATTTCCCGCCATATTTCAGTTTGTTTTTGAGTACTTACAATCTTGTGTATGTGTTTTGTGACTTACAAGTTCAATATGAGTTCAATCTTTGAAACAGTTATGCTATGTAGACTATGTAGAAAATGAAGTATAGAGAAAACCTAAAACCCACTTTCTGCCGTTTAGTCAATATTATTTGTTGTGTGAGTTTATACATACTTATAAGGCAAATTGTGATCTGTGACAAAACAAACTTTGAAATGTTTCTAAATAAGTTGTCTGGGGTACAGGGGGAATTTGCCACATGTGGTGAATGTGGTGTAGAAGGTCCCCTTGGGGAAATACAAACACATTTTCTCCAACACTTCGATATTGTAGAAAATGAAACAGAGAATCATAGTCAGTATTATTTACATATTAGCAAGTAGTAGATAATTCATAATTATTTTTAATTTGTAACCTTTCTTTAGATATTAATGCAACACAAGAGCAAAGACAAGAGTCTAAAAATAACGATGATGACTCTGATAAGTTATGGCCACCGAGCACTGTTTTATTATTAGTAAGATTAATTGAAAACAGTTATGGCTCGTTTGACAATACAATGAAAAAAATTGTGTGGCAGAAAATTGCCTTACAGTTGTCTACTGTTCACGGCCGAACAACTAGACACGAAGTGGAAGGGTTTAAAAAGTACATATAAAAAAATTAAAGATCATAACCAAACAGGGGCAAGTAGAAAGACATGGCAGTTTTTTGATGTTATGGATGCTTTTTTGAGTACGAAACCTGAATATAAGGCACCTGCTACATGTAGCTCGACAGCCGGTTTAACAGTCAGTAAAGAAATTGAAGATACCAGCAATACCAGTTATACCACAGATAACGTATTATCTGTGATTATACTTTACCACTTTCAGCTTTAAGTTTATTGTAGGTCCATCAACTGCAAATTCTGATGTTGTCACGAAAAGGAGAAGAACTGAAAATTCAGTTGAAAATCGTCACAAGGACAAAATGCGTCGACTAGATAGATTTCTCGACTTGTACCAGGCGGCTGTAGAGCACCAGATAGGTAAAAAAATACATGACAGTAGTGAAGAATCTAATTAGAAATTTAAGAATTCAAAATGTTCAGTTAGAATTAGTGTTGTTTAAGTAAAATTGTTACTTCCTAATTATTTTATAATAGAAAATGTTTAGTAATTAAAACTATATATAAAACAATTAAATATTTTATTATCGACTGAAATCACCTTCTCATATACAAATAATTAGCTATATTATTAGGTTTCTCAATTGCTCTTCTTTCCTGTCTCTCTTCCATTACCATATTTCCTGGTTGAAGTATCATTTCTTCTTGAACTATTCTTCTTAAGCTAATGTCCAACATGTCTTTTGAATCAATACATATATTATGTAATATACATGAACTAAGTATTATTTGTGGTATAATTTCAGGTTTTCGAGCCTCCATTAATTTTAATCGTCTAAATCTTCCTTTAAGTAGTGCAAAAGCATGCTCAATTGTAACTCTAGCGTTTGCAAAAACTTCATTATAATTTTTCTGAATGTCAGTTAAATAACCATTGTCCTTAAATGGAACTAATAAATTATGCCTTAAAGAATAAGCTGAATCTCCAGCAAAATGTTCATCCTCTAATGTTTGTAAACTGCTTAATGCAGTTGCAAAGTCAGATCTACGTAAAACTCTGGCATCATGCATTGAACCCACTTCACCTGCATAGCAATCCAAAAACTTTTTTCTGTAGTCACATACACCTTGTAGGACAACTGAATAGTAACTTTTTCTATTCATGTATGATGCCGGATACCTTCCTGGAGCCTTCAGTGGAATGTGACTCCATCAATAATTCCTATTATTCCTGAAGTTAAAAATGCATTGTTAATTTAGCCATTTTATATGTAATAAACATCTATAAATCATTTGGAAAACTAATATTGGAATAATTCTTTTTAAATAAAATTGTCAACCTTATGATAAATAATTGAAAAAATAACTTAGCCTACCTGGAAAACCTGTCTTTTCTCTAAAAAGGTTGGCGTTATTTCTAAGTTGCTCAATATTGATGCATATTATTTTCTTCGTTTGATTTAGGACGAGCAGATCCTTGCAGTTTTGTTCACACAATTCCATGCAGTGGATTTGCTCACCCCAAATCTTTCTGAGACACCTCTAAAAATTAACCAATATATGTTAGATGTCCATTATATACATCATTAAACCTTTATTATTTTTACCAACCTAAAACTAATATTTGCTAAATAATTACAAGGAAATATACAGTTGTTTTTCTAATGGGAGTTCCGGATTTCCTGATATTCTGTCTCTTTGAACGACGCTATTCAATTCTTGCATTAATACTTCAAATGTTGAACGGGTAATTCGAAAATGTTCTTGAAACTGTTTATCCTTTACTTTTGAAAGAGTTATTTCAGCATAATTCTCAATTTTTGGTATTTTTTTCCCTATCATTTCTACTGTCAAAATAAACAGTTCGGCTCATCACTATCCATCTCCATATTATTCATTCTGATGCCCATTTAAAAATGGTGTTATTGTATTATCAGTATTTACAGCATATAGTATACAGTTGATTTAGAAAGCTGAGACATTTATTTACAAGCCAAAAAAAAACGCGGTTATTGAGGTTATGTCTACATGTTCATGGCAGATCACGTGACTACGCTCCTCCTGTGCGTTCGTTTTGAAGACGTTTTCCGTGATGATCCTTTCATACTCTATTCTTACTCTACTTGCTCCACCGATCGTCTACTCGAACGCACCTAAAATACCTTTTTTGGTGCACAAAGAATTTTATTTATTTCAACAAGTGGCCGTCCATTATTTCAAAAAATTAGAAAATTTTACCAACTTGTATCTAAAAAGTTAAGATGTTTAGAACATATGTATATTCATATAAAGTTTTTTTTTACTTAGAATAGGTCCAAGAATCCCCTCCTTAAATATTACCATGTCATTAAGGAGCACCCTGTATATTGAACTTTCATATATAAAAAAATAAAATTGTTTTATTTATTGGGTTTTCACCTATCGGACAATAAAAGCATTATTATTATTATGTGAAAGATGCACTATGCAGTGCGCACTAGCGAACATCTGTCGCTCTTTCTGTGCCAAGTAAACTTACATATGTGGTGTGTGTGTGTGTTTAAACTTTAATATTCATTAATATCAATATTTCTTATATTAATAATTAATTTACCTGGAATCAACGTGCCCATGTTTGAGGTGAAGTAGTAAGCCGCGTTTTGTCTTATATTTGTTGTTACACTGCGCACAGATAAACATCTCTCGTTCTTCCGGTGCCATGTGAACTCTCTTGTGGTAGTGCAGACTTACCCTGTGTCCAGTTTGAAAGCTACATATGGCACATTTATAGACCTTTTTCTGCTTCGACCTAATCAAATATATTTTTTTTTAATATCACAGCTTTGTAACTCTACAGTAGAATGTTTAGGAGGGGGCTTAATCACCGCTACCTTACAGATCTATTGTGTGTTCCCCTTTCTTTAGTGATAGCGGGTTATAACCCTAGATCATGTTATATATTTACGTGGATAAATCAACGCCATAAGTTTAGCACTTGAATAAAAAGATTAAGGAAGGAGCATATCAAAGACCTTAGATCCACCGCGAAGGGACTCAAATATGGCCGACTTAAATTCCGGTTTATCAGTATTTAAAAAGTTTACAGTTGAGGGTTCAGTTTATAATCATCTGCTGATGATGCTAACATGGTTAGCGAAACGCGCGTCCAGTGTAAAAGTAAAAGTGTTTTGGTGTATTGTGGTGATTTAGTGTTTTTATTTTTTTTTTTTATTTTTGATTTAAAAAGTGTAAAACTATGATGTAGGGTAGACGTGGGGTAGACTCAATAATTTTGTTGTTTTATTTTAAGTTGAGAATAAATGTTGGTTCTTATTAAAATTGTTATAAAAATATAAAATTCTAATAAAAATAGATAAGTTATAATAATTATTTAAACACAAACATCCGATACGCTACTGAACCAGGTAAGTCAAATTGACGTATCTATATAAATTCTTTGACATCTAATCTTTGACAAGTAGTAAATAAACGCAAAAATGCAAGAAAAAATATATAATTAGTTAATTTAGGTGAATTTCATAAATCATCGGTTTACTACACGTATGGTCTATTAAGGTGCGTATTCATTATCCGAACGAAGGAACGAACGAATGTTCGCTAGTGGTATGGACGGGGACCGTACGATAGAACCGCACGAGAAGACCGGAGGCATTTGTTGGCGAATGCCTTTGATGTACCGACTCGAAACGGATGGCCTAGCGAACGAACGAACGAACGGCCGCATGCGTTCGGTCCCCGTCTAAATATACCGCACTTTCATTCGTTCGTTCGGATAATGAATACGCACCTTTATATAGTCACTTACTAGCGAAAAGTTGTTCCAATAGTGTCACTGTTAATTTAAGTTCTGCCACAATTTCCCTCTAGATTTACTACCTTTAAACAACTATCAGTAGTAGAATAAATAATAAATAACATAAAATAAGCTCCGTAAAGAATGACAAATCCACAAAATTTCAAATCAAATTCAAATGCGTCATATGAATCGTCAAACAGAACTGTCAAGGATCCCCACCCTAGAGTCCTTTTTCCGCCCACCATGCATGAATACATGGATAGCATTATGCTCCTTCCTTAATGTTTAGCATTAAAAAATGTCTCCAACATCACGACATGCCATTTTCAAACCTTCTTTATTGCACTTATGAAACGTTCAATAGGTTTATCTTTTCCGAGAACCTTACTTTGCGCGTGCGTATTAAAAGTTGCAAGTATTTGCAAAATAATCACAATTTTATACAATTTAGATAGTACAAATTATACATTGTTATGGAAACCAACTTTTCATTGTTATCATATTGTCATAATTGGTCAAATCTTATCATAGAATCATAAAACATCCCCCTTTAGAACTTTTTCTTTAATGGCCATAAAGGGAAGTACTGGTCATCAAATGGTATAACAATTGCGAAAATTTAATCATCTAATTTAGACACAAGGGGTCGCTCTTAGCTTTTTTAATTTTAATTCAATTTTCATTGCTTTCAAACTATAATATTAGACTTTGTTGTACTTTGTGAATTTATAAATTAATTAATAATTTTTTTTAGTATAAAAGTGCATTATATTAATTCAAATTATATTACATATACACATTTAAAATTAAAATGTTATGACATATACAACGATTGTATGTCAGTTGCCGTTTAAAATGTCATCTTGATAACAAAAAGTTATTGTCAGAAATAGTTAAAATCATGTTAAAACATTAAGATTCACAAGTTATAATTAGATATTTTATATTATTTCAAAAACAAAAACATAATAGTACCTACAGCGTAATGTTGATACGCAGGTCCAAAACAAAAAGTTCTGTTATATTTTTCAGTTTTCGTTGTCAGCCGCGGAGGTTTCAGTGATTTTAGTGTTGTCGGATATTTTTAGTTGTGAAACAGAAATATTGCGTTTGGATTGCAAAACTAAAAGTGGAAGTTTTATTGAAATGTAAGTAAGCGTTTGTCCATTTAATATTTTACTTTTTTCATACCATAGACAAACAAATAAAAAGAGACTGGCAAATTAAATGGCAAAGAGAGGGACAACGTTCCCGTAGCGCAACTCAAAACGCAAAATTTCGTTCTATTTATGTTGATCTGCGCATTGCGTCTATTGGGCCCACTATCGCATTCTAATATAACAAGAGAGAAAGAAGCAGCCATATAAAACGTAATTTCTAAATATAAATTAGAACATTCGCCTTTCGTTTTCGTCATCACGACAACCAAGATGACAACATCATGACAATTCGTCATGTTTGTTAATTTTTCTTTTGGTGATTTACCTTTTTTCTAAACTCTCCATTTTATTGACTTATGAATATGGATAGGGAGCAAATTCCTTTGTTCAATATAGGTATTTATATTTTGTTACTTATAATTTTAGGTTATACTATTTGTTATTTTATTTGCTGCAGGAGCCAGTATCATCTATTTTTTATATGTATTGGTTTGGCTCTGATAGATATGTTAAAGGCACCAGGTAAAATAAAAGTAAGTAGTTACATTTATCATCTTATTAAGAAAAAAGTTGAAGTAGTAGTGTCAAAAATATTTCGAACCTCTCTTAACATAACAAATTAATACAATTAATTTTTTTCATTTTTTGGGTAGGTAGTTTATAGCTGGTTTATAGTAACCAGAAACTTTATTAATATACCTATTTTACTTTTGTTTTAGGATTAAAACTGGACTTGAAAATGGTTCAGGATCATGATTCTCGCAAAGTCTTCTTTGCTTGGATATTCACTTTGTTATTGCAATTGGGCAGTTTTTTCGAAAATGAGATTTTTAATGCCCTTTAAAAAAATTGGCCAATCGTTTCCTGCAACAGTCAGTTCTTCTGCATTTAAAATTGGTAGGTGAGTGGGATAAACACTGTTATTTTTTGTTATTATATTATAAAAAGGTTTTTTTATTTTTATGTATAAATAAATATGTTTATAAAACAGTACAATTTTTGCTTTTTTTATAATTTCCCTTTTAATAGTAGTATTCTTTCGTTCTGAAAGAAACTGCAAATTTTAACTTAAACTGATTTATTCTCTACACCACGTTCCCTTTACGTGGTATAGGGAATAAATCAGTTTAAGTGAAAATTTTCAGTTTCAGAATAAAAGAATACTACTAATAAAGGTTAATTTCAATTTTCCGCCAGCCAGAATGTGCGATAATGTCTTACGATACGTTTTACACGTATCTCTTTCTTTTTCATATAAAGCACACATAATAAAGAAAGACAGCAATAAAGACGTACGTCCTGCCATGGTCCTGCTAATTGGTTTCAAAATTGTTATTCTGAGTTGCGCTACGGGAGCGTGGTCCCACTCTTTACCATGGGATTTGTCAGTCTCTTTTTATTTGTTTGTCTATGTTTCATACCTACGACAAATATACATATATTGAAATTTTATAATTCGTTTTATTTAAAAAATGTTAGAAAAGAAAACAAGCCTGTAGTCCTGTAATTGACAATTGTTATATAATGTATTCCATTTAAATGCAATATATTACTTTACAATTAAAAAAATGTAAATTTAAAAAATATATTAAAAATATGTACAGGCAAATAATTGAAATTTTTAGTATGCGGACAAACACGAGAGGCGCTTTATTATTTACTTTCATTTCTTAACATGGCAGATGAAGTTCTAAAGGGGGATGTTTTGTACATAGAATTTTTTTTTAAAGACCGCTTTTATATAGCCAAGGATGCAAGTGTGTTTAGCGAGAATTTATTTTAAGTTTGTGCAATTATATTTCTATTTTTTTTCGTTGGACTTCCTAAATACTAGTAAAAATTACTAGAAAGTGTTCGGTGTGTGGAAGTTATAATATACAGGTCCCCGAATTATCTTTTCTTAGGCAAGTAAAGTATTCAGTTGTTCTTTTATTTATATTAAACCACATGGATACTTTCTGTTTAGATTTCCTAAGAATATTGATATTCGTATGGAGTGGCTAAATGTATTTTTTATATAATTTAATTTTTGTGACAGTAAACATTCAATTTATTGTTCAAATATATGCATTTTACAAATTAAATTTTCAAAATTAATGTTCAAATTTGCGCGTGGATGCTACGTTCTCGACAAGGATAGATAGAGTAGAAGCACTACGTGGGCAAGAAAAAAGAAGATAAATGAAAGTAGTTGATAGGATTGCGACAGTTTCCACAGTGATTTACTTATCCACGTAAGTATAGGAAAGAGTAGATAAGACAAGAGACGACAGTGAACAAAGAAGTCGAATTTCGCGAGAGAGACGCAGATATATTAAAATTTAAAGGTCCCATCAAGTCCCATTTTGTCTGTTGCCAAGTATATTTCTTTGAAAAATAAATAAGATTTTCTGAAAATAAATTAATATTATAAGCAGGATATAAGTAACGTATGTTAATACTGAAATGTAAATTTTTAGTTTAGGTTGGTTTAGGTTCTTTTTTCGCAATATACTGATAATATCAAAGAAACAAAATGACTAATTAGTTGACCGATTTCAAAGATAAACAGATAAAATCTCAAAATCTGACAACGGCGTATTTTATCTAATCTAACAAGAATCTAACCTATGATTTTAGGACGCTAATCAGCTGTGCTAATCAGGCTTAAACATAAACAAATCTGATTAGTTGTTTTCTTGCATTTTTGCCTTTTTAAAGTGAGTTTTTCGATATATTATCGTTTTGAGAGTTTTTAAGGTTTAATTTTAGTATCGTTTTTGTTGCGTACTAATTTGTAAATATTGTTAAATATGAATACTGAACAGGACACGAGTAGCAGGAAAAGACGAGATGGTGGCAATGTGTTTGCTTATAAAGACTGCAAAAATAGGTTTTACTCTTCGACAAACATAATATTTCACTCTTTTCAGAAGGATCCTGAAAAGTATTTTTACAGAAATATACTATATAATTATGTTATTAAACTAAATGTAATCCATAGATCGAAGACACGGTTAGAAGCTTGTAATACATTTAAAAAAAACTCTATTTTTTTGTACATAAACTCCACACTGTGATTTTACATTTGTTCAAGTCCATATGTAAAAAAAATACACGTAAATAAAACATTTCTTACAAATCGACTTGGTCACTTTATCTTGTTTACCAACGATATACAAAATATTGCTTTTATTATCTTTATTCCCCGACAAATATGTTTCTAATTATAATTTATTTTATATAATATTTAGAAAACTCATTTTTTTTTCGTTTCTATTTATTTCTTTACCCATACAGTAACTATATATAATCTATACAGGCAAGTTTTAATAATAGTCTATTTCAAATTTCCCGCGAAAAAATTACGAAAATTTAAAGGGACAAGCGAGAGACGAGGTCACTCTCCCACCACTCAAACATGAAAGGTACCGCGCGAACTGTCGTCTCTTGTCTTATCTACTCTTTGGTATAGGTATATGATCTAGAGTTATCACTCATAACTCTACAGTATGTCCCCGGATTGTCTTTACCAGAGGAAAAACTTTGTTATTATTGACATTTTAAGAATAATGCATGCTTCATAACAATTTTTGCTTGGTCTAAAATGGTTAATCCCGTTTGTTTTTACTTTTCTAAATTTCCATACCATTTTAGAGAAAATTAAAAGAAAACATGAAAATATGGTTGACTTAAGTCCTAGAAATCAAAAGGCTTTTCTACGGTAATATAATTTCGATTTTTTTCCAAAACTATTATCCTCTTTCCGTAGCATTCAATTAAATAAATTTTGTGCTTCTTTGACATTTTAAAACAGCAAAAAATATGACGTTAATTAAAATTGTATTAATAACACTCTACCAAAGAATGAAAACGAAATTATATTACCATAGAAACGGATTTTGATTCTCAGGACAAAAATTCAACTATATTTTCATGTTTTTATTTAATTTTCTGTAAAACGGTATGGAAATTTGGAAAAGTATAAACGGGATTAACCATTTTACAACAAGCAAATTTTTTATAAAGAATGCTTTTTTCTAATGTCAATAACAAAAAAGTTTTTCCTCTTGTAAAGATAATCCGGGGACATAATGTATAAAACCGGATTCCTCCGGAATATTAACAATTAATTTACTTGGAATCAATATGGCAAATATTGATGTGATCTTCTAAACTCCCCTGTAACATATATTTCCGGTCACACTGCGCACAAGCAAACACACGTCGTTCTTCCGGTGCCAAGTGAATTTTCTGGTGTTTCCTAAGACTTGATTTATGTCTTGTTTGAAAGCCACACATGGCACATTTATGGACTTCTTTCTGCGATTCCCTCAATTCTTTCGCCCTAGTAAAATAGTTTTTAAATATTACAGTCTTTTTTGTCACTCGATAAAACAGGGTCCGGCAAATATACCGTATGATCGAATAAAAACGGCGTCAACGATGGCTATGAAATGAATATCACTGTCACTTTATATGTAAAATTATATGGGAAATGTCATCGATCGTCATTTCCAAGCCAACTGGACGCCGTTTTTTTCGATCTTACGGTATAACAGCAATAATCACAGACGCACTGATAAACCTCTTTTAAAAATTTAAAGTAGTGAATAAAATAAGTCTCTTTGACTAAATCCTAGAGTTCCATTTTTCAAAAAACAAGATATGTGCTACTTTAAATCGCTTTTTAAACCGACTTTTATTCAGTGAAATATATACAGGGTGTTTCAAAAAACATGTGCCATCTCTCCTGGGGAGATTCCTCACGTAAAAATAAGATTTAATTTGCATATCAACATAGGTACGATTGTGCTCTGTTTCGTAGCTACAGGGTGTTCAAGTCTTAATATTTTTTCGATTTATTATAATTTTCTTGCAAATACTTTAGTGTTTCGAATGAAATTTTGAGGGAAAAAAATGGAAAGAGGTATGGAAATGCATAGTTTTAGAGTTACAGGATGTTAAAACTTTTTAAAATTAGGTTTTTTGTAATACCATTATTTTTTTATTTGAAATTGTTGTAGGTTGGACTATTAGTAATAATAACTAATAGTAATAATATTTAATAATAAATTAGGTAAAATATATAATTTATTAATTTTATTTTTATTTTAATTTTATTAATTGTGATTAATAAAATTGCGTTTATCTCATCAAGGAGGCCGAATTCAATAAAATATCAACAAATAACTATTAATGGGCATTAAACGGCCTACACAATTTTTTATATCAAAAAGAAGTCAGTGGCGCACATGTTTTTTTTTGAAAAACATTCCAGTGATAACCCATATACACGTCCCTGATGAATTTATCGACACTTTTTAGCATTAAAATATGTAGCACTTTATAAAAAATACTACAAATATGTAGCATTAAAATATGTAGTAACTTTGACCCTTAAAATTTCATTCGTATCATTAAAAGTACTTGGAAGAAAATTATAATAAATCGAAAGATTATTGAGACCCTGTAGCTACGAAACAAAGCAGAATTGGACCTATGTTGATATGAACAATAAATCTTATTTCTACGTGAGGAATCTCCCCACGAGAGATGGCACATGTTTTTTGAAACCCTGTATACAGGGTGGTCCGAACAGTATTCAGGAAACTTCGGCAGCAAATTCTGCGCATAAAAATAAGTAAAAAAGTTCGTATAAATGTATGTCCAAAAATACTTAGTTTCGGAGATACAGGGTGTAGGAGTTTCATTTTTATTTCGATTTTTTCTAAATAATTTCTGAAGTAATGTCAATATTTAGATGAAAATTGGTGGATCGGTGTTTTTTGACATGAGAAATTTGATTTTGATGTCAATATGACACCCATTTGTAGGTGGCGCCACCTACATGTGTTTTAACTGTTTTGAAGAGTAATAACTTTTCGTAGGTACCTGTATAAAACTACTGAGTAAAAAAATATACATTTACGACTTTTTTACATAAAAAAGGTCTCTTGGTAAAAATCGCTAGGAGTAATGGTTCTCGAGATATTTGGAATCGAAATTATCAATACCTGTCATCATTGACATAAATTAAACACGTTGACTACATAGTTATTAGACTGAAATCATAAATTTGAAATATTTTTGTGTCAAAAGTTCAAAAGAAACTGTTTAATCATAATTTTTTCGCAGAAAAACTTACGATTAATTTAAAAAAATAAAAATTAATTATTTCAGTCAAATAACTATACTCAACGTGTGCTTATTTTTTGTCAATAATGACATGTATAGACTAATTCCATTCTAAATATCTTGAGAACAGTTGCTCGTAGCGACTTTTACCAAGAGACATTTTTTACATAAAAAGTCATGGAAATGTATATTTTTTTAGTCAATGGTTTTATACAGGTACGGTCGAGAAAAGGTATTACTCTTCAAAACAGTTAAAACACACGTAGGTGGCGCCCCCTACAAATAGGAGTAATTTTGACATCAAAATCAAATTTCTCGTATCACAAAACACCCCGATACCAATTTTCACCCAAATATTGATGTTACTTCAGAAATTATTTGAAAAAAATCGAAATAAAATGAAACTTCTACACCCTGTATCTCCGAAACTAAGCATTTTATCTGTAGAATGATATGCCGCCGAAGTTTCCGGAATACAATTCGGACCACCCTGTATACATATATAGGGTGGTCCGAACTGTATTCCGGAAACTTCGGCAGCATCTACAGATCAAAATAAGTAAAAAAAATCGTATAAATGTACGCCCTTAAATGCTTAGTTTCGGAGATACAGGGTGTAGAAGTTTCATTTTTATTTCGATTTTTTCCAAATAATTTCTGAAGTAACGTCAATATTTGGATGAAAATTGATGTCTGGGAGTTTTTTGACATGAGAAATTTGATTTTGATGTCAATATGACTGAATGTGTTGTAACTGTTTTGAAGGGTAATAATAACTTTTCGTCCATATCTGTAAAAAACTGCTGAGTGAAAAAATATACATTTCCGTGACTTTTTAAGTAAAAAATGTCTCTTGGTAAAAATCGCTGCGAGCAACCATTCTCACGATATTTAGAACGGAAATAGTCAAAACATGTCATTATTGACAAAAATAAACACGCGTTGAGTAGATAGTTATTTAACTGAAATAATAAATTTGGGAAATTTCTATTTTTTTAAATTAATCATAAATTTTCTGTGAAAAAATGATGATCAAATAGTTTCTGGCGAACTTTTGGCACAAAAAGATTTCAAATTTATGATTTCAGTCTAATAACTATTTAGTCAACATATATGTATAATTTATGTCAATGATGACAGGTATTGATAATTTCGATTCCAAATATCTCGAGAACCATGACTCGTAGCAATTTTTACAAAGAGACCTTTTTTACGTAAAAGACATCGTTAATGTATATTTTTTTACTCAGTAGTTTTATACAGGTGCGGACGAAAAGTTATTGCTCTTCAAACCGGTTAAGATGTAGGTGGCGCCCTCTACAAATAGGAGCCATATTGACATCAAAATCAAATTTATCGTGTCAAAAAACTTCCAAACACCAATTTTCATCCAAATATTGACGTTACTTCATAAATTATTTGGAAAAAAAAACGAAATAAAAATGAAACTTTTACACCCTGTATCTTCGAAACTTAACATTTTAGGACATATATTTATACGAACTTTTTTACTTCTTTTTATCTGCAGAATATGTTGTCGAAGTTTCCGAAATACAGTTTGGACCACCCTGTATATACATATACAGGGTGATTCCTGTAAGTCGGTCATGCTTTCGAGGAATGATAGGGGTCGTCGAAATATGAATTTTGATATAGCACACTATGAGTCGGAAATGCCTCTTACGCAAGATACAGGGTGTTAAAGTTTTTGAAAAATTAAAGATATTCTTTAATAGTTTTTTAACAGTTGAAGGTATCGTTATAAAATTTCATTATGAGAATCTACCTAACAGAGACACTTTAAATGTAAAAAGAAGAGGTTTCAGTTTCAACCAGTGGTGTAGATGTGATACGTATCGGGTAATTTTTTCAAAAAAAAAAATAGTACGCCACTGATGAAAATAAAAATTTCGGATTTTTTTTTATTTACTCGGTTTATTTCCAAGAAAAAATGTCTCTTGCAACTTTCTTCTATCTAACACCATTTTGTCACAATTTGAAAATAAATATTTGTTTAATGAGAACCTTAAATATGCGAATTATTATAACTAACTTAAAACTACGAATTTTAATATTAACAATAAAAAAAATTCTAGTTTAAATTTATAATTTTTTAAAAATTTATTTAGAGCTGATAGTAAAAAGTACTAAAGTTACCCAAGATGAAGGGTGCTAACGATGCACATGTGTTTGTTTCTGCCCTCTAGTTATAATAATTCGCTGTATTTAAGATTCTCATTAAAAAAATTATTTATTTTTAAATTGTGACAAAATGGTGTTAGATAGGAGAGAGTTGCAAGAGACATTTTTTCTTGGAAATAAACCGAGTAAATAAAAAAACTCAGAAATTTTTATTTTTATCAGTGGCGTACTATTTTTTTTTTTGAAAAAATTACCCTACGCGTATCACATCTACGCCACTGGTTAAAACTAAAACCTCTTTTTTTACATTTAAAGTGTCTCTGTTAGGTAGATTCCTATAATGAAATCTTATAACGATACCTTCAACTGTTAAAAAACTATTAAAGAATATCTTTAATTTTTCAAAAACTTTAAAACCCTGTATCTTCCGTAAGAGGCATTTCCGACCCATAGTGTGCTATATCAAAATTAATAATTCGACGTCCCCTATCATTCCTCGAAAGCATGACCGACTTACAGGAATCATCCTGTATATATGGTAGGTAACTTAAATCACTTTAAACATTATTAGGTAATGTACCTTTAATTTTTTGTTAACTAATTAATATTCTAGTTAATTTAATCCAATAAATAATTAATATCCGAATAACAATATTATTTTCTCTAATTTATATATTTATATTTTCTATTTTATGATATAAACATGACATATACACAAAAAAAAGACAAACGATTGGTTACTCATAAAAGACAAAGATAATCAGATAGTCGAATGTCGCTGACGTGTCTTCAACAAAAATAAAGCGAATTTACTTATCCACGAAGTTTATAAGAAGTATTTGACTAATAAAAAAAAATTGTCTCACTGACAAAAAAACGCTTAAAGTTTTAGAAGGCATATGCCCTCTCGTTGTCTGAAGGAAAAAACTCAAAGAACAAAGAAAAGCCATTTAAAATATCTGAATACAACTACAAATCAAGACAACTTTTTTAAGCAGATACATATCTATTTAGGTATAATTTTTGCGCTAACAATAATAAATTTACCTGGCATCAATATGGTTATCCCGAAGATGATCTATTAAGCTCTCTTTCCTTGTATATTTCTTATCACAGTGTGCACAAGCAAACAACTGTCGTTCTTCCGGTGCCAAGTGAACTTTCTCGTGTCGGTTAAGTCTTGGCTTTTCCTGTGTTTGGAAGCTACATGTGGAACATCTATAGACATTTTTCTGCATTCTAATAAAAGAATTGCTTAATATTAAGTCTGTCTCGAAAAAGTCCCATATAATGATTTCTGATAGAGATTTTTCCTACAACCTTTTTCACAAAATATGCGAGCAAAGAGAGCGCTCATGTTAAAAATACTAATAGATATACAAGGCGTTTCTAGTTTTTTTTAAATAAATTGCTAAAATCCCTATTCCAAAAATACCAGAATGCCATAATCGATATTGAGTGGTTTTTGAAATAAGAGCATTCAAAGACTAAATTTTCTGTACACTTAAAGCTCCGTCATAATTATAAAGTAGTAGATTGTTTAAATTTTTTAATTGGATATTTAAAAAAAAACAGTCTTGAAAAAAGTATATCTAAAGTATGTTTCAGAGTATATACCAGGCGAGTTAAAACTAAATGTAGTTTTTACTGCTCTATTTTAAATAAATCACACATGTATATTAGTATCAAAATAATTTACCCCTATACGAAAGTACTTCGATTATCCATGTGACGCTATGACCTTAAAAAAAATTAAGACACCTTTTTAAGAACCGATATTCCCATTTGAATGAGAAATGTTATGTCAGTAAGCCAGTGATAAGCTGGTTTCCGTCTGACTTACATGCCCCAGTGTTTACAAATAGATTTCTATTCTAGTGTTATTTAAAATTTAGTTTTTTTTATTTTTTTGTTTTTTAACCAGTAGCATATGACTTTAAAGGTACGCGATATAAAACTATATCTGGCCATGTCATATTGCCATTAGGTATCACTAAAATACGAGATATATTTTTATAAACACGTATTTTATATACATAATACATCACATATTTTTATAAACACAGTTTTACCAGCAATATCTATACTAATATATAAAATCCTTCAGTGACTGACATGCTGATTAATCACGATCCTGCTCAAATCACTCAACATAAGAAGCTCAATTTTGGCATACAGGTTGATTCTAGGGTGTAGAGGTTCGATAAGAAGGGATTTTTCGAAATTCCAGTTCCAAGAGGGTGAATTCCCATTCATCAAATATTACAATATTTTTTATTTAAAAAACGGTCAAGTTTCCGAAAAAACGCTTAAACACGTATATTTTATTTTGTTTTTTTACATATTTTAAGATTTTTTAAAAATGTATACAGGGTGTTTCGAAAAATCTGGTCATTGATTAATCACGATCCTGCTTAAAACGCTTGAGCAAGTAAAAGGCTGATTTTTGGAAAACAGATTGACTTTAGGGTGTAGAGGTTCGATAAGAAGGGATTTTTCGAAACTCGAATTCTAAGGGGGTGGAACTATCCCTCAAATATTAAAATATTTTTTATTTAAAAACCGGTGAGTTTTTCGGAAAAACTCTTAAACACGTATATTTTATTTTGTTGTTTTACATATTTTAAGATTTTTTATAAATTTATATAGGGTGTTTCATAAAATATGACCATTGAGTAATCACGATCCTGCTTAAACTGCTTGACGTTTAAAGCTGATTTTTGGCAAACGGATTGACTGTGGGGTGTAGAGGTTCGATAAGGAGGGGTTTCTCAAATATTACAATATTTGTTATTTAAAAAACGGTTAGTCTTTCGGGAAAACGCTTGAACAAGCATAATTTATTTGGTTTTTTACATATTTTGAAATTTTTTAAAAAATTATACAGGGTGTTCCAAAAAGTTGGGTCATTTTTTAACCACGATTCTGCTTAAACTGCTTGACGTAAAAAGCTTATTTTTGGCAAACGGATTTTTTGAAAGTCAAATTCCAACGAGATGAAACTACCCCTCAAATATTACCAAGTTATATAATAATATCGCCATATTGTTTTTTCTCATGCTGACATAAATGTGAGAAAATTTTATCCAGTTTGTATGTTAATGGAAAATTTTGCTTTGCTTTATCATCACCATTACAAATGATTAATTCGACGCGAACGAAGTCGCTGGTACACGCTAGTTTATAATAAACGAAAACTAATCATTAGTGTTTTGACAGAAGGACATAAATTGTCTGATGGTTTGACACTTAATGTCAAAGGAAGCTAGATAAAATCAAGAAAAAATACGCTTTAAAACTAAATCTTAAATATCTTAAACACGATTCAATTTAGGTATAGGAACATGTAGTATAAATGTAGTATAATCAAAAAGTAATGAATTGAAAAACCTTTTCACTAGTGAAATAAAAAAAATGGGTTTTCATTTGAAAAAAAAATATTTATGATAATTTGTTAATTGCTCAATTTCTTGACAGCCAAGGCCAATATTATGACATTCGAACAATTTAATTTTTGAAATAGATAGCCACATGTCTTCTCTTTATGCCACAGTGGCTGCGGTAATCACAAATCTATCGTTTAGGCTATACGGATTTTTTTTGAAATGCACTTTTTTCCCTCCGAAAATTTTAAATATTTTTTTCATCAAAAACGATTAATGTTAGGTATAGAATGTTTGATATCAAAATTCATAAAATTTTACAGAGAATTTAAGTATGTAATAAAAAATAGGGATACCCATTTAAAAAAAGAAAGTTGCTGTCAAATTCTGGTATTTGCAGAAGTGCCGACATATTGAAAATAATTGTAATCAACAGATCTCGTTGTGAAGCAGCGATGTGCAAAAAATCTCCGATCTAGATATTTTAGTTCTCTAGAAACTTCTAATGCACTTCTTCTAGCGCTTGAGACACCCTGTATAATTTAGATATAATTCTTATGCTAACAATATATTTACCTGGAATCAATATGAGTATTTCTAAGGTGGTATTTTAAGCCTGTCTTTGTTCTATATGTGTTACCACACTGCGCACAACTGAATAACTGTCGTTGTCCCGGCGCCAAGTGAGTTTCCTTGTGATCTCTAATACTTGTACTATATCGTGTTTGAAAGTCACATATTGTACATATATAGACCTTTTTCTGCGATTCCTTCAATTCCCTCGTTCTAATAGAATAATTTTTAAATATTAGTCTTTTAACTCTATAAAACAGGGTTCCTTTGTTATAATTCACAGATGACTTAAATTAAGAAAGACTTTTGTTAAAAAAGTAAGACAGAATCACCTATACAGGGTGTTTCAAAAAACATGTGCCATCTCTCGTGGGAATTTCTCACGTAAAAATAAGATTTATTTTTCATATCAACATAGGTCCGATTCTGCTTTGTTTCATAGCTAGAGGGTGTTAAAGTCTTAATTTTTTTCGAATTATTATAATTTTTCTCCAAGTACTTTTAGCGTTTCGACTGAAATTTTCAGGATAAAAGTTACTATAAATGCTACATATTTTGATGCTAAAAAAGTGTCGATAGATTCATCAGGGACGTGCATATGGGTTATCACTGGAATATTTTTCAAAAAAATAGAATGTACGCCACTGAATTTTTTTCTTTTGACATCAAAATTGTGTAGGCCGTTAGTTATAGTATTAGTGCCAATTAAAAGTTTTCTTGATATTAATTTCTTTACTTACTATTAATCTCTTGATATTTTGTCGAATTCGGTCTCCTTGATGAGATAAACGCAATTTTATTAATCACAATTAATAAAATTAAAGTAAACATAAAATTAATAAATTATATATTTTACCTAATTTGTTATTAAATATTATTACTATTAGTTTTTATTACTATTAGTCCAACCTACAGCATTTTCAAATAAAAAAATAATGGTATTCAAGACATTTAAAAAAAATAATTTTAAAAAGTTTTAACATCCTGTAACTCTAAAACTACTCGTATGCTTTTCCATACCCATGTTTATGGGAAATTTTTTTCATATTTTTTGATAAGGAATCAGTGAGTACGTATTTAAAACTTTCTCAAGTTAATGATATTACATTTTTTAAAGGTTCCTATTAGACTTGGATCAAGGCAAATTAATAAAATTGCATTTATCGACAAAATATTAAGAGACAACTTTTAATCAATATTAAGCAGCTTACACTATTTCGCTATCAAGAGAAAAAAAGTCAGTGGCGTACATGCTTTTTTTAGAAAAATATTCAAATGATAACCCAGACAACCCATATGTACGTCCCTGGTGAATATGTCGACACTTACACAAAGCTTTAAAATATGTCGCATTTATAGTAACTTTTACCCTCAAAATTTTATTCCAAACGCTAAAAGTACTTGGAAGAAAATTATAATAAATCGAAAAAATATTAAGATTTTAACACCCTGTAACTACGCAGCAAAGCAGAATCGGACCTATGTTGATATGAAAAATAAATGTTATTTGTACGTGAGGAATCTCCCCACGAGAGATGGCACATGTTTTTCACACATGATTGACACATGATGGCACAGGGTGTTTCAAACCCTGTATGTTAACGCTATAGTTGGAAGGTATATAGCTTTACATCCACGAAAGTATATGTTATGATCTATGTATAATTCTTAAACAAAAATAAATTTACCTGGAATCAGTATGATTATTCTGAAGGTGGTATCTTAAGCTGATTTTCGATCTGTATTCATTGTCGCAATGCGCACAAGCAAACATCTGTCGTTCTTCTCGTGTCAAGTGACTTTTCTTGTGCTTTTCAATATATGACTTACGTATCGTATAGTAGCTACATCTGGAACATCTATAGACCTTTTTTTGCGGTACATGCGCCCTAATAAAATGTTTAAATATTACATACATACAGTCTTGTAACTTTATAATTTCCCCAATGACTAAAGAATCCAAGGACAAATAACACCCGAGAGTAAATTGTGACGATGTCACCAAACAGTGCCGTGGCACACTTTTATGTTAACCTAGCTGTTTGACTACGCCTATGATGTATACGATGGTATCATACTAATTAATTACGAAAAAAACGTATTAAAATGTTAACAAAAGGTACAAAACTAGTATCGACGTATAGCACACATCAAGTACATATAATATCAGAAAAATAAGTATCGAATTCATTAGAACTATCATCATCGAACTAAGAAAACGCTAAAAAGGTGGAGCGGACTATTTATTTACCTATGAAAAACGTAACCCCTGACTCTTTCTTATCGCTGCTGCTTTTACACTTGAAAGCTGAACAACTCATCGCCACTGTAATAAAGTTTATACAAAGTGCACTACACACAAACTATTAAAAATCACTAAAATTGTCACTGGGTGACCAAATGATGACTCATTGTTTGCCATCGAAAGAATGGCGTCAAAGGTCACAAATTCTGCTGCAGCCCGTATAATATGGACGTTGCATGTCCTTATATTCTTTATGTCCACCTGCACCGTTTGTATAAACTTTGTTTAAAGGCTAAACAGTGATTAACTAAATATTATATAGTTAATCACTGATTAGCCTTTAAACAAAGTTCATACAAACGGTGCAAGTGGGCATTAGTCATTGAGTTTCCCTAAATTTTAACCTCACATATCTACCCCTATTATGATCTAAGATTACGGTTAAAGTGACCAGATTTTGAGTCAACCAATGACGGACGCAGGAGCGCCGGCAACAGAAGTAACGGAGCAGTTTCATGAATAGTACTGACACTACTGACGCATATTTATACAGGGTGTTTCAAAAAACATGTGCCATCTCTCGTGTGGAGATTCCTCACGTAAAAATAAGATTTATTTTTCATATCAACATAGGTCCGACTCTGCTTTGTTTCGTAGCTAGAGGGTGTTAAAGTCTTAGTAATTTTTCGATTTATTAAGACTTTAACACCCTGTAGCTACGAAACAAAACAGAATCGGACCTATGTTGATATGAACAATAAATCTTATTTTTACGTGAGGAATCTCCCCACGAGGGACGGCACAGGTTTTTTGTTAACACCCTGTATAATTTTTAAGAAAACATGAAATATAATAGAAAATATAGGTTAATCTTAAAAATATATAGCAAAATTTATTAGTTAATAAACAAAAATAATAACAAAAAAAAATTATAGATATATAATATACCATTCTGCCGAAAAATGAATATTTTCGCAAGAATGTCTCTTTTTAGGGTTCCGTACCTCAAAAAGAAAAAAACGGAACTCTTATATAGGATCACTTTGTTGTCCCTCTGTCTGTATATACCCTTTATTATCTCGGGAACGCGTGGAGATATCGAGTTGAAATTAAAACCATATTACTCAGGTCTACAGTCCCTTCCCAAGTAGCATTTTTAGACACAAAATCGAAACAAAATCTCTGTTGACAAACATTGGCGAAACAGTTTCGTCACTTTTTTGATACATATTTTTTGTAACATAAATCGCTTTTTGTTACGAAACATTTTAACAAAATATGGTTTCGCTGCGTAAGCTATGACAATAAAGATCTTTGTGTCACAAACTTTTAAGAAACAGATGTGGCTCACATTTTCAGATTTTGTACCCGTTTTGTGCCTGAAAAGTTTCCATAATTTATTTGATATTCTGTAAAATATGAGAACGTAACCTTACTTTATCGTTTGGATTTTGTTCTGCAGTTTTAGCATTTAAGCATTCTTCAAGTTTTTATAGTACTATAATTAAAAAAGCAGAAGGAAGGACATATGGTGAGTACAAAAACAGACATTTTTCTTTTGCGATTTTATAATAATTTATTATACGAATTACAGAGATGATTTGGAACAGGAGACCGAAGAAAAATATTACCAGCAAACGTTTTTTTCTCTTTTTCCCGCAATAGAATACATCTTTTATGTTTTAATAACTATTGTATTATAATAAGTAAGTAAAAATGTTTTAATTATTTTGAACAGAAGTTTTGACAGGTGACTAGTTTGTCATTTCTACACAGATAGCGCTAAATCGAAACATTTTGGAAACAACGTTTCCATTTATTGTCAATTCATTTTCGAAACACGATATTCTCTCTTAAACAGTTTCTCTCGACACAAATATGATATAATGTAGATGATTTGTGTTCGACCCCATGTCAATTTTATAAAATAATGAATTAAAATTCCGCCATGTTGGCTAGTGATAGCGTTTTTAACTAAAAATATATGTTTTTATCGGCTGTTGAGCTTTTAACTCATAAGAACGCGTTCTACTTACACTGATTTATATACATATTTTATTTTCAGAACCATGATATAAAAATAAAAAAATTATATTTCAAAAAAAAATATTTTGTAGCAAGAAATAATTATTATAGAAGGGGCATTAAAAATATTAAAGAATAAATATACATTATTAAATTAAACGATGAATTTGCTTTTGCCAGACATTGTTTGTGCGACAAAAAACTTAAAAACCAATATTTTAAGACAAAAAAATTATGGCGGTGGTCGACATTGTTGATGGTTTCCATTTTGAAATCCACACACAGACATAGACTATTTTAGTTTGGTATTTTGTTTCTTCACATTTAAAAACAGTGGCTGCTGAAAACGGGGACATCTTGGACACAAATTGGAGAAAATGTTTCGAAACATTTCCTCTAAAAGTTTCGATTCCGCATCGAAACATTTCAGGAAACGGCTTAACATGTGATAACATGTAATAAAGCCATATAAAATATATAGGTTTCGATAATGTTTCCTATTTGTGCCAAGAAACCAGACACAATTATCAGAAACATTACCTAAAATGTGTCCAAAAATGCTACCTACTTGGGTTGAAGCTGTGAAAAAATCAAACTTCTAAGATAAAGTAAAAAAAAAAGATACGGCCGTTTATGCTGCAAAAAACGTATATTTCGACTTTCTCAAAGGAATCAAAATTTATAGGGTATTTGCCAATACAAAATATAGTCTTGATTAAAAGTATGTAATCGATCATCGAGGTTAAGCAACGGTATGCGCAGTCGTAATTGTATGGGCGACCAAATCTTTTTGTAGATTTTTTAAACGTTTACTAATGCTAGAACTAAAAAAATACATCTAAATGAATAATTTTAAAATTAACAAATTAAAATTTATAGAATTTTATGCATTATTTCTTTCATACATTATTACCAAAATATTTTGAATACCTACCGTCAATTTTTTTTATGTTGTTTAAAGTATGACATTTTCCGATAATTGTCACCCTTTCTGCAGCATTTAACTAAATAATTTTGTGCTTTTTTAATATTTTAAAGCAACAAAAAATGTGAGGTTAATTAAAATTCTGTCATCAGGATAATCCTTTTAAAATCATTGGCATTATTATCAGAGCCATATTTTAATCGATACTTATTCAAGTAAAACACACCCAAAATTTGTTTTCAACATTTTTTTCACCATTGCGCTAAAGTTTATCTAAATTTGTTTTGTTTGTGGATAATCATAATCAGTAGTAAATGTATTTAAGAAATTACATTCTCCGCTCTGCAAAGATCAGTAGTGTCGCGTAGCATAAGGTTAAAATATTTTTAATTGACTTAGATCATGATTTTTTGATCACTTCCCGTTTCACCGAAAATGACTACAACTTTTGATTTTTAAATGGCACCCTCGGTATTTTTTTACGTTATTCGATAGAAAATGACATTCTGAATAGAATAACATATCATATGTCAACTTTTGACATTCTCGCTTAATAAAAAATCGTATTTTAAAATTCAATCTAGAGTACCATGGCTATGTTAAAAACACTAATTCTTAATCAAGGAGCCTTGGAAAAATAGATTTGATCGTCTAATGTTATTAGTGTCTTGTGCTGGACAGTTAGAAAACTCTCAAATCGTATTTTTAATCATATCTCATTTTTTTTTCAAATAGAGCGAGGCTGGCTCATTAGCATATTTGGAAAAAGAATTTTTTACGAATAATTTGATACCACACACTTGGTATTTCGAGTCAAATTTTCGTTACGAACCGCAAGTTATATTTTCAAATACACCATATGCGAAAATGTCAAAAGTTGACATATGATATGTCATTCTATTCAGAGTGTAATTTTCTTTCGAATAAAGTAAAAAAATACCGAGGGTGCCATTTAAAAATCAAATCAAAAATCAAAAGTGTCAAAAGTTGTAGTCATTTCCGGTGACACAGGAAGTGACCGAAAACAATTTAATACGTCAATCAATCCTAATTTATGTTATATACTAACATACCAAATCTCATTTTTTTAACTGAAAAAATAAAATAATTGGTAAACACGTGGACTGCTCCACAAATACACGTCACGTCACTACGTATTTCTAAGGCGTTAACACGTTTCGTTACGAGCTCGTGTGTCAGGACCGTCTCACTAGCTCTTATGTCACGGCCTTGAATTTTTACTCCCAGCGCGCCTTAAGAAGTTTCACTCCAAAATGTTTCATAAATCATATCCTAAAATTGCATTAGCAACTAGAAATATTTACTATTCTATTATATAATTATAATTATTTATTATATTATATTATAATTATAACAAGTACTAACCACAACACTACAACATAAAAAAACTATACACATATAAACTAAAATTCGTAAAATAAATCGCCAAATAATAATTATTTTTACACACACCACTGGTACTAGCAGTAGATTGTATTTGTCTCCGAATATATGCCCCGGCCCGTCCACAATTCAATCCCAGCATCTTTTATCATCGTCTCTTCAACGCTAATGGCGCCGATCTCGACTATCTCTTTCTCATAGGATTGATTGCTGGACGGGCCGGGAATCCACGAGCTTGCGACGTTATTAATTGACATCTTGATAGAAACTGTAGACCTGCCGCGTCTTTTGCGTGTTTTTAATGGACACAAATCGAAAAAAGCGCTTAAAACGGTAAAATCGCAAAAAGCGCTTGAGACGCAAAAAACGCAAAACGCTAAAAACGCTTTCTGTGTGGCAGTGGGCTAACTGTTTCTATCTTATTTTTTTTTTAGAATGGGCATAATCAAGAGGGTTACTGATACCTTGTTGTAAAAATTAGGTAATTAAGGGCTTATTTTTTGGTATTTATGATAAATTGGCTGATATCTTCGGTTTGAAAGAAGATATCAAGCCAATTTATCATAAATACCAAATATCAAGATGCGGTTTTCGCTGACATTTTAAGCTTTTACTACTCTTACTGTCATGTAAAATTACATATACTATCGTATTTAATTTTTTTGAAAAAACGCGCTGTTTGTTAAATTGTAAGAAAGCGCCCCCTAGCGTCTACGTTCTAAACCTTATTATTATTTTTATGGTATAATATAGAGTAAGAAACGCTCTTTTAAACGAGCTCGTTTGTTGGATTCTGATCATCCAGTCCGGAATATTTTAGCAGGGGGAAAATGGTTCTAATGAAAAAAATCCAAAATTTACGGAATATTATGAAGCTATTATTTATAGTACCCATTATCTAGGCAAAATTCTGTAAAAATTCTATTTTCTTATTTTCCATAGTAGTTGCGCCGTCTAGCGGAGGTTTTACAAACTTGAAAATAATTTCCAACAATTTCTCATAGCCCCTTTAGTTATAAATATTTCTTTCCGTAGGCCCTACGGCTAATACTTTCCGAAATACAGTCGAGAGCTATTCTTAGTGAGACACCCGGTACATATAAGTATGAAGTAATTTTTATACTAACAATAAATTTACCTGGAATCAATATGATTATCCTCAAGGTGCTGGTTTAAGTTGTGTTTTCTTGTATATTTCTTGTTACAGTGCACACAAGAAAACTTCTGTCGTTCTTCGTGTGCCAAGTGACTTTTCTTACTAAAAAAATAGAAAAAAGTATATAACAGTAACAGTTGGTCAGTCTTATAACAGTAACAGTTGGTCATATCTTAAATATAAATATTACATAATATACTAAGTGTATATGTACAATTTTTAATTAAGAAATAACTTTTTTTGGATGTTTAAAATTAATATACAGTACGTCCCCGGATTGTCTTTACAAGAGGAAAAACTTTTTTATTATTGACTTTTTGGGAAAAATGCATTCTTCATAAAAATGTTTGCTTGTTTTAAAATGGTTAATCCCGTTTATACTTCTCCGATTTTCCACATCGTTTTAGAGAAAATTAAGAAAAACATGAAAATATAGTTGAATTTTTTTAAGTCATTCTTTGATAGATTGTTATTCATATAATTTTAATTACCATAATATTTTTTATAATATACAATAATACAAATAATATACATAGGGTTGAATTTAAAATAACAAAGATCTAAGCAATTTTATAACAAAAGGAAATAAATAATATTTTTGCTCTTCCTGTGTAATATCCAATGGGTTTATTTAGACAGATCGAATATTATCGACTTCCGTAAATTTATAATCCAAATTTCAACTTTGAAAATGTTTAATTCATGGTTTTACCAATGCTTATTCATGATCATGTTTTTGTCAATTTTACACGTTTTATTTTTTATCTCAAAAACTATTAGAGATAGGTATAGGTTAGTATAATAGAAAAATTATGGGATATGAAAGTAGTTTTCAAACGTGTAATAATATACTGAGTGTTCTATTTAAAATAAGAAAAATGCTGCCAATTTTCAAATGATGCGGCAACACTGTAACGCTGAAAATATTTTAGAAAGATGGAGAAGGTGCCTTTATGTAAAAATTAAAATTTTTCATAAAAATTCACCAGTTCTCCATAAACGTCTAACGTGCCATCGCCGTGAATCACACTACCGGGTGCGTCTCAAAAGTGGCTCACCCCCTATAACTTTTTTATTTTTTCAGATAAAACAATGAGATTTGGTATGTTAGAATTTAGAATTTAGAATGAGTGGGAGGGGGGTTAATCACTTCGACCTTACAGATCCATTGTGTCCCCCTTTCTTGAATCATAACTCATCATACAGTCCCAGGGCTTTGACAAAAGCCAGTATCTGGGACGGTTTTATAGAGGGTAGTTCTCCATCTCCAATATCAGTCGTACCAAAATTCATGGCACGAATGGTTGTCGTCTCGGCGCACTCAGTGATGAGGTGTACTGGTGTTTCACCATCTTCCCCACAGAATCTGCATTCGCCGTTTCTTCTTAGTTTCAATCTACTGAGGTGTTCATTGAGGAGACAGTGTCCTGTTAAAAACCCCGTGACAATCCGAAGATTGTTCTTACTCAGACCCAGGAAGATATGTGATTTTCTTGATCATAAGCCCTCAGAAACTTCTTCGACTGTCTTAGACCATTGCAAGATTTCCATTCCAGGTTGCGGATGGAATCTTCCAAGTTCTTGAGTTCCGCCTTGAGTTGGTTACCACTTGGAAAGCAGAACGGTTCTGGTCCAGTTAGTGGAGTGTTCGCTCCTTTCCTAGCTAGATTATTTGCTTTTTCATTGCCTTCTATCCCTTGGTGAGCAGGCACCCAGTGTAGGAGGACTTTGTTTTCTTTGCCTAATTTATTCAGCTTCTCTATTGGTATGTTAGTACATGACATAAATTATGATTGGCATATTCAATTGTATTTGCTCACTTCCGGCTTCACCGGAATTGACTTCAACTTTTGATTTTTAAATGGCACCCTCGGTATTTTTTAACTTTATTCGATAGAAAATGACACTCTGAATAGAATGACATATCATATGTCAAATTTTGACATTTTCGCATATGGCTTATTTGTAATTATTATTATTATTATTAACAAGCCAGGCAGTAGACGGCAAAGCCGGTAAGACTGCACATTTCTCTAGTATATACACTATTTACACATGCTTTAATTTCTATTGCACTCTCATAGTTAGCGTTTTAGGAAACTGTCTGTGTGTTTTTAAAACTATTCACACTGGGTGCAGTCACAATGTCTTCTGGTAAGCTATTCCATTGAGCCACCACACGGTTTGTAATAAACTCTTTTCTCGAAAGTCTATGACACCTCTCTGCACACAGTTTTAGAGGGATGTCCCATCAAATTGGCATTGTTATTTCGGTGGAAAAAGACTATCTCACACGAGTAGTGGCCATGTAGTATCTTATAGTATTCTATGAGATCTCCCCGGCTCCGGCTCTCCTCCAATGTTGTCAAACCAAGACGTTTTAACCTCTCTTCATAAGGAAGATTTCTTAGGGTTGGTGGAATCTTAGTTGCACGTCTTTGCACTCGCTCCAAGAGGTCCATATCCTTGCGGAAATATGGGGACCATGTCACCACAGCATGTTCTAAAATATGCCTGATGTAGGTCTTATATGTTTTAAGCAGGGTTTCCTGCGACATCTCCCGGAATGCACGGCGAATCATGTATACCAGCGTGTTCGCGCGTTTTACCACCTTTGCCACCTGACTCTCCCACTTCAAGTTTTCTGATAAGGTTACGTCCAGGTCATTCTGTTCACCAACGGATATTAAAGTAGTGCATTTTATGCTGTACTCCAGTCTTGGGTTATATAGCCTACATGCAGTGTGGTACATTTGTCAGTGTTAAGACGTAGCAATTGTAACATGCGGTTCATAACGAAAATTTGACTCGAAATACCCCCAGTGTGTGGTATCAAATTATTCCTAAAAAAATTATTTTTCCAAATATGCGCCAAACCAAATATCCATAATGAGCCACCCTCGTTCCATTTGAAAAAAATTGAGATATGATTAGAAATACTAATTGGGCATCGGCCAGGACAAGACACTAAAAACATTAGACGATCCGAAGGATACTATAGAGATAAGGATAGTTCGATTCCTATCTTCCTGCACTGTCAGTTTTTTTACGTTATCTAGGGACCGAGATGAAGTTGGCGCTAAAGATTTTAGACAGTGACAGTTATTTTTGCCTTTGACAGACGAGCGCACAGTGCGGTGGAAGATAAATTTAGCGGGACAAAACCGTTTGGTTAGAAACAGGGCTCAGTCACTCTTAAGGAGCATTAAATTACAAATTGACGATTCGGCCCACTATAGATGGTGCTAATTTACGTCGTGTATATATGGTTGCAGAACAGTTCTTCGTGTATGTATGGTTGCTTCAAACGTTACGATTGGTTCGGTCTTTAAATTCATTTTATGAATTTTGCGATTGATTTCCCTTTTCCGTCCAGCCAAATTATGTTGAACATTGCCAAAGGTATGTACTTTTCTACTGTAGGTATATTATTTGTTAAAATCCTTCGTGCCTTTGTTCTGCAGGTATTAAACTTTCGCTTTTTTCAAATATTGATATATTGAATGATGTCGTAGATCTTTTGAGTTACAATAGTTACCAACACATGCTGCTGTAATTGTTGAAACCTTAACTCCATCGAAAGGCACTGAGTTTAAAAAATTAATAGCTGCCCATACACGGAAAGGCCCGGCCTTCGAACTTGGCCTTGAGGCCGGGGGTTTTACTCAAACCATAGCGGAAATATATCCGCGGACTTTGCCTATTGGTGGGTTCATACAGCCAAATTAAAATAAAATAAGAATAAAATAAAATAAGAAATAAGGAATTCCAATTGATATAAAACTGCATGAATATTCTTTATATTTCAATACATTTTTATCAACCAAATTTGATCGTTTTCTGCTCAGCAATGCAGAGGTCATACGAAAACAAACTATTTAAAAGTGCTTATTTATTTCAAAGCCAAATTATGTTGAACATTGCCAAAGGTATGTACTTTTCTACTGTAGGTATATTATTTGTTAAAATCCTTCGTGCCTTTGTTCTGCAGGTATTAAACTTTCGCTTTTTTCAAATATTGATATATTGAATGATGTCGTAGATCTTTTGAGTTACAATAGTTACCAACACATGCTGCTGTAATTGTTGAAACCTTAACTCCATCGAAAGGCACTGAGTTTTAAAAATTAATAGCTGCCGCATACACGGAAAGGCCCGGCCTTCGAACTTTCTTTGAGGCCGGCAATTTTTATTCATATTTTAATATATCCGCGGACTTTGCCTATCACGCAAACCTATGCTATTTTGGGTTAAAGGTCCGGACCCAAGGCCAAGTCCGAAGGCCGGGCCTTTCCGTGTATTGGCAGCTGATGAATGACACCAATAGTCAGTTCGGCAATTTTCCTCGAGACAAAAACATACAAATGATGTTCTAGTTAAATAAAGCATGACGATATGCTAAAGCCTTTTTTACTTTCTGATAATTTATAATAAAACTAAATGATTATTACTAGTTTTAATAAAAGTTTAAAAAATTGTCTTAGATACTTACTATATATGAATTTACAATTACCGAGTGTTAAAATTAAAATATCTATCTTATTTATTATTTTCAAAATAAAATAGAATTTTTTAAAATAAAATATACAGGGTGTCACAAGATTACAAAGTAATTAAAAAATAACTGCTAAAGAGTTTTTTGTAAGTATTTCACCTTATATCATAATTTTATGTATTTGGCAATAGTTTACAGTACGGTTTTTGTGTGTCATGTACGAATAATATTGTTAAGGTCAAGGTGTATTACTGGTTGCATAACCGCAACGTGCATTGAGGAACCTGGCGAATTCGACAGAAAGTAAAAGAAAATTACAGAATTGTATTACACAATTGTGTGTACAGAGTGAGACAAATAAATTCGTTAAGTATTTTATCGTGAGTTTAAATAGTGGAACCACGGAATCCGTAACAATATCATAGTTTTATCATAGATTAGGTATCCTATAAGTATACAGATAAAAATCTTGTCCCTATTCGTGGCACGAAAATTGTTTTTTATGACGATGTGCAAACGAGTCAAATTTCCTGTGCGCAAAAATAAACTGGCGTAAAATAACAATAAACAGCGTAATAGAGAGATATCGCTAAACCGAATAGCGTGCATGGACGTTAATAAGGCCAGGTGTTATTTCCTTTACGTGAGATGGTATTAACTCTTTTCATTTATAGTTATCAGATCGGAAAGAATTCTGTTCGCATCGCGTCCGCTATTTAAACTTAACCTAATTTTGAATTTAAAACTTTGAAATTGTTTTGTTTACTAGGTATTTTAAAACTAAAGGGCTAAAGTGCTTATTTCCAGTGCTTTATTGTTCAACGTCTACCAATGGGTTTAGGGCAACAAGCAACAAATTCTCTTAGAAGGGCTAAGTCGTCATCTGCTGTAAACCTAAGACTCTTTATAGGTTCTTTAGTATTGGAAGAGATGGAATCCATATTTTGGGCCATATTTATTTAATTAAAACTAATCCCAGCTACTTAAATATCAAATTACCTAATAAAACTAAAGCAATAATTCAAAACAATTCAAACATAACCTAAAATAAAAGATCTCGCCGGCCGGCTCCGGTTGTCAAATACCGGCACATGCCCATTTAAGCAATTTTTAAACGTTATCAGAGGTTATTTAGAAAGAGCGCTTGGTGTAATTGATCCGCAAATTACGTCAGGCGGTAACGTTATTAGCGGGTGTTGCGTTAAAAATTGACTCGGGCATATCGTAACCATGATAAGGTACGCGTAAATACTGGATGACGCTATTCGGTTTTCCGATATCTCTCTAATAACTGTGCCGGTCAGGCGCTGTGCACCATTTTAGAGGCCATAAGTGGGCGTGCTATGCGCGCAAACTAGTCACCTAACTAGTGCCCGATTCCGAAAATTGGAACCAGGAAAAACAATAAAGAAAAAACAAAAATTATAACCTGTATAATCTGTGGTTTTATTACCTTGTATTTATTTATTTATTAATAAATTAAGTTGTTAATAATAAAATAAATTTAACTATATGGCTGCTATATATTAAACCATTTGCTACGTTGTTAGATTTTAAGTCCTAAACATTGCCCGATTTTGTCCCGCTAGAATAACCATCCACCGCATTGTGGAGCGCTGGTCCCTGCGTGACGAAAACATCCACGGCGACTATGATAGCGGCGATTTGACGCGATCGAAGATCGAACAGTCCTTTAGAATATATACAGTCCTTGAGACGAACCAATCTATTTTTCCAAGGCTCCTTGATTAAAAATTAGTGTTTTTAACACAGCCATGGCACTCTAGATTTAAATTTAAAATACAATTTGTTTTTGAGCGAATATGTCAAAAGTTGATATAATTGATATAATAACCAAAAATGTATAACCTTTTACCTTTAGAAATAAAAAATATTAATAAAATCCAAGTATTTAAGAAAAAATGTAGATCCTATATTTTTGAAAATAATAATGTATTTAAGATCTTGTTCTAGTTGTTATAAATTTTGTACTTTGTAGTTTATAGTTTTGGTAATTGTTTAGGAATATATTTATAGGGAATAATTGTGTAGGGATATACTATACTTGTTTATTTGAAATATTTAAATTGTAACTATTGCACATACAGGTGTTTGGTCATCTAGGTGTTTCTTGGTTACAATTTGGACGAAAATTACCTTAGTTTAGTTTATTTTGTTACTTATTGTTTATCTTACAGCAAATTTATTTTCGCAATAACTTTAGGGTATACTAAATTTTAAATTGTCATTTATATATATGGTTCAGTAGAGTAGATGAGACTAACCTGCGCTATTTCTGGACAATATTGTGAGTATTTAGGATTTCTGTAATTATTTATTTTTTTTGAATTGGAAATAAATATACAGCTTTAATTGCTGTCCTCCTTTCACGCAGTTGAGCAGCTCTGAAGTGTTCAAGAACAAGATACTCTCACTCCATTCAATTGAATCATAAAGCTCCAGAACTGTTCCGCGCCATATGGAGGCACCAGGCTATCGCGCACCGCTCCTTTCAGGACCGTTCTCGAGTAGCCCCAGGGCGTAAAGCCCGGAACTCGAAGTTCGCGAATGGAGGACAGCAGTTATGATATTATGTCATTCGATTCAGAGTGTCATTTTCTAGTGAATAAAATTAAAAAATATTGAAGGTGCCATTTAAAAATAAAAGTTGTAGTCACTTCCGGTGAAACAAGAATGACAACTATTTTATACAGCATTGTCGAGATTTTATATTGACAAAAAATTGAGATTATAAAGTCTGTCCAAAGAGTCAGGACTGTAGCAAAATACTGTATGGTAAATAAAAAAAAACAGACAATAAATCATTTTATCAAAGTACGACTGCAATTCTGTGTCATGGAACGTATAAAGTGCATGACTTATGGAATTTCCATCAAAAATGGGAACATAATCTTCCAAAGGTTAATACCTACATATGTTAAACAGTAGCGCGTGGAAGCGCTGGTCTGCCGGTATACCTGGTGTTTTTCAAAAATGGCTCAGCCCTATAACGTTTTAATTTTTACTGATAAAAAACGAAATTTGGTATGTATTCAATTAGTTTCAGTCACTTCCCGTTCAGCGGAAATGACTACAATTTTTGATAATATATAATATTATATGGATATAATAGAATATAATATAGTCATGTTTTAGTCATGTCTCATGGCTAATCTTACTGTAGGCTTGCCCAATAAATTCTTTCTTCTTTTTTACATGAATTTACATGAATTACGTGACTAAAAGTTTATTTGATATGAACTACTTAGATGAACTATATACTATATATGATTTAGGTACCATTCTTATGCTTACAATAAATTTACCTGAATTCACTATGGTTATTATCAAGGTGGTTTTTTAAGCCTTGTTTTGAAATATATTTGTTGTCACAATACGAACAAGCAAACAGCTCTCGTTCTTCCTGTGTCAAGTGAACTTTCTTGTGTTGGCGAATATTTGACGCATATCGTGCTTGGAAATTGCATATTGCACATTTATGGATCCTTTTCTTTTTTTCCTTCGACCTAATAAAATAATTTTAAAAATTACAGTGTGAAACTTGGAGTTTTGAGATATTTAATAAAATTTATATATGCATGCTATAATAAAAAAGATTGTCAATATCCTTATACAGTACTTTTCAGAATTAATTCTTGTACCGAGTTTAAAAGTAGAGAAATAAACTTTACTGAACAATTTGATTGCTTCCTTAAATGTATACAGGGGTATCAAAAATTGCTGGTCTTTTTTAAATATTTATTTTACATAAAAACTTGTAATTTCAAATGCAACACGAAGAGATCGCCAAGAAAAGTTCAGGGGTGCAACTTTGTTCATGTTTCAAAGCGATAGCAAAGTAATTTGTAGCTTGATGCACTATGTTCAGTAGCAACATCGATTTGTAGCGATATTCTGATTTCTCGCTTTGTGGCGAGGCGACAGTCTAGACACGTGTGCAAGAGTGTGATAGTGATACCATATTTTGCAGCATTTGAGAAATTTTTAAATTTTAACAATGGATCAATCCTCTGAAAACAATACCTCAAGGCATGAATCAAAATTTCTACATAATACAAGGATTTAATACTTACGGCTTCAAATCTATTTCTTCATCTATTTTATTCATAGTTTTTAATAAAAAAGATCAGTACCTGAAAGAGAAAAAATAAAGAGTTCAGTTCACAGCCATAAAATGAATATAAAAATAATTCATTTTCATTTCGTTTTGTTCACACATATATGACACATATTCAGGTGTTGTCATTTATATTTTATATATACCTAAGTAATTAGCAATATAGGAACAAATTTAGTAAAAATCTTTCTCCAACAACTTTTACAACAAAATATCCGTAAAAACATCTGCTAAATCGCTAAATCTCTGGCTACATCTGCTAACATGCTGCTAACACACAACACATGCACAACACAGTCTGCTAATATGCTACGATTGCCACGCATGCACGCATGGTACAAGGTACAAAGAAAACCACAAGAAAACCAGAAAACTGTGAAAGAAAACAAGGTTCGATCATGGTTCGATCTGGTTCGATCTCTGTGCATAAAGGTGGGTTCATACAGCCAAATAAAATAAAATAAGAAATAAGGAATTCTTAGTGTGCGTTCATACAGGCAAATAAAATAAAATAAGAAATATATATTTGCTCATGCGCAGTACGATGAGGCTGGATAAAAGTTAACTTTTACGATTGTTTATAGTAATTTTACTATTTATTTATTCGTTGCCTACTATATTATACATTTTACTTATGTGAAATTAAAAAATAAATTAAATCCAAACTGAAAATATTTGTAGGTTAGAATTAAGCGTGCGCAAAGCCGTTTTCACATAAAATAAAACAAGAAGTTAAAAGATAAAGACTTTTTATTTTATTTGGCTGTATGAACGCATGTACGGTATCCCATATAACCAACTTTCTTATTTTATTTTATTTTATTCTTATTTTATTTTATTTGGCTGTATGAACCCACCATAAGTCTAGACGACACTAAAACCACACTAAAACTCACGATACCCTAGACAAGGAAAGGGAATCTCTCTTTCCTTCTCTAAGGACAAAATACTCAGAAGCTGAACCGCGCAACCGCGGTCTACGTCAAACTCAGCTGATCTTTGCCGCTGATGGACTTTGGAAACAACGGCACTTTTATAAATATCAGACTAAATATGGCCCTATTCAAGAAACAAAGTTAAAAACTCAACAGCATTCCTGTATTTTTAAACAATACCAAAAATACTAAAAGCATTTAAAGAAGATTTACAATTTGTGAATGCGTTTTGGGGATCCAGCGATTCATATAACTAGTAAGAAAAGTTTAGAACTAGTTTAGAAAATTAATATTACAGACTGGATTATTTTTTAATTTGTGTTGTTTCACTTAATTTTGTGAAAAACACTATAATAAGAAGAAACGTATTATTTGCCCACTGTATACTCTAAATATGGTAGTCTATATAGTTTGTGGAAGTTGCAGTATATTGCAACAACATTTGAAGGTAAACACCATGAAGTAATAAATTGAAAATGGAAACACATAACTTTACCTATGACTTTGCTACAAAGGAAAGTTATAAACTGTGGTATGAAAAACAGAAGATCAAGATAAATTATGCATTCGCCAAGCCAAGAAAATATAATGACTGCGTGGAAAAAAACTTTCAATTATTATCGTAATCATAGTAAATCAGCCAGGTAGATAAAATAGAAATGAAAAAAAACACTATGCCAAATAGTCTCTTTTTTATTTTTAGGACACATCAGCAATTATTGTTCTAAATGAACAGAGAAGGCCAGTAGTTCAATAAAAGACCATATAATGAGCCATAAAAAGGAAAATGGATAAGCAAGAATTATTCCCAACAAAGTGAAAGAGGTTATTGGTTTAAGGCTTTATTTATTTTGTTTTTGGTCTTACTTTAAGTAAATATGTATTGACTGTTGGTTAAAGGGTTTTATATTTATTTTGTACTACTTACTACTAACCTGTACAATGTGGTATTGTTTATTGTTAAAATTATTGTATTGTATTGTTGTAATTATTGTATTTTCTTGACATAGAACAGCCATAAGTTTCTTGCAGTTTCTTTTTATAGGCCGTAATCGAAACTGCAACATTCTAATAAAAGTAGAACTATAAATTTGTTTTTTTATTTCTAATATGTTATAGTAATTAAGCTAACAAATTGTCCCAAAACGTTTATTTCCCCATGAAAATGTGATTCAATTTATGAACTGATATTTTAATAAAAGATTTGAGAGTAGAATTTGTGAGAATAATGAGCTCTCTCCAAGTAAAGCTATGATCTATGATGGTTCTCACTTATGCATCAAATTAGATAGTGATCATGCAATCTGCAAATGAAACAATTTTTAATTTATACCAATAATCAATGCAACTTTGACTAAAATCACTTGATGTAGGCAATATAGGTATATTACCAAATATCAGCCATATACATTAACCACCTTTCTTGTTTAAAATGAGCAAATAATGACAAATTACATTTCGTAACTTTAATGGTAGTATTTGTATGTTTCAAAAATATATGAATGCAGATCAGTTTTTAAATATAGCCATATTTCTAAAAATAGTCAAAAACTATAAAAAACAAAATGAACAACCAAAACAGTCAACTACTGTTAGCAATTTCGCATAATAAAATTATTGTCTGTGATTATTGTTCGATTCTCGATTATTCATAATGTTCAAAATTCCCGCAAAGCGCTTCTTGCCGAACAAAACCGAACTCTCCGTGTAGGATCGGAATGCTTCCGAGGTTTTCGTGAGTTTTACACTGGTATTCATAAACGATCGCTGGCGCGCCGCCAGCGGTTCGCCAATCTCCCACGCATATTTGTCATGCAGAGTCGTTCGCCAACAATGACACACATGCGCATTCACTGAAATTTTGGCGCGGCGTTAGCGATTCGTTGGAGATGGTCAGTACTATCTCCGAGCGACCGCCAGATTAGTAAATAATTTAAATTTTGTTTTATTTTTCATAATAATTCGATTTAACAATGGAACGTGATTTAGATCTATTATATAATGCCCACAGGGATATTTTGGACATAGATTTTCATATACATCGGAGGTAAATTGGTTGCAGAAAACCTTTGAATTTGATATTATTTATTTCGTTGATTATTTTAGGTATATTCGAGATATGGAAAACCCTTTTGAATTTTACAGTGAAATCCAATTTAAAAAACGATTTAGATTTAGGAAAGAGGTGGTGCGTGATATTCTATTACCAATGGTACATGTCCGTGAACCCATGACTAACAGAGGATTGCCGGTACCCACATTGATAGGATTACTTTTAACGTTGCGTTTTTACGCTAGCGGAAGTTTTCAGGTGAAAATTAACAAAATAAAAAAGCCACACTTTTATAATAATATAATTATATGTTTGTAGATTGTCTGTGGAGACTTGAAAGGACTCAGCCAAAGTACTGTAAGCCGAGTTGTGACAAGAATCACCAGAAGACTTGCAGCACACTCTAGAACATATATCACATTTCCACTTAATGAGGATATTCCGGAAATGCAACGGCAATTTAGTACAATTGCTAACTTTCCAAATGTCACAGGGTGTGTCGATTGCACACATATCACTATCAAGAGTCCAGGAGGAGATGTTGCCGAACTGTTCCGAAATAGAAAACGATACTTTTCTATTAACGTACAAGCAACTTCAGGTCCTAATTTACAAATATTAGATATTGTTTCACGATATCCAGGAAGTTACCATGACAGTTACATTTTTCAAAGGAGTTCCTTAAAGGGAAAGTTTCAACGAAGAGAACTTCCTGGATATTTGCTTGGTGATGCGGGATATCCATGTTTACCTTACTTGCTGACTCCATTTAGACAAGTACGTACTCCAGGAGAAAGGCGATACAACCAAGCACATATTCAGACAAGAAATACCGTAGAACGATTATTTGGTGTTTTAAAGCGCCGATTTCCTTGTTTGAGTCGGGGACTTGCTACCAAGATCTCCACTTCCTGTTATATTATCGTAGCTTGTGCTATTCTTCATAATATTTCCATTACTTACCGTGACATCATAGACGAACCTCTACAGATCGACGATGATGTTCCAGAAATTATTTTTCGTGAAGGAAATTTAGGTTTAGGTAATGTGATGAGAAACCATATAGTTCATAATTATTTTGATTAAAAATCTATATCTACTATTAGGTACATACTATTGAAAATAAAACTATTACTTGTTAATCATTTATTAATTATTAAATTAATCGTTTATTTATTCATCTCTACTTTTCTTCCATTTTGCCTCTTCTTGTAACATTACGAACTTGGCAGCCGCCGCCTTATATTTCGCCTCCTCCATACGGATATCATGAAGTTCTTTCATATATGATTCTTCCTTTTCAACTAGGCCTAACCTTGCCTTGGTCAACTGATCAAGATGATCTTCCTTTTTTTTAGGGGGGCGCGAGACTGTGACAATAATTAATTTAAAAATATTTGCTAGGTCCTATAATCGTAGAATATTACCTTTAACAGCACTTGGGTTTAATGGAGTGGATAATGTTGGGGTTTCTGGCACTAAGACGTAAGAGGTGACTGATACCGTTGAAGCAGTTGCCTCTTCTGATGACCGTACAACTGAAACAAATAAAAATAGCAATTGTTTTGATGATTAACAAAGTATAGAAAGTTTACCTTCTGTATTTTTTAAATTTATGCCATCAGAATCATCTTCAATATTAACTTCATAATCGAGATGAGGTATCAGGGCATCTACTTCGGGTTGTGAATAAGGTGGTAGTGGTTTAGACGGCCCGCCTCCTGTGGCCATCACTTCACGCCTCTCTTCAGCTAACGCACTTTTCCTGCTTCTTTTTATTTTATCCCATAATCTTTTTAACTGGATTACTGTTCTCTAAAATAAACAGAATTTTTTAAATGTAGCTACTAAAAATATTTCTTTCTATTTCCTGTTTAAAAGATATATAATCTACTTTAATGCATAATTATCTCAAACCATAATAATAAATCCTATATCAAAGAATATTATAGCTACACAACATAAATTTTATATTTACCTTTTCTGTAGCTACCTCATTATACTCTAACGTAATTTTATCCCATGCTTTTTTCTTCTTCTCAATATTATAGGAATCAGTCCTTTTATCTTCTATAATAGGATAGTTTATCAACATTTTAATAAATTGTTCCTTATCACTTGCCGAATATTTTACCGCCATTGCAAAAAGACAACAAACAATAATAACAAGAAAAACGTTTTGGGATCAGTACCGCGCTCTGGTTTAAAAATCGTCGCGTGCCGTGGACGGAAAAAACATAAACAAATTAAATGCGCTTGCTCAAATCGCCACACGAGTCATAGCGAGTTGCCAGCGCGGCGACGGCGAGGATATCGTCTATGCATTCAAAATTGATTATGATTGATATCGTTCGCTTCGCCGAAAGTTCGCTGGCAGGTGCGACTGGGAGATTTTTTCAACGCCTCGCCGGCGAATGACTATGAATACGGGTGTTAGTGTCGTCTCATAAGTCTATTTCACCGGGATATCGATTGAACTGCGATTGCGCCAAACTCTGATTGATTGTTGTTTTAGTTCTGTTTGGATTACTTTTTATTTGTGCATGTAAAACATACGTATATGGTGTAAAAGAGTGATTTTGTTTAGGGTATACCTTGTTTAGTTTATTGTTTCTATATTGGCAAGTATATTAAATCAAACATCTTTTACAACATATTTTTTAAAAAATATATTGTATAAGATGTTTATTTAACTTTACTTGAAACAAATTATCTGGCATAAAATCATCTTAGTTTTTATATTGTATGATCGAAGAATACGGCTTCAAGTTAACTTAGAAATTTACATCATATTATCTCTATTACACCTCATATAAAGGATAATTATTCATAATATCAATACATAGTTTATTAACGTAGTTTTCATGTAGTTAATGAACGGGAAAAGACGTAGTTTTTGAAGAAAAACTACACGTAGTTAATCAGGTAAATTACGTCTTAATTAACTACTTCCGAACCCTGGGGTATACCTTGTTTAGTTTATTGTTTCTAACTATTTTTTGATATTTTTCCAACTCCATGATAATGTGTTATAAATTATAAATAATAAAAATATAAATAAAATTGAAGGTTAGGTGAAATGTCAGTCAACCACTTCCCCAATTCCCCATCACTTCCCTTTAAAAACACGGACCAATCAAAACTTCTTCAGATAAGGCATGCGCAATTAAGTGACTATCCGGGTGAAATAGACTTATGCCACTTATGCAGAATTCCATATTTCTCTTTCACTGTTTGGGCTTCACTTTTTAGAGATTAGGCTGAGTATATAAAGTTATATGTATATGGTGTCACCACCACGTGGTTTGTCGGTTTTGTTTTTGTTGTTATTGTTTTGTTTTGATTTTGGTGCAAATCTTGACGAGATATTGTGTTAGTATTGTTAATTATTATTATTAAGTATTTCGTTACTTGTTTATATAAATAATAACTATATGTGACGTGTCTGATTCTGTGTTAATATTGTATATAATATAATTTTTTCAATTCTACATGCTGGATATAGTTATTGACATTTTTTGTTAGAAACTATGGATAATATAGATGAAGGAGTAGATTTAAATCCGTAAGTATTATCCCTACGTAGAAATTTTGATTCATGCATCATTGTCTTCAGAGAAGATGATATTATATTGTCTATCCAAATCAGATTTTGGCGATAATAATTTGTACATAATACAGTATGTCTCTGGATCGTCTGTACAGGAGGATTTTTTTATTATTTTCTCTAAAATGGTATAGAAATTTGGGGAAAAAACGGATTAGTCGAATTAGCCATTTTAGAGCAAACTAAAATTTTAATAAAGAAAGCATTTTTCTTAAAATGTAAATAATAAAAAAGCATTTTCTTTAGTAAAGACGATCCGAGGACATACTGTAGATTATCATTCAAAATATTTAAATACCGTATGATCGAATAAAAACGGCGTCAACGATGGCTATGAAATGAAGATCGCTGTCATTTTATATGTAAAATTATATGGGAAATGTCATCGATCGTCATTTCCAAGCCAACTGGACGCCGTTTTTTTTCGATCAAACGGTATTATATATGCTATAAGCATATCTAACTAAATACTTATATTTTATAGTAGGAATATCTTTAGGATTATTTACTCAATAATGATAGGAAGTTGGAGTTTCATATTTTAGTGTAAATATTTATAAATACAAGTTGATATTTGTTGAAAGTATATAATGTGAAATTGATTGTTACAGTCCAACAGATACTGCTTTTAATAACAAATCAATAAGTGTAGAACATATTAAACAAGAAAATAATATTTCAGAAGAAAATATAAATGGATCATCAGATAACAAGTTTGAACTGTAAGTGTATTCTTCTAAATGTTTATGTTTTGCGTAATTACTAACTGTGTGTGTACTAAAAACAATTCTATGTTGGGGAGATCCACCTGTATTGACGTACATTTTTTTAACAGATGATAATTTAAAAACAAGTAAATGTAGAACACAGTTGTGGAGTCATACTATATCATTGATTTGAGTGTAAATAACAAGCCAGCATACCGCGACTTTCGTTTATGATGGCACACTGTATTTTATTGTAATTTTAGTTCTATAAGTCTTATTAAAAGGAAATATTCCAGTTTTTTCAAACTCACTTTGGGCATTAGAAACTCTAGCTGCCTTAAGGTGTGATTTCCTAGCAATGGCTGGCGTCCGCGGAACCCTGCTTTATAAGACTGTAATATTTAAATACTCTTTTATTAGATCGAAAGAAGTTAAGAAAAAGGTCTATAGATGTACCTTATGTCGCTTTCAAACAGTACATAGGACAAGTCTTTACCAACATCAGAAAATTCACTTGGCAACAGAAGAACGACAGTTGTTTGCTTGTGCACACTGCAACAAAAAGTATAAAAATAAAGATAACTTAAAACTTCATCTGGAGGAGTATCATAATGATTCCAGGTAAATTTATTGTTAGCATAAGAATTATCTCTGGTATATTATACAGGGTTGTTCACCACATACGGACACGGAATATTGTAGCTAAACGATTAGATTTTTACAAATTGTAAGTTTTGGGTTCGTTGAAGGACTATTAGAGCTACAATTTAAAAATATTTTTACAAGATACAGAGTGTCCCAAATAAATAAAAAATATCAAAGTTGTATTTTTTTAAATAGAACGCCCTGTATATTATTACATTTTTAGTTTCTACGATTAAAATAAAGATAAATTTGATTAAGGTTTATTACACTTAAACCTTACCGTTTTTGAAATATTTTCAATTTTGTGAAATTGCAGTATAAATTTTAAGACTTCATTTCTCGGAGGGTATCAAAGTTTTTAACACTAAATATTTACTGAAGTTTATTTATTGATCAGTTATTGTGTTGTAATAATAAAAATTTTACTACCTTATACAGAGTGTCTAAATATTTATTTTAAATAATTATTAGCTTTAAACGGCAATAACTTGTTTAATTTAAATGGAACACCCTTATATTTTATGAGAATCAGATGCATAATTCAATTGTCTATCAAATTGTAATATACAATTTTTTACCTATCTCATCAAGTTTCCGTAGAAAATGTATTTGCTTGTAATTTAGAACTCATTTATCAATATAACCATGGAATACTGACATTATGTATGTGTATTAGACGATGTGGTAAAAAAACTAACACCAAACTAACACCTTAAAAATGATATTTCATTTTTTGACAAATGCATATTTATAACAACAGGGACGTTCATTTTCATAACTTATTATTATGTCGATTTCTGATTCAAATCCACATTTATTTAGAATAATTTATTAACGAACACAATTAAGTATGTAATTAATTAGTATTTGGGCGGAAATACTGGTGGTATATTTAGTTAATGGTATACTCTTTTATAAAGATTTAAATACCGTATGATCGAATAAAAACGGCGTCCAGTTGGCTTGGAAATGACGATCGATGGCATTTCCTATATAAATTTACATATAAAATGACAGCGATCTTCATTTCATAGCCATCGCTGACGCCGTTTTTATTCGATCATACGGTAGTTTTCTTTTTGCATACAAATGGGCTAGTAATAGGTATTAGCGTTTTGCTAAAAACGATAATATTACTAGCCTGTTCATTTTGTACATTTGTTGTTTTAAAAACAATCTAAAATGTCAATATTCCATGGGTATATTGATAAATGAGGTCTAAATGATAAGAAAATGCATTTTCTACGAAAACTTGAAGGGATAGGTAAAAAGTGGTATAATACAATTTGATAGACAATTAAATTATGCATCTGATTCTCATAAAATATACAGGGTGTTCTATTTAAATTAAACAAGTTATTGCCGTTTAAATTTTTAAACACTCTGTATAAGGTAGTATAATTTTTATTATTGCAACACAATAACTGATCAATAAATAAACTTCAGTAAATATTTAGTATTAAAAACTTTGATACCCTCGGAGAAATGAAGCCTTAAAATTTATAATGCAATTTCACAAAATTGAAAATATTTCAAAAACGGTAAGGTTTAAATGTAATAAACCTTAATCAAATTTACCTTTATTGTAATCGTAAAAACTAAAAATGCAATAATATACAGGGTGTTCCATTTAAAAAAAAATACAACTTTGATATTTTTTATTTCTTTGGGACACCCTGTATCTTGTAAAAATATGTTTAAATTGTAGCTCTAGTAGTCTTTCGACGAACCCAAAACTTACAATTTGTAAAAATCTAATCGTTTAGCTACAATTCTCCGTGTCGTATGTGGTGAACAACCCTATATATTATATATACCGTATATACAAGGTGACCGTGCCCTGAAAAAGTTCCATATGAGAGTTTTTGTAATATATACGGATAATAGTAGTACACATTTCAAAAATATTTTCATCCAGGTACAGGGTAATTTAAATGTATTTTACCTATATATAAAGTTGTATTGATTTAAATGAATAAACGGATTTGCCATAAAATCTAATTTTGAAGAATACTATCATGCTATCATATTACTTATACTATTTACAACACAATTTATGCAACTACTATTACTCTAACGGTATTTCGCGGTATTATCAAACTTCAGACTTCAGACTGGTCCAACTGTCAAAGCGCGGTCCTTATATACCCCCTGGCGATTGTTTCTGGAGTTTTCTAAAGAATTCTGTAATTTTCTTTTACTTTCTGGGGAATTCGCCAGGTTCCTCAATGCACGTTGCGGTTATGTAGCAGTAATGCAGTTATGCAACCAGTAATCCACCTTGACCTTGACAATAGATAGAATAGAGAAATTTTTGATTATAATCATTTTTAGGCACACCATTTTCTACACATTTAAATCTCTTTCAGTCTGAAAATATCTAATTATATTGATACTTTTCAACTGGCAGCATTTTATGATAGTCTTCTTTATAATTTATAATTATATTAAAATATGCTAAATTTTTTGGTACATACAGGGTCAAACCATAACCACCGTAATAACAAGGCCGGACAGCTTATTCGTGACGTCATCAACTGGAGGCCTAAACTTTGATTGCTTTGATACACTTTATACGTATATCATGGATATAAGCTTTAATTGCACCGAATTTTTAATAAATAATAATTAAACATAAAATTTGAAAAACATCAGATTGATATTCCATCTCACATTATCCATCGTCATTGTATTTTTTATGCTGTAAGTATGTCTAACTGTATCTTTTATTTCCTTTTCCAAGTCTGTCATTATTTTTTAACAACAGTAGTTTTTCAGACGTGTATTCCTAATAGAATCTATGACAATTTTTACAATAACTTAGCATTATAAATAGTACATTGCGGAAATTTTAATAATGGTGTTGTAATCCAGAGATATTTTTGATAAAAATATTTTTTTATTGTGAATTTTGAGAAACTCCTCATGGCTTCGCAAGACTTTGTTAAAAATTATATATTCCAATAAAACTATATTAGTTATTTCATCTTTTGGAAACCCAAGACTGCCTTTAGTAAGGTTTTTTATAAGTGAATTTTGTTTAATATCAGTGTTGTCTGAAAATGTTAAATTATTTTTAGGGACATTAATGACTGAATCTTAAGTTTCTTTTCGCCTTCATATAAATGTCGAACACAAATACTGTACTGACTCCCGGCTAACTGTCTATATTTTCCCAACCTACTTTCAAGAGGATCAGTTTGCAAGTTCTCTAGTAAAACATACCTCATATTTTACTCATTAAAACAATATTTTATTACTTCAAGCTCAACCTGTTACTCAACTCAAGTTAATAACTTTAATATTGAACACAGATAAAAGTTAGAATTTTTTTATTATTTTCATCGCATTTTAAAGAATTTAGTAAATAACAGGCATGATTAATTATTTGATCAGTATTACTATCAGGGTTCGGAAAACTACCATGTTACTCTTAAAAACCACATAAACTACATTATATGTAGTTGATCGATGTAGAGGGTGTAGTTTATGTAACTTTCAAAAATGAAAGGTGAGGTAAAAGATAAGTAAAAGCTTTAGAAAATACATATAAATATATTCGAGAAAACAGAAGAAATATAGCTTTAAATATAATATTCACATCTTATTATTTAGACATTATACCTTTTAAATCGTATAATTGCACACACTTATAATCACTTTATAGTTTAAACACCTCTTTTTACAAATTTATAACTTTTTTCACCCGTCTATTATCGATTATAATTACCACGTCCGCACACCTACCGATAAATCGATGACTGTCAACTGCGCCAATATCACTCCGCTACGCGCTACGACAGGCGCCGCCACGCGACGGCGCGCCTTCACCCCGGAGAACAGGCCGTGATATATGGATAAAATATATAATATCGTCCCATTGCTGCCAAAAGTCACTAACTTACTTTTTATTATACCGAGAAAAATGCGTCTAAAGAAGAATTGCATTGCATAAAGATGTTATAGTTAGTAACTATTCGGTATTAAAATAAAACATAAATAGCCAGAAATCGTAGTTAATGACTTTTGCAATCGATTCTCCGATTCAAAACATAGTGATTGAATTTGGTTGTTCGGAAAAATGTTAGTTAGTGACTTTTGGCAGCAATAGGACGATATATACTATAAAAAATATCTATTTTTTTTATTGTTTTTTTCTCATATTATACACTATTGTTAACTTAAAATATTCCTTTATTAAATTTGATTGATAAAAAATGAGAGATAAACATTTATCGACTGGTATGATTTTTTCCGTATTCTATTAAAACTATTTTTATATACTATAATATTTTTAAAAACTCGGAAAAGACATTTTAAAACTTTGAAATATATCTGGCGAGTGAAAAAAGATCCACAATTTGAGCTTTTATCGGGTAATTATCAACGCTGCTAAATAGAGTTGGGCCTCCAGTTGGTGACGTCACGAGATTTTTGTCACAGCTGTCCGGCGGTCAGACTAAAGTAAATATCCCTTAAAAAAAGCTGGCTTTTTGAAGCGCAACTGGAAGAGAAATAAAAAAAATAAACAAGTTGTTTTTTTTGTATATTTAAAAATGATTAATTTGTATATTTTGAATTTTAATATATTTACTTTTTAAAAGACACTTCTGTTTTATAATTTTGGTTGATCCTTAAGTGTGCTTATATTTTTTTTAATTTTGTTTTGTTATAATTTTAAGGTTGAGCCTTACGTAATTTAATCAATGAATGCTTAGCAATTTATTTAAAAAAAACTAGAAACCCGCTGTAAATCTATGAAATATTTTTGACATGTAAGCTCTCCTTTAAAGGAACAATCTAGCAGAAATCATGATATGGGGCTTTTTCGGAACAGACTATTATTAAGCAATTCTTTTATTAGAATGCAGGAATATCAGAAAGCGATCTATAGATGTGCTACATGTGACTACCAAACGACACATAACTCACAGCTTAATCAACATAAGAAAATTCACTTGACACTGGAAGAACGACAGGTGTTTGCTTGTGAGCACTGCGACAAGAAATATACGAGAAAATCCAAATTACAAGACCACCTCAAGTATAATCATATTGATTCCAGGTAAGTTTATCATTGTTAGCATCAGAATTATATCTAAGTGGAGCGTCCACCAAAGTGACGTAGCATCTGACGTGGCACATAATCTGGCAAGTGACATGCATCTAGCAAGTTATGTCGAATTGAACAAACGACAATAAGTGTGTCAGCGCACACTGAAGTAGCGCTGTCATTTGTCATTGTAGCATGCCATGCCACTGCTTCAAAAATAGATCTGGTTCTATTTTTCGCCACTTGCTATTAACACGTTACTCGAATTTAATAAAAATGAAGGACGATTTGGACTTCAATATACGTTTTGTATCATTGATTGAGGCTTTTCTAACTAGCACATCAAAGGTTTCTTTTTTCATTCTATAAAATGCTTGAAATCTTTCTGGATACCATATTCAATTCCTTAAAAATACTAAATCCACTCTTCATTTCTCTCTTTTTATAAAAGGGGTGTTCCCAATAGCGGCGCTTTGGATAATATTGGTTCATAGTGATTAGGTTTACAACTGCTAATAAATCTTCATCCACTGAGGACATGTTTACGCCACTGCCCAAGTAGCAAAAAGAAATTCTAAAAGGATTGAATTATTTTATAACAGTCGAATAGCGTTGTCTTAAGGACTGCTTGATTTTATTAAGCGTTTGGTTTCGACCATTCTGTTTTTTAATAAAAGTTGTCATATTAAACTATTTTCTAGTGGTTTTTACAACGTATCCTATAACACATTAAACGATAATTTCTTTTAGTATGACATAACACTTAATAAGATAATGCTATATGATAACAAACATATTATTTTATTAGACTCTTATACCCACCATGTAAGAGTTCTATAATATTCATATAACTAGTAGTCACAAGATCATATAATAGTTACTTAAACTTGTCTTATTAAAGTTGTATTACGTTGTATGATAGAACGTTTTATTGCGTTAAACTACGGTGCTGTATACAACACAGTTATATAGCCTTATATGATAAGATTGTGATTAACAAAATAAATTCGCTGTAATATCTGCATTATAAAACTGGTAATGTATAATATAACCTCATTTTAATTTAAATGGTATACCAGTATACCTAGTTATTTATTTTCTTATTGTTATTGTTGCAAAAGTAATATCTACGCATGAGTATAATCAATCACAGCTATTATGAATTCTGGACAAAGTTGGAAAAAACTTAACAAACGCAGTGGTAGTTATAAAGAGCATGCAAGAAAAAACTCCTCGAAATTACGGTAAATAATCCCGAGAATTCTCTAGGTTCTCAAATTGCCAAAATCTCTCGGGTTGTCTGGCTTCTTCAAAGCATTGTTGCCACGTTGGTGTAAAAGTTTTACTGTAGTAATGTTTGTATTGTTTTATTGTTGTTTTTCCAAATCCTTAGGTTGCTCACTCGTCGGGCACGCATGAAATGCATTGCGTGCATGAATCCATAAAAATCTGATCATGTTTGTTAGTTTAAATACTAATCAAATGAGATTTGGCAACATCTATTTGTCGCAAATCTCAATATGTCCAAAATAGTTCTATAGTGCCTGGAAATTCTGCGTAATGATAGATATTTATCCTATACCGTTTTATTTTAAAACAAAGACTTATTTAAGGGATTCATTTATAATAAAATGGTTGCATTATAATTCGCCATGTTTAAGGCAGAATTTGTGTATGGCCTATGGCCGCCATTATATGAAGCAAAATTAAAAACATCAAAATACATTGTAAAATGTTATTTTTGAGAACTATTTTGTGATAAGATTCCCACATACAGTAATAAAGTGTTTAATTAAATTAAAAACAAGAATTTTTGAAAATTTTATTTTATTTTATTGTTTAAATTTTATGTAAACCTTAATCGAAATTAAAGCGCTTTAATTTTTTGCCAAATACATACCTATAATCTACCAGTAAAATTTTCGGCGCAACAAAAAATTGTCCCTACTTTTCAAACCCTATTAATGATTTTTTATATTACATATTTGTTGTACCTTCTGGCTCTACCCGCCATTTTCATTGTCGAGTAAAGTCTCCTTTTTAACAATCCACATCCTCTAGATTCATTTTACGACACGCTTAAGATATAATTTGCTCCTAATATTCTTTGGTAAAAAATAAAATACTCTTGTACCTCGCTAAATGATCAAATGTTTTTATTGTTCTGTTTCTTAGATGTGACCACGTAATACACAATAAAACTACTTTTATAATAGTCATATAATGCTGTGTAAAATAGTAGCATAAGAGTTGTATACCTTTTTTATAGAACTATACTACTAAACGGTTGTATAAAAATGGGCCTTTTTTGGTTGTAAAGCTATCATATTACGGTCATATAGCACGTTATATGAATTGAGGTATCCTATAAAAATTATCACATAGCTGTTTATACAACCTTTATAAAATAAAATTTGCTACTTGGGATGCCACATCACTTATATGTGCGCTTTCTGAAGGATCATGCAACGCTATTGCCATATCATTGCCATGTATGTGCAACGTAATATGCTATGTCACTTTGGTGGGCGCTCTCCCTCCTCCCTATCATAAATACTTCCATGGATATAGTGCTGCAACCATGCTGCAACTATAGACAAATATATAGACTTATAATATAAATGTTATTACCTCCTAACAACCTCCTGTGATGTCAATATACAGGGTGTTTAAAAAAACATGTGCCATCTCTCGTGGGGAGATTCCTCACGTAAAAATAAGATCTATTTTTCATATCAACATAGGTCCGATTCTGGTTTGTTTCGCAGCTACAGGGTGTTAAAGTCTTAATATTTTTTCGATTTATTTTAATTTTCTTCCGAGTACTTTTAGTGATTCAAATGAAATTTGGAGGGTAAAAGAAGTACTGCATACTTTAATGCTAAAAAGTGTCGACAAATTTTGCGCCACTGACTTTTTTGCTTTTGATATCAAAATTGTGTAGGCCGTTCAATGCAAATTAAAAGTTATTTCTTGATATTTTGTCGAATTCGGACTCCTTGATGAGATAAACGCAATTTTATTAATTACAATTAATAAAATTAAAATAAAAATAAAATTAATAAATTTTATATTTTAACTAATTTATTTTTAAATATTATTACTATTAGTTATTATTACTATTAGCCCAACCTACAGCAATTTCAAATAAAAAAAAATTGTTTTTAGGATAATTACAAAAAACCTAATTTTAAAAAGTTTTAACATCCTAGCTGTAACTCTAAAACTATGCATTTCCAAACCTATGTTTATAGGAACTCTTTTTCATATTTTTTGATGGGGAGTCAATGGGTACTTATTTAAAACTTTCGCAAGTTAATGATATTAATTTTTTTTAAAGGTTGCTATTAGACTTGGATCAAGGCAAATTAATAAAATTGTGCTTATCTCATCAAGGAGGCCGAAATAGACAAAATATCAAGAGATAACTTTTAATCGACATTAAACTGCTTACATTATTTCGCTAACACGAGAAAAAAAGTCAGTGGCGTACTATTTTTTTAGAAAAATATTCCAGTGAAAACCCATATGTACGTCCCTGGTGAATATGTCGACACTTTTTTAGCTTTAAAATATGTTGCATTTATAGTAAATTTTATCCTCAAAATGTCATTCGAAACGCTAAAAGAAACGGATTTGTCACAAAATACGATTTTCTAAAGAAAATATCATGTTATAATCTGTCCCGAGTGGTTTTTAAAATATTTGGTTTTAGACATTTTATTTCATATTATCATTATTTCATATTTTATAACACAATTTTCTACGTATTTCTATATGTCTTTCAGTCAAAAAATTTCTAATAATTATTGATGCTTATGTTCATATTTGAAAAACTACTCAGTATTACATTATAGTATGTTTTTTTTGTTACATTATGGTATGTTTAGAGCTTTTTCGGAATACACTGTAATAATATTAAGCTATTCTTTTAATAGACAGAAAGAATCGTGGAAAAAGGTGAAATGCTCCAAATGTGACTACCAGACATTTCGTATGTCACTCCTTAGACGACACGAGGCAGTTCATTTGGCGCCGGAAGAACGACAGTTGTTTACTTGTGCACACTGTGACAAGAAGTATAGAAAAAAAGTTAACTTAAAATATCACATTGAGGATAAGCATATTGGCTCCAGGAGTTCCAGGTAAATTTATTGTTAGCATAAGAATTATACCGAAGTCATATATGCAGGGCCGTTCCTGGCCAGCGTGCAGTGCGTGCACGCACGTAGGCGCAACATTTTGGGGGCGCAAAATCAAAGGGTCAATCAGTACTTTGTAACAAAAAACCGATACGCTTTCTTGCCAATAAACAAATACTTAAACCATCATAGGATAAAGTTTGCTTAGCGCCTTTTTTGCGTTGGCCGCACCGAATAAACAAGTCTAGGGCAATCTGTCGGCAACACATTGATCTCATCTATTTATTTTTCATTTTATTCATTTTATGGAAAGCACTGTTCATTAAAATGTTGTATCCTATGTTATACGGCTTGTTTCTCTCTACAATTTCCTGTCTCACAATGTACTGTTTGTGTCGGGGAAGGGATTATAGTTTCATAGTTATCGATTTTCGAAAGAAATCAGTACATGTATATTATTTCGTATGTTTTTCATTTTATTGATACTATGGAAAGCACTGTTCATTAAAATGTTGTATCCTATGTTATACGGCTTGTTTCTCTCTACAATTTCCTGTTTCACAATGTACTGTTTGTGTCGGGGAAGGGATCATAGTTTCATAGTTGTCGATTTTCGAAAGAAATCAGTACATGTGTATTATTTCCGAATTTTAGTTTATTGTTTTTATGTATTTCATATAAAATGGGTCAGTTTTTTTCTTTAGGGTACTATTTTTGTTACTAAATATTTGTGGTTTTGTTTGTTTTACCGTATTTTTAAATACGAGCGATATTTCGCTCGAGCGATCGCTCGGTTATTCCAATCGCTTGGAACTCGGATACTCGATTATTGAAATTAATCAGTTTTTCCCATCACCACTTAGAAGGCGTTCGTTATTTTGAATTAGAACTTTCAACACGAAAATATATATTATCTCAAAATAAATATCGTAGACAACCAGCAATACTTTATATTGAGATACTATATATGTTTCCGTATAATAGTTCTATTCAAAATACGCAAAATAGACACAACTCAAAATCGCCGTTTTCGAATTATTATAGTCTTTGCTACAAGGGTCGATATGAGTTTATATAATTGAAATTTTTCTTGGAATAAAAAATGAAGTTTAGGTCATTATCTACAAAAAAGACCCTCACACTTTTTTTCGTAAAGTCCCAGGAAAAGGTTAAAAACGGCTCTAGAGGGTCAAAGAACGGGGTTTCCGCCAATATTAGCCGAAATATGGCGTGTAGATGATTTTCATAATAGCCAAATGGAAGCTAAAAAATGATCCTAACACGTAAAGTTGTTCGTAAAAAGAAACCAATTCGAGTATTCGTAATTACGCAATGTTGTTTTGTTAACAATACTTTCCGGAAATCCCCAAAATTAAAATGCGATTAAGCAAATACTTGAAGCTTTCTGAGTTGCTTAAGTCTTAAGTCTGAGTTACTTAACTCTAAGAACAACTGTTAAAAAATTTTAACAAATAAGCTATTATTAGTGAAAATATGAATAAGTTCATTAAATATGACGAAATTCAAACAAGTTCTAAAATGATCTTCATCATTAAAAAAAAAATTTAACAGAGTTATTAAACAATTTTTCCTCAAATCTCTCTGTCCTCCATCAAATTGGAGAGAAAATTGAGAGATATTCGGGCCGGAATATCTCGAAAACTACTAATTTTCCGTAAAAAATGATAAGGACCATTTTTATAGGTAATTACCCAAGCTAAGATAATCAACTCAAAAACCACTCAGCATGTTATTCTGGCATTTTTGGAATAAGCACTTTAGCAATTTATATAAAAAACTAAAACACCAGCTGGAAATCTATGAAATATTTTTAACATGAGCGCCCTCCTAGCTTGTATATTTTGTGAACAAGATTAGATGAAAAATCTATCAGAAATCATAATATGGGGCTTTTTCTGAACAGACTGTATTATGAGCATTTTTTTTTATTAGAATGAAGATATCGCAGAAAAAAGTCTATGGATGTGCCGTATGTGGCTTTCAAACACTATATAGGTCTAGTCTTATACAACACGAGGCAGTTCACGTGGCGCCGGAAGAACGAGAGTTGTTTGGTTGTAGCCACTGTGAAAAAAAATATTTCACAAAAGATGGCTTAGAATACCACCTTAAGGATAATCATATTGATTCCAGGTAAATTTATTATTTTTACCATAACTATTACACCGGGTGTTGCATCGTCGAGCGAGACATAGGAAATCCCATGTAAATTTTAATGGGGTCAATTATTGGCTTCCCTAATTATTTTAGAGAATAATTCTATTTAGGTTTATTGAAGAGCACTAAAACCCACATTCAAAAGAATAACTTTAGATATTTTTGATTAGCCCGTTTACCAGTTATCGCCGATTTCTTTTTAAATATTTCTCCTTTCTTATGGCCCTGTATTTACTTATGAGCACCAGTCAAGGTAAAAGATAACTGTCAAATGAAGTTGTCATTTCAGAAATTTATCTATTTAGTGCACAAAACATCCCCCTTTAGAACTTTTTCTTTAATGGCCAGAAGCGGGAGTAAAAGCCCAACCGCCCGAACAAACACTAGAGGCGCCACCGGTCATCAAATGGTGTAAAAATTGGAAAATTTAATCATCTAATTTTGACACAAGGGGTAGCGCTTAACTTTTTCAATTTTAATTCAATATTCATTGTTTTCAAACTATACTATTAGACTTTGTTGTATTTTGTGACTGTATAAATGTTTTCTTAGTATAAAGTTGCATTATAGTAATTTAAATTATATTACATACATATTTAAGATTCAAATATTATGACATATATGTCAGTTGCCGTCTAAAATGTCCTCTTGATAACAAAAAGTTAGTTATTGTCAAAAGTAGTTAAAATCATGTTAAAATATTTAAATTTACAAGTTATAGTTAGATATTTTATATTATTTCAACAACAAACACATAATAGTACAGCCTAATGTTGATATGCAGGTCCAAAACAAAAGTGCCGTTATATTTTTCAGTTTTCGTTGTCAGCTGCGGAAGTTTCAGTGATTTTAGTGTTGTCGGATATTTTTATTTGTGAAATAGAAATATTGCGTTTGGATTGCAAAACTAAAAGTGGAAGTTTTATTGCAATGTAAGTAAGCGTTTGTCCAATTTATATTTTACTTTTTCATACCTACGACAAATAGACATATATTGAAATTTTATAATTCGTTTTATTTAAAAATGTTAGAAAACAATAAGCTTGTAATCCTGTAATTGACATAATTGTTATGTAATATATTACTTTACAATTAAAAAATGTAAATTTAAAAATATATTAAAAATATATACAGGCATTAATTGAAATTTTTTGAGTGCGAACAAACACGAGAGGCGCTTTATTATTTACTTTCATTTCTTAATATGATAGACGAAGTTCTAAAGGGGGATGTTTTGTGATTTAGTGCTTTATTATTATTATTAAAAACTCATACCTACATCGAAAATATTAGCCATGAATTACACTACCAAAGAAAAAGTATTGATGATTAAATGGTATGAAATAGTTATCAAAAGGTGTCGGATATGTTTGCTGCTCTGTATCCGAATAGGCCGATACCTGGAAAATCTACAATCGCAAGGAATATCCAGATATTTGAGACCAAAGGTACCCTAATAATAACTGCAGATGTGAAGCAAAGCAGGAACAAAGAGAAGATGCAAGAAATGATACCAACTTAGAAGTTTTATTGTTTGTTTTATGAAATATGAATCGATCACACTACAGCGTTTCGAATTTTGAAACGACATAAATACTATTCCTTCAAATATGAAAAACACCAAGAACTATGAGATGGGGATGAAATACGGCGGCAGGCGTTTTGTTTTGATATGATGCACAGTGCTTCGAACAAATGGCTCTAGAGGACAAAAATGCAAAACTTCTTTTTTATTGTAGGCATTTTATTCAAACTAGGTTTATTTGACACAAATGATGAGTACCCTCATTGTACTAAATGATGATGTTCTTAGTCCCACGTTTATGAAAAAAAATCTTATAAATAATAAAACTGTTGGAGCTGTGTTCCATCTAAGGAAATAATAATTTATAGTATGAAAACGGTGTAAGTATTAAATAAATACCTGTAATAAAAAAGAATTAGAATAACATTAGGACATGATTCCTACAATATAAACCTAATATAAGATAAAAATGTTTTTCTTTAATGAAAAAGAAACATTAATGCTATATATATATATATATATATATATATATATATATATATATATATATATATATATATATATATATATATATATATATATATATTTAATTAAAAAAAACACTTAAGATACTATAAATTTACTTTAGGACAACAAAATGCATAGATCGTAACTACTCTGATTCAGAAGAATCATTGCTGACAGAATCTTTCAAATTTATAGTATCCAAATCACAGGTAGATGAAATATCCTCATATATAAGATATTTCTGTACATCATTTTCTAATATATTACTTTTTCGCGTTGTTACTGTTCTTTTGTTGGTATGAGGGGTTCGGATGTTAATAGTTACCTCTTTAATAGACCATATCCATATATTATTTTTTTCGTTTTCTTGGGTATGAGGTTTTATAATTAATTGAAAGATGGAAACATTTTTTATGCCACGTTTCGCGTCAACATAGTGGGCTCAGGCACAAGTGGTTATCTCATTGGACTGGAAGGTTCACCAATATCTAATAAAGAACACATTTTTTGAAATATAAATAATTTTGAGTTCTTGTCCTTATGATCAAGCCAAGTATTAACCAGATCGGCATTGCTTATCAATTTTACTCCATCTGAAAAGTATTATAAAATAAAGTTCGTCGCAGGTGAACTATACAAAAAATTAAAAGTGTATGAATATGGCAACAAAAATATTCAATAAATACGATATGTTTTGATATGTTTTTTTAATGCCTTTTGAAGTTTGAAAACGTAAAATTTTATACCCATTTAAGAAACATCTTAAAAATAAATTAAAACTAAACAATAACGAACTTGTTTAGAAATAAATTTAAAGTACTTACCTTGTTTAACAATATCCATAGTGGCTTTCAATTCAATATGTACCGTTTAACTCCATACACAAAACTACTATGAATGTTATTCTTTTCACTGATATAAGATAATGATCGCAAAATTTATTTTTAGTGAAAATATTTGCTAACAAAAAACGCTGTTTATGAAAAATAATATACAGGATGGTTGAACATTGCTATAAGCATAAAATTACATATTCAGATATTAGTAAATTTTAACTTTATTTTCGATTTTTGTCCATGGGACGAAGCACTGTGTGATGGAACGAGCAAACACGGATAGGGAATTTTTAAAAAACAGATGTTTCACTGACGAATGCACGTTTACCTTAAATAATGAACCCAATGTTCAAAATTATCGATATTGGAACAAAGAAAACCAACACAGGTTTGTCGAAACAAGGACGCAATATCCACAGAAAGTAAATGTTTGGGCAGGGATATTCTGACACAATATTATCGGGCCATTATTTCTTACGCGAAATTTAAATGCAGAATATTATTTGGAACTACTCGAAAATCATATTTTACCTGCTTTACATGATGCCGCTAGCGAAAATCAGGAAGTTTGGTACCAAATGGATGGCTGCCCGGCACATAGTACCCTGGCTGTTCGGGAATATTTAGACAATAGTTTTAACGGAAACGTTATTGGCCTAAATCATACAGTAAATTGGCCAACAAGGTCTCCTGATATTTCGCTAAATGATTTCTTTCTCTGGGGCCATTTAAAAACAGGATATACAAGGATAAAAACTACCCAAATCTAGACGAGTTAAAAAATGCTATTTCTGCCGAATGCAATAGAATTTCAGTTTACCAACTAGCGAATGTAAGAAGAGAATTTTATGATCGCCTGGGTTATTGTCTAGCAGTCGATGGAGGAATATTTGAACATCTTAAATCCTAAAGTTCTAACAATTTAATAGTACCTAAATTAATAAGTTATTGAATATTGTAATAATACTATTAGTACGTTGATATTAGCATATTTAGAAAAAAAAAATTATAAATTTTTGATATGTTGAGGTTATACGTACTAAAAGGAGACTTTTTAAAATTAAAAGAGTTCCTAACTGTAAAGTGTGAGCTTCACCCCCAAAAACCACCCCCAATACGCACTGCGGTGGTTTTTCTCGTTTTTCTCAAAAACCATTAGTCGCACAGAAAATTTAATTCTTGTCAAAAATATTCCTTATAAAATTTGCTACAAAAAAGGTTCTATTCATTATTTATATTTATCCAATGTATTTCGAGCAATAACCGTTTGAAAAATGGAGTACAAAAAAAATACAGGCCAAATATACGCCTTTCAAATTATAGTCTCCCTAGGTATTTTAACGTGTTAAATATACACGCAACATATATAATACTGTATAATATAAACAAAAACATTCCCTATTCCACTAAACTAACATTCATACTTTCATCTACATATTGTCATCGTCTATAGTTTCTAGAATGTGCTCAGTATTCGAAGAATTTTGCCCACGACATGTTCCGTACATGGTTGTACATTTCTTGCCGGCTTTAATGCAACTGCATCTTTTTACACAATCTTGTTTTCCTCGAACCATCGAAGGGCGTATTAAGGGTGGTGTTTTGGGGTGAAGCTCACACTTTAGAGTTAAGAACTCTTTTGATTTTGAAAAGTCTCCTTTTGGTGCGTCTAATCTCAACATATCAAAACTTTCTAAATTTTTTCTTCTATTCGGCTATTTTAGGTCTAATATAAATATACTATATAATTAACCTTGTAATTGATTACTTTATTTTACTTTAATTCATATTAATTTGTATTTATAAATACATCTTTAAGATTTCCGATGTAGGAATGAGTTTTCAATAATAATAAAGCACTAAATAGGTAAATTTCTGAAATGACAACTTCATTTGACAGTTATCTTTTACCTTCACTGACTCCCAAGTAAATACAGGGCCATAAGAAAGGAGAAATATTTAAAAAGAAATCGGCGATAACTCGTAAACGAGCTAATCAAAAATATCTAAAGTTATTCTTTTAAATGTGCGTTTTAGTGCTCTTCAATAAACCTCAATAGAATTATTCTCTAAAATAATTAGGGAAGCCAGTAATTGACCCCATTAAAATTTAAATGGGATTTCCTATGTTCCGTCCGACGATGCAACACCCGGTATCTAAATCATATACCCTGCTGGCAACTCATACTTTTCAGTCGGTATTTACATGTGTGGAAGTAAATCGCATAGGGATCTTATCAAGTCGGAGTGCGGAGGATCTTATTAAGTCGGCCTTGCCACATTTCTCTGGTACGCCTTTCCTTATCAAGTAAAGTAAAATGACGATCACAAAAAGCTTATTTTTAAAAAACTTTTTTTTTTCAAAAAGATAACTAGATCAAACCATTAGGTAATATATTTCTGAGCGTCTGAAACGGCATTATAAGGCTATTGTATCGAATGGCAGTTTAAAGATTCATTCAGAACTTGGAAATTAGTGGTATAAATTAGTGGTTTCAATTACATTTTATACTTTACGATTATTCACAATGTCTAAAAAACATAATTAAAATTAATGAGTATCCTAGCAACAGCTTGCGTTAGTCACTTGTATCCATAGAGAAAGCCTAATATCTAATATTTAGCTTATAAAACAATCAACTTTTGACTTCTAACTATAATTTTTCTTGACGGAAGATAATCAAAGGCCAAAATGACATTTCTCGCAAATTTTAAAGTATAATTAGTGGAAAAGTTAAGAGTTTGATAACTTTTTCTACTAATTGAAATTCTCTACCACTAATTTTACGTTCATTCACATTATGATTGTAGATCTTATGTTTACCTTTTCAACTGTCAAAAAATTTCCACTAAAGTTTCGTGGCGCCTCGAAAAAATTTCCGGAAATTTTTTCAGTTGCCATGGTAACTAGTCAACATTAAAGCATGTTATTGGTTGAAAAGTAGAGGTGTGAAATTTTCAGTCAAATTCAACCATATTTTCATGTTTTTTTTAATTTTCTCTAAAACGGTATGAAAATTTGGAGAAGTATAAACGGGATTAACTGCAACCATTTTAGAACAAGCAAAAATTTTAATGAAGAATGCATTTTTCTTACACCAATAATAAAAGAGTTTTTCCTTTTGTAAAGACAATCTGGGGATATATTGTAGTAAGTAAGCTTTAGTAGTTAAGCTTAAGTTGCAAAGCATCAGCAACATATGTATTATATATATGTAACATATATATAACAGTACTGCTAAGGCGTTGTATTGCCAATCCTACATTCGTTATTTTGTTTTTAAAAATTTACTTGATGAGACGTTAAGGAGTTGGTCAATCTTAAACGAGTTACAGGACTCTAATAATTAAATATTATTTTATTAGGGCGAAGGAATCGCAGGGAAAGATACATAGGTGTTCCACATGCAGCTACCAAACATCGCATATTTCATCTTTAAGCCGTCACGAGAAGGTTCACTTGGCAAAAGAAGAACGCCAGCTGTTTGGGTGTGCACACTGCCACAACAAATACAGGACAAAAGCCAGCTTAAAATACCACCTTGATAATACTCATATTGATTCCAGGTAAATTAATTGTAAGCATAAGAATGGTACCTAAATCATATACCGACCTGGTCATTTTAGAAGTGTGGTCTGGATTTTAACGGGTAAGACAAAGAATAATATTAATGACCGGTTGACAGACAGAGAGACAAAATAAAAAACCGCATACAATGTTGCCGGTTTTTACGTTTGTAGGAAAATGTGTGTAGAAGAAAATAAATTATTTTAAAAACTTTCATGTATCTAATATATCTAATCTAAATATAATCCATTACAGCTGTAGTAAAATGAGTAACTAATTGTGAAAAATAAAGTTTCAACACTAAATTTTGATGTAAAATCCGGCAATACCGCGTAGAAGAAATGTATCAACCTAACATTTTTCTCTCTTTAATACATTTGATTTATAATTAAGCTGCCTACATCACTGTCTTACACGTTAAAATCTAGACCACACTTCTAAAACGACCAGGCCGGTATAGTTCATATCAAATAAACTTTTAGTCACGTGATTAAGCTTGACCGGCACAGCGTTGCCCACTTTTACATATTTTCTTTTAATCAAAATATTTTAGAAAACAAAAATAAATTAATTATAAATATACAGGGTTGTTCACCACATACGACACGGAGTACTGTGGCTAAACGATGATATTTTTACAAATTGTAAGTTTGGGGTTCGTTGAAGGACTATTAGGGCTACAATTTAAAAATATTTTTACAAGATACAGAGTGTCCCAAATAAATAAAAAATATCAAAGTTGTATTTTTTTAAATGGAACACCCTGTATATTATTACATTTTTAGTTTCTACGATTAAAATAAAGGAAAATCTGATTAAGGTTTATTATACTTAAACCTTACCGTTTTTGAAATATTTTCAATTTTGTGAAATTGCAGTAAAAATTTTAAAGCTTCATTTCTCCAAGGGTATCAATGTTTTTAATACTAAATATTTAATGAAGTTTATTTATTGATCAGTTATTGTGTTGCAATAATAAAAATAATACTACCTTATACAGAGTGTCTAAAAATTTATTTAAAATAATTATTAGCTTCAAACGGCAATAACTTCTTTAATTTAAATGGAATGCCCTGTATATTTTAGGAGAATCAGATGCCCAATTAAATTGTCTATCAAATTGTATTATACCATTTTTTACCTATCCCTTCAAGTTATCGTAGAAAATGCATTTTCTTTTAATTTAGACCTCATTTATCAATATATCCATGGAATATTGACATTTGAGATTGTTTTAAAAGCAACAAATGTACAAAATGTACAGATAGTAATATTATCGTTTTTAGCAAAACGATAATATTACTAGCCCATTTGTATGCAAAAAAAAACTATTTAAATCTTTATAAAAGAGTATACCATTAATTAAATATAACACCATTATTTCCGCCCATATACTAATTAATTACATACTTAATTGTGTTCGTTAATAAATTATTATAAATAAATGTGGATTTGAGTCAGAAATCAATATAATAATAAGTTATCAAATTAAAGTCTCTGTTGTTATAAATAAGCATTTATTAAAAAATGAAATATCATTTTTAAGGTGTTACTTTTTATCACACTGTCTAATGCCCATACAAAATTCAGTTTTTTAGTATTTGGAGCAATTATTATTAATCAACGCAAACAGTCAAATATAAAAAATATTACAAATATTTAAACAGTTTTTTTTATTTTTTAATGAAATAGACGAATTATATCGACAATATTAGTATCTGTACTCTTTAAAAATTTGGTACATCTTTAAAAATAATCTAAAATGTCAATAGTCCATGGGTATATTGATAAATAAGTTCTAAATTACAAGAAAATGCATTTTCTACGGAAACTTAAAGAGATAGGTAAAAAATGGTATAATATAATTTGATAGACAATTAAATTGTGCATCTGATTCTCGTAAAACATAGAGGGTGTTCCATTTAAATTAAACAAGTTATTGCCGTTTGAAGCTAATAATTATTTAAAATAAATTTTTAGACACTCTGTATAAGGTAGTATTATTTTTATTATTGCAACACAATAACTGATCAATAAATAAACTTCATTAAATATTTAGTATTAAAAACATTGATACCCTTGGAGAAATGAAGCTTTAAAATTTTTACTGCAATTTCACAAAATTGAAAATATTTCAAAAACGGTAAGGTTTAAGTATAATAAACCTTAATCAAATTTACCTTTATTTTAATCGTAGAAACTAAAAATGTAATAATATACAGGGTGTTCCATTTAAAAAAATACAACTTTGATATTTTTTACTTATTTGGGACACTCTGGTAAAATTATTTTTAAATTGTACCTCTAATAGTCCTTCATCGAACCCAAAACTTACAATTTGTAAAAATCTCATCGTTTAGCTACAATACTCCGTATCGTATGTGGTGAACAACCCTGTATAAACAGTTATTATTTACATCAACAAAACTCACCTTCTTAACATCACTTAAGGGACATAAAGGGCCATTATAGTAATGTACTATGTTCGACTGCAAAGTCTGCTAGTAAACATTTTTAAGCTTAATATATACGTACGCATAAACACATAATACACAAAATTGATATCAAATATAGTAGTTCTAGACACGCTGTATAATACAGCATGTTTTATTTGAAATAGAGCAGTTAAATACGACAATTAGTATTGACTCGCCTTGTATATACTCTGAAGTATAGTGATATTTTAAAAGATTATGTCATAAAATATTTACAATTAAAAAATGTAAACACAATCTGCTGTTTTATAATACTGGCAGAGCTTTAAGTGTACAGGAAATTTAGTCTAGCTCATATTTCAAAAACCACTCAGCATAGATTCTCAGCATTCTGGTATTTTTGGAACAGGGATTTTAGCAATTTATTTAAAAAAATAGAAACATCCTTTATTATCTATGAAGTATTTTTAACATGCATGTTCTCTTTACTCGCATATTTTGTGAAAAAGATTGGACGAAAAATCTCTATCAGATATCATAATATGGGGCTTTTTCGGGACAGACAGTAATATTAAGCAATTCTATTATTAGAATGAAGGAATCGCAGAAAAAGGTCTATAGATGTTCCACATGTAGCTACCAAACACCTAGTATGTCAAATCATAGACAACACGAGAAAGTTCACTTGGCACCGGAAGATCGACAGCTGTTTGCTTGTACGCAGTGTGACAAAAAATATACGTCAAAGCGGAATTTACAACATCACCTCAAGCGTGATCACGTTGATTCCAGGTAAATTAATAGTTAACAGAGTTAATATAAGGAATATTGATAATAATGAATTTTAAAGTTTAGATATACAGGGTGTCCCAGGCTGAGCGTGCATTGGAAGTTTCTAGAGAACTACAATATCGAGATCGGAGAGTTTTTGCACGTTATTGTTTCAACGAGATCTATCTATCTATCGATTAAAAATATTTTCAATATGGCGGCACTTCCGGAAATACCGGAAGTTGACAGCGACTTTCTTATTTTAAACGGGTACCCCCATTTTATATATGTAATAAACATACTTAAATTCTCTGTAAAATTTTATGAATTTTGATACTAAACACTCTATTCCTAACATTAACCGTTTTTGAGAAAAAAAATAATTAAAATTGAGTGTACAAATTGTTGCTCGTTTACTGTTTCTATTATTAGCAATGTTTCAAATTGATTAAAAAATTATTTGTAATGTTTTAAGAAAAGAGTATGTCCTTTTCGGAGTAAAAATATACTTTTTGTGCCTCCCTGTAACGTCGGAATAACTTTATGATGGTCCTTCAATTCGTCAAAAAAAGTATAATTTTTACTCCTATTAAAACAATACACTATTGTTCGGAAATAGTCTTAATTCAAGAATGAAATTAATAAGATATTATCTAATGTCGAAGTGTAAGGAACTTACATCAAAATGTCGGTAGGAATTTGGAAACATTTTCAAAAAAAATACACCGTTTGAAAAAAAAATATATAAAACAACATATTTTCTGACAAAGATTATAATTTCTCGGGAATGAAGATATAGTCTCTATATCAGAAGAACCTTGTTCTGTACTACACTGCGAACGATATGTATTCGAACAGCGACTTTTTGTGACTTATACATAAATTTTAAAATTTTAGTTTAACGGTCTAATGGATTCACACGAAATTACTTCAAAAATCGGTCCAACATTTAAATTGATGAACAGATATTTTTATATAGTTTTATCACATTTACAATTATTTTTCGATTTATTATCTGTTATATCATTTGAATAAGAAGACTAAGGAAGGAGCGTATCAAAAATCTTAGGTACACCGCGATGGGCCTCAAATATGGCCGACTTAAATTCCGGTTTATCAGCGTCGTTCTAATTTTATTTAAAAAATGTAAAACTATGATATGACGTAGGGTAGACGTGGGGTAGACTCAATAATTTGTTGATTTATTTTACGTTGTGAATAAATGTTGGTAGTTATTAAAATTGTTATAAAAATATATAATTCTAATAAAAATAGATAAGTTATAATAAGTATTTATTACCACAAACATTCGATACGCTACTGAAGCAGGTAAGTCAAATTAACGTATCTAAATGTATTTGACATCTAATCTTTGACAAGTAATAAATAAAAGCTAAAATGCAAGAAAAATATATAATTTAGTTAATTTAAGTGAATTTCATAAATGATCGGTTTACTACACGTATGTATATTATATAGTCACTTACTAGCGAAAAGTTGTTCCATTATTTCACTCAATTTTTGCCGAGATCTACCGCACGCTACACAACCAACTATTTTAGAGTCTTTTTCGATAAATCGCGATAGTGTCACTGTTAATTTAAGTGCTGCCACAATTTTCATCTAGATTTACTACCTTTATACAACTATCAGTAGTAGAATAAATAATAAATAACATAAAATAAGCTCCGTAAAGACTGACAAATCCACAAAATTTCAAATCAAATTCAAATGTGTCAACTGTATCGTCAAACAGAACTGTCAAGGATCCCCACCCTAGAGTGCTTTTATGGCGCTTTTTCCGCCCACCATGAATGAATACATGGATAGCATTATGCTCCTTCCTTAGTCTTCTTATTCAAAGGTTATATCTGTTATAGAAATATTTTTTATACTTTTCTAAGACACATTTTTATAACTTTTACAGTTATTTTTTTATTTATTACAAAGTTTCAATAAAATTATTTTTTTTTAATTTAAATCACATGATTAAAATTAAAAAAATCACTTGATTTAAATCACGATTTAAATCATGATTTAAATCAAGCCAACCCTGGTTTCCATTTGAAAAAAAATATTTATGATAATTTTTTAATCGCTCAATTCCATGAGAACCACGGCCAATATTATATGACATTCGAACAATTTAATTTTTGAAGTAGATAGCCACATGTCTTGTCTTTATGTCACAGTGGCTTTGGTGATCACTAAATTTGTCGTTTAGGCTATACAGATTTTTTTGACAGGCAGTTTTTTTTCTCCAAAAATTTTAAATATTTTTTTTCTCAAAAACGGTTAATGTTAGGTATAGAGTGTTTGATATCAAAATTCATAAAATTTTACAGAAAATTTAAATGTGTAATAAAAAATGGGGTACCCGTTTAAAATAAGAAAGTTGCTGTCAACTTCCGGAAGTGCCGCCATATTGAAATTTTTTTTAATCGATAGATCTCGTTGTGAAACAGTAATGTGCAAAAAATCTCCGATCTAGATATTGTAGTTCTCCAGAAACTTCTAATGCACGCTCAGCCTGGGACACCCTGTATATACAGTATGTCCTCGGATTATCTTTACAAGAGGAAAAACTTTTTTATTATTGACATTTTGAGAAAAATACATTCCTCATAAAAATTTTTGCTTGTTCTAAAATTGTTAATCCCATTTTTATGTATCCATGTTCACAGGATAAAATCCATGTTGTTCGGAAGTTCCAGGGCGCTGATGGTACTATATTGTGCTTTTATTTTCACTGTGAATATAGGGCTTTTAACACAGTGCAATGCTATTTTGCCAAGTATGTTTATTTTTAAATCGAAACAGTCAATGCATTGGATTTATGTGAATAGTATGCAACCAACATTCACACAACAAATCATATTTTTTGTTTTAAAATATTTCTTTCCTAAAAAAAATCCTAAATTTCGATGAAAAAAATATTTTGAATTTTATTTCGTAGTCTATTAATTTTTCAGCGAAAAACAGTATTGCCTGTCGGTATTTTATCAATGTATGATAAAAGGTTGGTTATGGAATTATGGACTGACAACAAGGGAGTGATTTACAAATTACAACGATTAACGCCTATGTTCACAGTTAAAATAAAAGTACTGTATACAGGTTGTTAATTTGTTTATTACTCGCGGCATGAGCTTTATGGTTGAAATATGGCAACCTCGGCCCGCACGTTGAGAGACGACGCGATGGGACGAGTCGGCAGCTTACTCATTTGGAATGTAGGCAGTGTTGCCATTCTGTTCCCCAATAAGTAACCGTCCAGTTAACAATCTGTATAATATACTCGTATTAGCATCACATTAGATACTCTAAATTTAAGACCTTAGTTTCAAATTGGAACTATTCAAAATAATTACGACTATCAAAAAAATTCTTTGAAATATTGCCATTGAAACGGAAATGTCCAGACGCATATTTTGCCATTTTAATTTTTTATTGTTTCCAGAAATGCTGATTGTACATCTCCAACTGATGAAGTGATATTAGATTCTTTGAAAATGGAAATTGATGATTACACTCCACATTTGGATGACTTTAAGTAGGTTTCTTTAAATGTATATTTATTGATATAATGATAATAATGTAATTTATTAATTCCAGAAATGCTGAACGTGTAGCGGTGACTAATAAAGTAAAATCAGAAGATTTTTTAAAAATAGAAATTAATGATTATGACACCCTGATTTTAAATAAAGAAATGCAAGATAACTTTAGGTACGTTTTATTTTTCTATGTACATAATGGCATATTTAACTAATTGATACACAACATTGTGTTTTAAATATTTTTTATTGTTTCCAGGAATACCGACAATCTATCTATAACTAAGAAGTTATGTATTAAGCTGGAAGATTTTATAAAACTGGAACCTGAAGATGACAAATAAGACTGACGATGAAGACACGCGTTTTTGTATGAAGAAAATAGTCATAATATAATCCTAAAATGTTTAAAAATTAACTGATTTGTTTAATTTTCGTATGTAAACATTTTTAAGCTATACAGATTTATAACTGATATTTTCAAAAAAAGTAAGTTTTATAAGTTATATTGTAGTTTTATTTTAACTTACTATACAAAGTCCGTAAAATTAGACCAATCAAATTAGAGGGTTCACTTGGAAAAAAGTGTTGAAAGCTAATTATGGTCTTGATTTGTTCAGTTGTCATGAAAGATAAGTATTTTAGATTAGTCATTTTATATGTAAATTGACGCCGTTTTCTAAGGTTAAGAACATAGTGGAGCGGCGAGCAAGCAGCGCGACATCGCGTCCAAAACAAACCTGTGAAGACAAGTACGTGCGAACATAATAAAGCGATCTGCTCGAGCGGTTAGAACAAGCGGCGAGATCGATTCAAATAATTTTGTTTTCGTCGCGCTGTAGAAAATGATAGATTCTCAAAAATTAATAGATTTAGTATTTGTAAGAGATATTTTATGGGATCAGAAGTTTCTGAGGGCTTATGATCAAGAAAAATCACAGATATTCCTGGGTCTGAGTAAGAACAATCTTCGGATTGTCACGGGGTTTTTAACAGGACACTGTCTCCTCAATGAACACCTCAGTAGATTGAAACTAAGAAGAAACGGCGAATGCAGATTCTGTGGGGAAGATGGTGAAACACCAGTACACCCTCATCACTGAGTGCGCCGAGACGACAACCATTCGTGCCATGAATTTTGGTACGACTGATATTGGAGATGGAGAACTACCCTCTATAAAACCGTCCCAGATACTGGCTTTTGTCAAAGCCCTGGGACTGTATGATGAGTTATGATTCAAGAAAGGGGGACACAATGGATCTGTAAGGTCGAAGTGATTAACCCCCCTCCCACTCATTCTAAATTCTAATGGGATCAGAAAGATAGTAATCACCATAACCGGTACATTTTAGATAAGTTATGAAATGAAGTGGCAACAAATTTTCGTAAAGGCTATAAAACTTGCCATACTTTCTGGGGTTTTTGAAAAGTTCATCTAACCAAATGTTTGCGACATTACTGCCCAGAATTTTAGCCACTGTTAACATTTTAAATTATCAATAAGCAAATGAAAATAATAAATTTGCATAAGTATCTCGCTATTCCTCGCCGCTCTACTATGTTTCAGCACCTCGAGGCTTGCTCAACGCGGTATCGCGCTGTTTGCTCGTCGCTATCCTCGTCGCTCCACTATGTTCTTAGCCTAAGCTATCGACGCCGTTTTTTTTCGATCATACGGTATTTAATGTATATAGATACCACCTCTGGATACCACTATGTCATTAAAATGAAAGAAAGCATTTTCATTTTGTATAAATCGCTTATTTAAAATACCTATTTTCTATTTTGTATTTTAAATATTATTTCTAATATGTATTTGGTATTTTTATTTTAAATACATTTAAAAAACCATTTTACCCACCTCTGGTAATTACATTATGCAATATGCAAGTCGCGTTTTAGTTATTCTATGCGTTTCTATTAGTTATGCGTTTTATATATATACGAAGCATTTTACAATATATATGTATTATTTTATAGCTTTAACGTGCGGCTGTTTTTTTTTGGTACTCTGAATAGAATAGAATATCCTTATATCGTATTCATGCATGGTGGGCGAAAAAAAGCACCTAGGGTGGGGATCCTTGACAGTTCTGTTTGACGATTCATTTGACACATTTGAATTTGATTTGAAATTTTGTGGATTTATCAGTCTTTACGGAGCTTATTTTATGTTACTTATTATTTATTCTACTACTGATAGTTGTATAAAGGTAGTAAATGTAGATGGAAATTGTGGCAGAACTTAAATTAACAGTGACATTATCGCGATTTATCGCAGAAGACTCTAAAATAGTTTGTTGTGTAGCGTGCGGTAGATCTCGGCAAAAATTGAGTGAAATAATGGAACAACTTTTCGCTAGTAAGTGACTATATAATATACATACGTATAGTACACCGATCATTTATGAAATTTACTTAAATTAACTAAATTATATATTTTTCTTGCATTTTAGCTTTTATTTATTACTTGTCAAAGATTAGAATTATTAGATGTCAAAGAATTTAGCAGCAATGGCTGCCGCGGCCGCGGCGTCGCTGTGGCGTCGCGTAGAGCGGGACTAGCGGGAGGCGGGGGACTAAAGGTTGTCGCCCGACAGACCGGAGAGGACGCGGCGCGGCGCCATGTGGAAATTTCTTTGTCTGCTTGCCATGTATTTAAAATGGACCAACGCACATTAGAGCGCGCAGCGCAGAAGCGCGCCGCGGGATTTCCGTCAGAAGTCAGAAGACTTCTAGCAACTTTTTCCGTCTCCCGCGTTTTGGCGCGTTGCAGTGTGCGAACTCACAAGGGAAATAATTTTGCATCTGAGTCTTTTCAGTTGGCTTTTTTTGACTCAGGGAACCAGTGATACGTATCACTGGTATTTTAAAGGTAAATTAGGCAAATGGATTTTCATAAAGGAATATGATATTTTTTTAGTCTTCCTCACTAGAGACAGATGGACGAAATGCCATCAAAGATTTAATATAATTGAAGGGGTGTAGAGGCAAAACTGGCAATCTCCACCCTTTTAACAAAAGTGACAATCTCCAATTTTTAAATTCTAATTACCTAAATATATAAAAAAAGATCAGGGGTTTTTCACCACATAACTAATATACACATCAGAATAAATAAGAATTATCAAAAGTATTAGTAATTTGTCTCTTCTGAAAAAATATGATGAGTAGAGATACCCGGTGTTTTGCTTCTAAAACCCTCAATTGAGGAGTGTAAAAATGTTTTCTTTATATTTGTAATACTGAAAAAAAATGATCTTGTCTTTATTAAATCTGGAAAAAGATGGTAAAATTCTCCAAACTTCTTTCTTTTTGTTAATCGTATAAGTCCAAACTTTTCTCACCCCCTTTCCTCTTCCTCTGTTAGAAGAGCACAAAAATGCGCTTTCTGACCGTACTTTGAACTCATTGCTTTTAAAAACTAAACTACAGTAAGTAAAAACACTTCGACTATAACTAAATAGCCTTGCCGCGTTTCAAAAGCGCGCTATAGTGGGCGCAGTCACTTCGCAGCCGGAAAAAAAAAATTCTTCCCAGCGCCGCGCCGCGCAACGGTCTAGTGGGCCGACAACCTTAAAAGGGAAGCGGAAATAAAAGCAGTAAAATATGTACCGGGTGATTTAAATTTGCGAAACAGCGCCCTCTCACTCCAGATGCTAATTTTCCAGAGAAGTTTGATCTGGCCAGAGATCCGGCAGACCTAATTCCCGTATGCGCTTGATCGTCTCGTAGTTGTCTCTGAATTTCAAATACGTTTAAAATAAAGTATACGGAGGGTACCGCTTAAATTCCTGTCCCGATATTGAAGGATGGCTATAGAATTTCAATGCATTTCTACATAAGTCTATCCTTGGTTTGTAGGAGTTTGACTAAACAAGGATGAACCTATGTCTTGAAACCATTCGACTTGATTTTCTGTCCTCCTCCAATACTGGGACGTAAATCCTCTCATTGCTCTTATGGGGAGGCTGTCGTATATTTTATTTAAACGTATTTGCTGAATTTAGATACGTTAATTTAACTTACCTGCTTCAGTAGCGTATCGGATGTTTGTGTTAATAAATACTAATTATAACTTATCTATTTTAATTAGAATTATATATTTTTATAATAATTTTAATAACTATCAACATTTATTCACAACGTAAAATAAAACAATAAATTATTGAGTCTACCCCACGTCTACCCTACATCATAGTTTTACATTTTTTAAATAAAATTAGAACGACACTGATAAACCGGAATTTAAGTCGGCCATATTTGAGGCCCATCGCGGTGTACCTAAGATTTTTGATATGCTCCTTCCCAAATACGTTTAAAATAAAAAAAAATTATTTAAACGTATTTGCTCGTTCCTGAGTCTTCTTATTCAAAGTTCTCCCGTGATCGGTTTAGGAGGCTAAAAATTCGATCGGCGGCCATACTTTGGTGACAAGATTTCGAGGTGACACCGAGCGAATTTTTATGTTTTTGTGACAACTGTTTTGTTTTTAAATTTATAAACTGTATTATTTAGTATGGTGAGATGTTCAGCGTATGGCTGCAAAGGCGAAGAAGCGAGAAAAAAAGTGGCTGGAATTACATTTCACAGGTAAAAATCGATACACAACTTTTGTTATGTGGTCATAAAATTTACATTTTTTCATTATAGCAGTAAAAAATATGTAAAATGCTTTTCATATGTTTTGTACCATACATCCAAACCAAACTATTTTAATAATTCCAAGCAGTATTTTCAATATCCTGTATTATAATTAATGTTTGAAACTATAAAATAATGCTACTCAGCATGGATTTATCCAGTGGCATAGGGAATTATAATCAGAGAAATACAATTTCTGCAATAAACATTTTTTTATACATATATTTTTACATGTAATAAAATGTACAAAGTATTGTTATCAAATATGTAAAATATTTGTAAACTATAAAAAAATTAAAAATTCTAGTGATAAAAATCTATATGTATAGTTGTTATATAAAACTTAAATTTACCTGTCAAGATTTGCTGGGGTGGAAAACTTGTGGTGGTGGCTACTTGTTACTACATATATTTTTTTAAATATTCTTTCAAAAAATTTGCTAATTTAGGTGTATAATAATAGTTGCAGTGAGTAATTAATAAAAATTTAAAAATAAATAAAATAACACAAAGCTTCTAGAATTGTTTTTTTTTTGTGGAAAATTAGGATATTCTATTATGATTCTTCTAGTATGATTGAAGGTAACAAATATTAAAAATTACATTATTCGTTGAATCTGTACGCAAGTGTGAAGGGGAATGGCTAGATTCATTATTATACCGTATGGTCGAAAAAAAAACGACGCCCAGTTGGCTTGTAAATGACGATCGACGACATTCCCATATATAATTACATATAAAATGACTGCGATCTTCATTTCATAGCCATCGCTGACGCCGTCTTTTTTCGATGTCGTTTTGTATAGTTTTTATGTCATTTTATATGTAGAATTATATGGGGAATATCATCGATCGTAATTTACAAGCCAACTGGACGTCGTTTTTTTTCGATTATACGGTATAATAATGAATCTAGTCAATTCCCTTCACACTTACTTACGGATTCAATGAATAATGTAATTTTTAATATTCATTTGTGAAATTGTCATTTCTAAACAAACAAGACGCCGTTTTTTTCGATCATACAGTATATATGTATATACACGTTTAAAACATATGTTATTACATTATTTTTTATTTAATTATACATTATACACACGTTAATAAATAAATAATTGTCTTAATAATATAATCAGTCCACTGTGACTGTTAAATAAATTTTGCATTATCGACTTAGATATTCTAATATTATAAAGGTGAGACTATAAAATACACAATTGGGTGTTACCCACAATTGTATATGCATTACTCAAAAATGAACGATATATTAGTTTATAAAACAACACAAACTACAATATTCAATATTTACGAATGACGAACAGCTACTGCTCTCAGCAAAACGCAAAACATAAGTGAACTGCGAACGCCAGTGCGTTGACAGGTTCTACCGCTATTTTTAGGTTAGGCGATGTTTCCCGCGCAAACTCTAAGTTAGGCTTCTGGTTGATATCTATTCTGTGCTTCTTCTATGGCTGGCTCAGCTGTCTGTCAAACATTATATGATATTGGCTGCTGTGATTGGCTGGATATTGGCCTGTATTGAGTGTATTGGCGGATGCAGATATTTTGTTGTATAAATTGGTTGGGTGAAGATTTTGCGTTTTTTAACTTACTAATTTTGTTCCTATATTACTTGTTACTTAGGTATATATAACATATAAATGATAGCACGTGTATATAATATATAAATGACAATATGTGGCAACAAAACGAATTATTTTTACGTTTATTTTATAGCTGAACTGAATATTTTTTATTTCAGGTACTGATCCTTTTTTTTAGAAACAATGAATAATATAGATGAAGAAATAGATTTAAAGTCGTGAGTATTAAATCCTTGTATTATGTAGAAATTTTGAGTCATGCCTCGAAGTGTTGTTTTCAGAGGACGATGACCCATTGTTAAAATTTAAAAATTTCTCATATTTTACAAATAATTGTCAGTTGATATTTCGGTAACATTTGGGCTCTGTGGTGGAACTCTAAATTTCTTGTTCTTTTATTGTAAAATAAATAGAAGCTGATATTTGTAGAAAGTATATACTGTGAAATTTACTGTTACAGCCCAACATATGCTGCTTTTAATAACGAATCAATAGGTCTAGAACGTGTTAGACAAGAAATAAATATTTCTGAAGAAAATATAAAGGGATCATCAGATAATAAGTTTGAATTGTAAGTATATTTTTCTGTTTGTGTTTTTATTAATTACTAACTGTATGTGGCGTACTTTGCAACACCGCGTAAAGAAGGGAAGTGTTTGATTTAATAAAATGTCTATTAGATGTCTCAATGAAAAACTTCATCCTCTTCAATTTTTTTATACAAACATTAAACAAATATTAGTAATAGTATTTTACAAAGAAATATAGAAACAAAATAGACAAATAAGAAGATACACACTTTTTTTTTATTATGTAGTTATATAGTTAAAATTGACATTAACTGATTTGTTTAATATTCAATCAAATTCAAAAAAAAATATTCAAAGAAAAGGCAAAAAGATGTTTAGCATCTGATGGTGCATCTGATGAACTATTTTGATATAATAAATAATGTAGTGGCAGGTTCATTTCTTGAAAAGACTTCTGGGTTTCATGGCACTAGAAACTACAAATTTAAAATCTACAAAATTAAAGTTATTTTTTGTAAACAGCACTGTGTTGATCCAACAGAGACCAATTTGTCAATTAAATCATTTAGACCTGGTAAATTAATGTAAAATGACTGCTAGAAAATGATATTTTGTGCCTGGAGGTCAAAATACTAACAGTTTGATGATTGGAGGCGTCGCGCGTCGTGTCTTGTTCACTGTCATTGATGTTTTAATTATTAGATATTAATACATCTGGTATTATAGTATTCTGGTATATTGTCGATTTTAGAATAACTAATCGTTTCTATCTTATTTTTTATTAGAATGGTCATAATCAAGAAGGCTACTGTAACCGTGTTATGAAAATAAGGGAATTAAGGACTTATTTTTTCGTATTTATTATAATTTTGCTAATATCTTCGGTTTGAAAGAAGACATCAAGATGTGGTTTTCGCTGACTTTTTAAGCTTTTATTACTCTTTACTATCAGATAAAATTACATATACCATCGCATTTAATTTTTTTGAAAAAACGCACAATGTTAAATTGTAAGGCAGCGTTCCCTAGCGTTATTATTGTTTATATGGTGTGATATAGAGTAAGAAACGCTCTTTTAAACGAGCCCCCGGTTTGTTGGATTCGATTAAATAAAAACAGATCTAACCTTCCCCCACCACTGTATTTTGGAAGATACGGGAAAATGGTTCCATTCAAAATTTACTGAATATTATGAATCTATTAATTATAGTACTCCTTATCTAGGCAAAATTATGTAAAAACTCCATTTTCTTATTTTTCGTAGCAGTTGCGTCCTCTAGCCGCCGTTCTACAAACTTGAAAATAATTTTCAGCAATTTCTCATAGCCATTTTAGTTATAAATATTTTTTTCCGCAGGCCCTACGGCTAATACTTTCCGAGATACAGCCGAGAGATATTCTTAGTGGGACACCTTGTACATGCTGGGAACTTATCTGCACAATACTAAATATCAATATAAATTTTTCATAGCATATATAGCAAACTTATGAAATTGATTTGTTTAGACATTGCCCCTATATGATCTCTGATCAAATTAAAATTAAACTACTATAAAATTGTTTAACTAACTAACTAATTTGGTGGGCCTGATTTTTCAAAAAATATATTTTAGGTCAAAGCATGCGCAGAAAAATATCCGTAAATGTCCCATCTGTGGCATACCAAAACGAAATATGTCCCAACATATGAGAATTCACTTGGCACCGGAAGAACGACAGTGGTTTGCATGTACACACTGTGACAAGAAATATAGATCAAAACCAGTGTTACGACATCACCATGAGACCAATCATATTGATCCCAGGTAAATTTATTTTGTGTAATACATTGATAATATACAGTGTCCATTGATTTTTTTATTCATCGATTTAGGTCAACACTTTATTTGAAAAAGTAAATCAAAAAATAACTGATGGTAGTCAATTTGTTATCAAATATTTATCTAATTTTCATATATATTCAGTTAAAATTATTCACCAGTTAATAGTTTTTTACAGAAAAATAAAATAATCAGAGCGATGCAAAATATGAATAAGTATTCTATTCACTGAAATGGCGTTATGAAATTTATATTTGTACATGCTGGGAACTTATCTGCACAATACTAAATAATATCAAATTATATTTTTCATAGCTAACTTATAAGGCAAGCGAGACAGCGACACGTTGCTGCGCGCCGATTTAACAAAATAAATAATTTTAAAACTGCCGTCATTTCGTTAATAATTATCGTAACGTGCTGATTTTTGCATAGAAATACTCATGACTCTTTAGCGCTTCCGACAAGCCTAAATAACTGGATTTTCGATTTGTTTACATTGCCCGAGCATATTATAACTTTGAGATAAAAATCTCTGTTATAAATTTTAAAACTGACAGATATGAATACTATCATTTAATTAGTTATACATTTAGTTACAACATATTCAAAATTTAGGTCTATCGGTTTATGCTAGCAGTAATAACGAGTATAAATAAAAAAATGGTCAGTGCAACGCTCGTCGTTTTTAGCGCACGTTCAGCTTTGGTTTTAGTTTTAGCGCTATTTTTACAGAAAATAAATTCTGAACTTTGATCAAATCACAAGAACATTATCATTGCCGATATCTCCTGGTTATAATGTAGTGCTTTTTTCAAAATATTGCATTCTTTTGGCTTAAAAAAAACTTGAATTATGTTGCCTTTTAGCCTAGTCAGAAGATATATAGCGTCAAAGTTGTACTATAAAGGAAAAAAGCAGGCTAGTCCAGCAAAAAGGAGGAAAGAACAAGCGTGCTTTTCTCATTTTAGAGAGAAACTGACTTAGGTACCTGCTTTTTCTCCTGTACCTTATGATCTCTGATCAAATTAAAATTAAAGTACTATAAAAAACGGTTTAACTAACGTACTACTATAGCGGGCTTGATTTTAAAAACAAAAATGATTTTAGGTCAACGGATGCGCAGAGGAATATGCATAAATGTTCTATTTGTAGCTACCAAACACGAAATATGTCATATTTTAGACGACACCAGAAAATTCACTTGGCACGAGAAAACCGACAGCTTTTTGCTTGTGCGCACTGTAGTAGGAAATATACGACAAAAAGAAACTTAGGACGTCACATTGAGGATTATCATATTGATTCCAGGTAAATTTATTGTTAGCATAAGAATTACTTCTAGAGTCTGAATAAAAAGATTAATGAAGGAGCATATCAAAACCGACTTAAATTCCGGTTCATCAGTGCCGTTCTAATTTTATGCAAAATGTGTAAAAATATGTAGGGTAGATTCAATAATTTGTTGTTTGATTTTACATTGTCGAAAAATGTTGGTAGTTACTAAAATTGTTATCTATACTAATATATAAAATCCTTAAGTGACTGACATACTGATTAATCACGATCCTGCTCAAACCACTCAACGTAAGAATTAATTTTGGCATACAGGTTGGATCTAGGGTGTAGAGGTTCGATAAGAAGGGATTTTTCGAAATTCCAGTTCCAAGAGGGTGAAACCACCCCTCATATATTACAATATTTTTTATTTAAAAAACGGTCAAGTTTCCGAAAAAAGGCTTAAATACTTATATTTTATTTTGTTTTTTACATATTTTAAGATAATTAATCGGAGTGGGAAAGTAACGCTGCTGTATCGGTCGATTGTCGATGTAGGTTCGAAACAGGTTGGAGAATAACGCATCAGTTGTTTTAGATACATTGTTTTTCAACCTGTTACGAGCATAAAGGCGGGCGGCCAGTGCGAGCGAAACTAAACTAAGTCAAGCGAAGACAAGATTTTTAAAAATCAGCTCCCATACTTTTAAATGCATCAGCGGCCACTTGAGCGAAACTGAACGAAAATATGTGAACGAAGATTCAAATCGTAGCTTAGTTTCGCCCATTTTAGTTCGTGACAGATTCCAGCGAATTTTTCGCAGCGATTAGTTTTATGATAGCAGAGACACAATACGAAAACGCAGCTACTACTGAGCGAATATCGTTCCCAGTGGCCGATGAAACTTATTTTCGTTTAGTTACTGTTTGTTTTTATATTCTTAGCTTAGTTTAGTTACGCTCGCAGTGGCCGCCCGCCCTAACGGGCGGAGGTCGAGATATTATGGCGCTGTATGTTTCAGTACGTTGTTAAGTTTCAATATTTAGATATTTATTTATTCTGAAAAATTCTCAGAATAATATTTTAAGATTTTTTTAAAAATGTATACAGGGTGCTTTGAAAAATCTGGTCATTGATTAATCACGATCCTGCTTAAAGCCCTTGACGTAAAAAGCTGATTTTTAGAAAACGGATTGACTTTAGGGTGTAGAGGTTCGATAAGAAGGAATTTTTTGAAACTCGAATTCTAAGGGGGTGAAACCACCCTCAAATATTAGAATATTTTTTATTTAAAAACCGGTGAGTTTTTCGAAAAACTCTTAAACACGTATATTTTATTTTGTTTTTTTACATATTTTAAGATTTTTTAAAAATGTATACAGGGTGTTTCGAAAAATCTGGTCATTGATTAATCACGATCCCGCTTAAAGCGCTTGACGTAAAAAGCTGATTTTTGGAAAACAGATTGACTTTAGGGTGTAGAGGTTCGACAAGAAGGGATTTTTTGAAACTCGAATTCTAAGGGACCCAAGTAGCATTTGGACGTTATCTAACGTCGGGTATACGTCGCGTTCAATAAACCCGACGTCGGGTACCAACGTCGGTTCGACCGCCTGACGATCCTTATTTGCACCTAAATGGGGAATACAGATTCGGGTCGCCTCGACGTCGGTATCTGACCTAATAGGGAATGTAATTCTATCAATTACCAACGTCATATTACGTTGGATTTTAGTCACTTAAAATTCGTCGCTAAGCACTTACGTTATGTTTGGTTTCATATTCGCTACCAAGAATACATAAAAACCTAACCAAACTACCTAATTACAAATGGATTCATAATCACTCCTCGAATATAACTATAAGTGCCTATCTAATTTCGTATTATAGTAATTCTGAATCATTAATCCAGACATCAGTTTTGTCAACGGAAGTCACTTTCTTGATATATTTGATTAAAATACTCCGGAAAACAACGAGCGCTTTCAAAATTAGGTAGATTTATGAAATAAAAATATCTATAAAAAAGTAACTCACAATTCTTTTTTTATTTTCTAGCTGGTTTAATCATAAAACTGTACTGTGGTTCCCCCCAAACTCAACCTTATCAATATTATTCTACTAGAAATCGAAATGTTAATATAAATTTTAAAAACAAAAAACGATTTTAAAATGGCTGACAATCGGATACGTGTTAAGAATGGCGGATTTCTGTGTCCGACTTAATATGAACTACCAATATACCAATTCCGACCGGGTCTCCAACATTAGTCTCACACGACCGAAGTCATCAAACCGGACGACCGGCAATCGTATTATGACGTATATAATTCCAACGTACGCCACGTAACCTCACTTTGTTTATCAGTGATTTGTGGATTTGTGCAACTATATTTTAGTTTTTGTTTTCTCCTTAAAAAAATGGGCAGCCACTTTTTTAAGCCTAACCTCACATGTCGGAGGAGGATGGGGTCTGCTGGTTACCTAAGCTAAAAAATGAAATTAAGATGCACCAGTGTAATGCAGCATCTCTTCCGGATAAAAAGCATTTACGGGTGGAGGCAAGACATCACTACTACTATTATTATTTTGCAAAAGCCTCGACCTCTTTCTGTAAAATGTAGATGACTGTCTAAATGCCTTCTTAGTGTTTTTTAGGCATAATAAAAAAATTAAGTTTGTTTATAAAAACTTTTTATTAGGTTATGTTCATTAGGTCGCAAATGCTACTTAATGGGTTGTATTTACGGACGTAAATAGAGATACGTAAATTAGGTTATAAATATGAACATAAAATACAACAAAATATAATTGGACGTTACTTTAGGGATTATCAGTGAGACGTATCCTATTCGGACAACGGGTAGACGTCGGGCTAGTTCAAGTATATGTATACGTCGTGCAAGCCACCGTGGGAACGACGTTGTGAAATTAATAAAAATGGTACGTTGTTATTTTGTACGTCGACGATCTTTGGATTTACCGACTCGGATCCAACGACGTCGCTTTTAATAGGAAAGCGACGTCAGAGGACGTATCATCAGCACCCGACCTAAATTTGCACAAAGTCTGACGTCGCTTCAGGTCAGATTTAGTTCGAAGTCAGATAGATGCTACTTGAGGAGTGAAACTATCCCTGAAATATTAAAATATTTTATACTTAAAAACCGGTGAGTTTTTCGGAAAAACTCTTAACACGTATATTTTATTTTGTTGTTTTACATATTTTAAGATTTTTTTTTAAATTTATACAGGGTGTTTTATAAAATATGACCATTGAGGTAATCACGATTCTGCTTAAACTGCTTGACGTTTAAAGCTGATTTTTGGCAAACTGATTGACTGTGGGGTGTAGAGGTTCGATAAGGAGGGGTTTCTCGAATCTCAAATTCCAAGGGGGTGAAAACGTCTATCAAATATAACAATATTTGTTATTTAAAACGGTTAGTTGAATTTAAAGACTTCGATTGGTTAGAAACGGTTAACCAATCGAAGTCTTTAAATTCATAGATAACGGATGCTTGAAAATCAAGCTTTAGACTGAAATCATAAATTTGAAATGTTTTTGTGCCAAAAGTTCAACAGAAACTGTTTTATCATCATTTTTTCGCAGAAAAATTTATGATTAATTTAAAAAAATAAAAAATTTCCATATTTATCTAACTATCTACTATCTACATTCTATTTTTTGTCAATAATGACATGTATTGACTATTTCCTTTCTAAATATCGTCAGAACGGTTGCTCGTAGCGATTTTTATCAAGAGACATTTTTTAACTAAAAAATTACGAAAATGTATATTTTTCCACTCAGTAGTTTTATACAGGTACTGACGAAAAAAAACGTTATTACTCTTCAAAACAGTTAAAACACATGTAGCTGGCGTCCTTTACAAATAGAAGTCATGTTGACATCAAAATCATCATGATCAAAATGAAATTTCTAATGCCAAAAAACTCCCAGACTTCAATTTTCATCCAAATATTGACGTTACTTCATAAATTATTTGGTGAAAATCAGAATAAATATGAAACTTCTACATCCTGTATCTCCAGAACTAAGCATTTTAGGACATATATTTATACGAAGTTTTTTACTTATTTTTATATGCAGAATATATACAGGGTGGCGCACCTCATTCGCCTCGGTTGATTATACGAAAACGAAAAGATGTAGGAACGAAATATTTTATGAGTATATGTGGGAACGCAATGTGCACAATTTAAAATTATTTTGAAATGTACAGGGTGTTTCAGAACTAAGATCCATACCAAAAATGTATTTTTTCTTATGGAACACCCTGTATTTTATTTCATTTTTGGATTCTTAAGCCCAAAAAAAGGTATTTATTATAAGGGTTAAATATGTTTAAAATCTTTGGTTTTTGAGATATTTAAAGATATTTGAAAATGCATGCTACAATAGAATAGATTATTAACACCCTGTACATTGCTTTTCAGAATTAATTCTTGTGCTGACTTGTAAGCCAGAGAAATAAACTTTACTAAAAAATTTAATTGCTTTGTTTAATGTATACAGGGGTATCAAAAATGCTGGCCTATTTTAAATATTTATTTTACATAAAAACTTCGTTATTTCAAATACAATACCCTGTATTTTTTTAAATAAATCGAAGCAGATTTAAATGCTCTTTCAAAGTATATAAGGGTTTCAAAGTGTTAAGGGATTTTGAATAAAGAGCCATTTTTCAATAAAATGGGAACCAAGATGGCTGATGTCAAGTTTCTACTGACAGTTAGTAGCTATTTTCAAAATCGAAATTAGTTTATGGACTTTATTTATGTGTATAGCAGTTTACTTTTTTTTTAATTTGCCTACAGTAGTTTAATAAATAATATTTATTATTCTTTCAAGAAAAACGAAGAATTAGTTCTCTCATTTATTTTATGATCAGTCGTAGATATATGGATTTTGTATACAAGAGCCAATTACGGGAAATTCATTTTCTTTACTTCCAACGATAGGATTTGCCTAATAGGTTTTTTATAAACCACACTACCATAGCTCTGCGAAATAGAAAAGTATTTTTTCAAGGAACGCTTATCAGGAAGATTCCTATTTGGGTATCTTTGAGCATACGCTCTTGAGACGAAGAAACAATTTTCCTCACAAAATAAAATCACTAGTAACATATCCATTCGTTCCGCCAGCAGATACTGCTTTATTTTTCTTGATAAAATAATGAATAATGAAGTTTAATAAGTATTAAACTATTGTAGCTAAATTTAAGTAAACTGTTATAAATGTAAATAATAATGTCCACAAACTAATGTCGATTTTGAAAAGAGTTACTAGCTTTATCCAGAAAATTGCCATAGCGACACCAGCCATCTTGATTGCCATTTTATTGAAAAATCGCTTTTTATTCAAAATCTGAGCTAGATAGGTATAGGAAACCCTAATATAGTTTGAAAGAGCATTTGAATCTGCTTCGATTTATTTGAAAAAATACAGGGTGTTGTATTTGAAATAACGAAGTTTTTATGTAAAATAAATATTTAAAATAGACCAGCAATTTTTTATACACTAGGCACCATTTACAACCTGGTTAAGCAGTAGCTCACAATTTGCAAGCGTTACTACCAAAAAACCGGTGCGGAGGTACTTCAACATACCTCGCCGCTATCACCTTGGCCCAGAGAAAACAATAAACAAAAGATGTTATCGTGGGGACCATAAAAAAAAGAAGAATGAAATTATTGGGCAAACCTACAGTAAGATTAGCCATGAAACATGGCTAAAATACGACTACCCATATATGATTATATCCCGTAGTGTGTCTGCCTTCCGGCTTCATCAATACGGGAGGAATCAGCAACGATGAACTAGCGATCCTGAAAAAAGAAAAAAGGTAGCAAACGAGGCACTAGGCACCATTTACAACCTGGTTAAGCAGTAGCTCACAATTTGCAAGCGTTACTACCAAAAAACCGCTGCGGAGGTACTTCAACATACCTCGCCGTTATCACCTTGGCCCAGAGAAAACAATAAACAAAAGATGTTATCGTGGGGACCATAAAAAAAAACGAATGAAATTATTGGACAAACCTACAGTAAGATTAGCCATGAAACATGGCTAAAATACGACTATAGCTGTCGAAGTTTCCGGAATACAGTTCGGACCACCCTGTATATTATATTAACTTACAAGTTATTGCTTTTTGTATTATCTTATGTTGTATTATACCGCATAATAAAAAAAATGCGTCCAGTAGACTTAGAATTGACGATCGATGACATTTTCCATATAATTTTACAGATAAAATAACAGCGATCGTAATTTCCAAACCATCTTTATTACTTATTTGCAATGCAAGTCAACTAGATTTGTCTTTGTCTTACTTGTTAAAATACTACTACCAATTTAGAATTGTTTTACGCAATCACAAGACAAATATTTATATATGATTTTAGGTCAAACGATGCGCAGAAAGATATCCGTAAATGTTCCATTTGTGGCTACCAAACACGAAACGTGACACAATTTGGACGACACCAGATAATTCACTTGGCACCAGAAGAACGACAGTTGTTTGCTTGTACATTCTGTGAAAAGAAATATAGAGATAAATATTGGTTAAAATATCACATTCAGAAGAAACATCATGATTCCAGGTAAATTTATTGTCAGCATTAGAATTACTCTGAAATCATATACCGGGTGTTGCATCCTCGTTGGGAACATAGGAAATCCCATGCAAAATTTGAACTGTCCAGATATTGGCTCCCCTATGGATTTTATAGCGAAGTCGTAAATAGACTTTTTAAAGATCTACACTTGGTATACACACATGCCAAATTTGAACAATTTTGGACAAGTCGATTTTAGATAATTTGAGAAAAACTTAATCGATTTTTATATTAAAACCGAACAGGTAACAATCAAACACCAGTCAAAAACTGACATACCTGAGGTTTACAAATTATGATTTTGTCATTGTCAAAAGTAATTTTAATAAAATTTTAATATTTAGGGAAAATTAACCGAAACATGTCAGATACACTGTCTAATCTATTTCCCGCGTATTTTATCATGTTCACTTTTTCTCTATGTGTATAACAATAAATTATTACTAGTACTGAATATTAAAATTTTATTAAAATTAAGTTACGTTTGAAAATGACGCTGACAACTTAAGGAATGTCGGAAAGAAAAATCCAGTAAAATTAGAGCCAAAGCTCTGCTATCATCCATCTAAGTTTAATCTCGAGTTACAAGACTGTAATAATTAAATTTATTTTATTAGATCGAAGAAGGAACAGAAAAAGATCTATCGATGTTCCTTATGTAGCTACCAAACTCCACGTAAGTTCCGTTTTGAAACGCACAACAACATTCACTTACCACCGGAAGAACGACCGATGTTTGCCTGTACGCAGTGTGACAAGAAATATACGTCAAATAAGGGTTTACAAGATCACGTCAAGCGTGAGCATTCCAGGTAAATTAATAGTTAATATAAGAAATATTGATTATGATGTTTTATGTGAAACAATGGCCTATAATTCAATGTAAAAAACCCGATGGATTCAATGTTACCTGTATTTAAATCAGTTGCAAACCCAGTAGAACCATGTCAGACCTTGAACAAATCCTTATCTAAAATGGTCTGAAATACTAATATTTTTTTATTCTGTCCGCAGATCTGAGATATCTTTCATTTGAAAAATTTAATAGTAAAATAAAGGGGATGCTCGATACAAATAAACTGTTATTATTATCATATACCCCATGATCGAAAAAACACGCAATAGTCGAAAAGATCTAAAGAAAACGAATGACAATATCAGGATATAAATAAATGTGGCAACTTGACATTTTTTACAGTAGAGCTACCACCTGAATCCCCAGCGGGAAATTTAAATTCCAGTTAGTGTGTCCATGGTTGTTCCGAATATGTCCATGGTTGGCAACAATGAATTTAAAAATCGCGCCCTCGATTACGTAACTAAAAGTTTAAATGGTATCGCTTATTTTTTTATCAGTCAATTTAAGAACACTAAAAACATCCTGTATATATATGAAATATTTTTAATATGAGCGCCCTCCTTGCGCGTTTGTGTAAAAGATTGGAGAAAAAATCTCTAACAGAAATCGTGTTGTGGAGATTTGCCAAAACACTGTAATATTTTGCCATTCTTTTATTAGACTGGAGGAATCGCTGAAAAAGTTCAGATGTTCCACATGCGACTACCAAACACTACGTATGGCAAACCTAAGACGACACGAGACAATACATTTGGCGCCAACAGAACGACAGCTGTTTTGTTGTACCCACTGTGACAGGAAATTTAGAGCAAAAGTCTATTTAAAACGTCATCTTGAGCATCATATTGGTTCCAGGTAAATATATTGTTAGCATAAGAATTATACCTATAATAAATCAGATATGTATACTTCTTTAGCTACCCTAATCCTGTTATACATATACCAGATATATGTGTCCTTAGAAAGTTCTATATGAGAGTTTATTTAATTGACATTTCCATTCCGATTTTTCTGGTATTTTTTATATAGGGCTTTTAGCAATTTATTTAAAAATAATAGAAACCCACTGTAAATCTATGAAATATTTTTAACATGCGCTCTACTTGCTCGGATATTTTGTGAAAAAGATTAGAGGAAAAATCTATCAGAAACCATGATATAGGGCTTTTTCGGAACAGACTGTATTATTAAGCAGTTCTTTTATTAGAATGAGGGAAACGCAGAAAAGCGTCTATAAATGTGACTACCAAACGGCACGTAACTTAACCATGCCATTATTGACATAAGCAAGTTCACTAGGCACCGAAAAAACGACAGCAAATTTTTGTGCAGCAAAACAAAACGTGTCATCGAATTCGGCAATGACAAAATCACAATTTTGCTATTTTAATTGTAGCTTTCCCTGGGCCGTATTATAAAATTTTAGTAATTTGAAGGTAGATTTTTGCAAATAACATTTTAGTAATAATAATAATAATAATCAGAAACTCAGAAACGTTATAGAGGCTATTAACACGTTTGATGTTCCGGAGTTCACTTACTCTTCTGGGATAGTTAGTAGTTCTAGAACCTAGAAATCTATAAGGGCTAGACCATAGACTTAAAATAAAATATAGACTACACTATTTACATCTCAACGCGGACAGACAATATTTTTTGTACACATGTTTACTTCTGGGTACAGTCGACCGAGCCTTCCTCATCCAGCCTTTGTTGTCACGTCTTTAATATTATCAATATTTTTTTTCTTGTTATACACATATATTGAGATATTAATACTACAGTTTAATAAAGTAGGTTTTAGTATTCCATAGATGTATTAAATAGTCCTTATACTACTAAATTATAAGTCGGATACTGTTTAAAAAGGATAAGTTCTTTACAATATGACAACACCGATTAGAGGCGAGGGAGCCTATTCATTCATTTATTACCTTGTAGTACGTGTCGCACGTGTGCGGTAAAGCTTTGTTGCCGCTATCTCCTCGGCTGTATTAACGCATTTTCTTAGCTTGTAGTCCTTAAGTGTTTATTTTATTGACTTTTTCTGTTCAAGAACTATAAAATATGGTTCGCCAGTTCCAAATTTGCAAGAAATTTGACTTTAATAATCCATTTAAGTCTTGAAACGACTTTTGACCGGTAGGCAACTCTCAATTTACCCATTGGGAGTCAGTGGCGTTGTTGTAGAAAGGCGCTTATTTAGATAATATTTTAGTAAAATGTAAAATCTGATTTTTTTCTCTTACATTACATTATTTACTTACTTACATTGTAACAAAATCATAATTATAACCCTGTTAATAATAAATAATGTTTTTATTAAAAATATATTCCGGTTTATTCTAAAATTATCTTCAGAATCTAAAATAACATACAAGAATTTTAAAATGATATTACATATGAGACAATATTTTTTAATATACCGGGTCGTCTCAAAAGTGGTTCACCGCTATAACTTTTTTATTTTTTCAGATAAAAAAACAGATTTGTATGTTAGTAGGTATATGACATAAATTAGGATTTATTGACGTATTCAATTGTTTTTGGTCTCTTTCTGTTTCACCGAAATGATTACATCTTTTGATTTTTAAAGGCACCCTCGGTATATTTCTACTTTATTCGATAGAAAATGATAATAGAATTCTGAATAGAATGACATATCATATGTCAACTTTTGACATTGTCGCTTAAAAACAAATCGTATTATAAATTTCAATCCAGGGTGCCATGGTGTTGTTAAAAACACTAAGTTTTAATCAAGGAGCCTTGGAAAAATAGTTTTGATCGTCTAATGGGTTTCGTGTCTTGTCTAGGCCGATTAAAAGATGTACAAATCATATTTTTAATCATACATATGTCAATTTTTTCAAATGGAACAAGGGTGACTCGTTAGCATATTTGGAAAAAGCATTTTTTTATGAATATATTGATACCACACACTTGGTATTTCGAGTCAAATTGTCGTTATGAACCACGTGTTACAATTACAATTAAACCATATGCGAAAGTGTCAAAAGTTGACATATGATATGTCATTCTATTCAGAGTGTCATTTTCTATCAAATAAAGTAGAAATATACCGAGGGTGCCGTTTAAAAATTAAAAGTTATAGTCATTTCCGGTGAAACAGAAAGTGACCAAAAACAATTGAATGCGTCAATCAATCCTAATTTATGTCATATACTAACATACTAAATCTTGTTTTTTTATTTGAAAATATAAAAAAATTATGGGGTTGAGCCACTTTTGGGACGCACCCGGTATAATAAAGACAGTACCGAGTTAAATAAATGTAGTTTTCATTTTATCCCCTTCCTATCACCTTCCTTGCTTTAATGGAACAGATTTATGTTTTCTCTATTTTACATAATAAGACATCACTTAACCAGAAAAAAAATTACAACAATCATATTTTTTTTTCTCTCTCTGTCGCCGATTCTATTATATCTGTGGAATAGATCCTGTTTTCATTATATTAGGGGTTGTAATGTTTGACTAAAATTAATAATTTTTATTATTAATTTCAAAAATTACGTAATTTCGATTATAAAATTTCTTCTATAACGTGTATTTTATTATTTTTATCCTTTTTGGACTCTAAGACGTTTTTTCTAAAATAATAATAATCAGAAACTCAGAAACGTTATAGAGGCTATTAACACGTTTGATGTTCGGAGTTCACTTACTCTTCTGGGATAGTTATAGTTCTAGAACCAGACTAAATTATTATTAGTCTAAAGGGCTAGACAGAAAAATCCGTGTACTCTTCATTAAACAAAAGAAACATGCAAACATAGCAGGTATAGCGTTGAGAGAACTACACTTTTTAGAAAAGATGGAGGGCGAGATTGTTAACCTTCGCAATGAGCAACCGGAAAACCAATAAAATATTTCTGGCAGCAGGAAACCTATGTACATCGGACTGTCTATGCTACAGCACAAACTACACCGCTTAACTTAGCCGATTGAATACCGAATCCTCAAACAAAACCAAGACGAGAAGCGTAAAAGCTGGTTAATTCGATAAGAAAAGAACTACACGGGAGATGTTATAATAATATCCAAGATTATGTGGGTGTCAGTCTTAGACCCGTATTTATAGTCGCGTCTCGAACTGGGTCTCCGAAAAGACCGACAAAAGTAACAGGCTTACTAGGCGCGTGTATACGGGCGACGAAACGTAAGCCTCTTAGTAAATCTGTTATTTTTATCGGTCTTTTATATCTCGTGACTGGAGTCGCGTTTTGAGACTCGACTATAAATACGGGCCTTAGTTATGAGTGGTTTAGGAGAGAATGATTTCAGTAAGGATATTAGCAATTCAGAACCAAGTGTATACAGAAAGCACATTATAAATGAGAAAGCGGTGCAATCTGACCTCTGTCGAAAATGCCACCTCTGCTTTGAGACGATCGATCATACGGGGTGAGTCTTAAATAAGTGCAAATATTTTAGGGGTAGTATATTTCGACTCCAGAAACACGTTTGTGAGGTTTTTTGGGAATTTTTTTAATTTTTAGTTAAAAACACGATATCTGCATAATATGGCAACATAGGTAGTAGATTAAATTCAGATAGTAGAAAATAATTCACCTAAAAACTAAGTGAGTTAAAATATTAACATGTACCGTATTACAAATAATTACCTGATAAAATCACGGAAAATAACAATTGTGTACAAATAAAGGGTTCAGGGGAAAACTTAAGCGCCAATTTCTTAATTTTAGGATTTTGCAATATTATAGTAAGTCTAACTGGTCTCTACAAAATGTATAAATTCTGCAGGGCAATAAGTTGTTAAATCCTGTGATATATGACTAGTAAAAATACACGGAAAGAACCTGATAAACACCAGCCGTCCAGTGCTCTCCTATAAAATTAGTAAAATGGCGTTTATCATGTTTTCCCCCTGGACCCTTCAAATTATATTATGATAATCAAATTATTAAGGACCACACCATACATTCAAATACGCCTAATATACTAACTTAGGTTCATAAAAAAAACTCTACTACCTACTTGATGTAGATTTCAGTTCCCAGTGATTCAAACACACAACAAAAGTATAGGGAAAAATCTAGCTTAACTTCAGGTAAAATTTTTGTTAATATAAGAAATATTTGTGAATGGTTTTAATACATACCTCTTTTGTTAAAGTTATATGTCAAATTAGTACTACCAGAAATTCATAAAAAAAATAGAAAAAACTTCGAGAAACAAAAATTAATAAATTAACAAATACGAATAGTAAATGCGTCCGATGAATTTAATTCGTCAATAATTAAATCAGTTGCTAAAGCTAATAGAAAAAATGTCATACTTTGAAAAATAAGATTTGAAATACTAATATTTTTTTCTTACTCTGTCTGCAGATCTCAGATATCTGCCATTTCAAAAATGTAAAGGTGAAATTATTATTATTATCATAATATTATACTGGAAAAAACGGCGTCAAAGTTGGCTTGGAAATGAAAATTATAGTCCTTTTATAATTAAAAACTATATATGTAATAACTAAAATGTTACTAAATGTATATAACTAAAACCATAATTTTAAATGTGTAAGTGAGTGCCTGCCATAGTCCTTGATACTAATTTTTCTAAACTCTAAATTTAAGGTCGCCTTTTAGAATTTCAAACTATTCAAAATAATGGCAATTATTAACAAAAGTTCTATGAAATACTGCCATTGGAACAGAAACGTTCAGACACATATTTCGCTATTTTAATTTTTTGTTGTTTCCAGAAACGCTGATTGTATACCTCCAATTGAAGAAGTGATATTAGATTCCTTAAAAATAGAAATTAATGATCACGCTCTACTTTCGGATGAGTTTAAGTACGTTTTTTGTATAAATGTGTTTTTAGTAATATAGTGTTAATAATGTAATTTATTAATTCTAGAAATGATGAATGTCCGGCTATGACTAATGAAGTAAAATCGGACGATTTTATAAAAACAGAACCTGAAGATGTCGTTTTGAGTCTGAATAAAGACACGCATGATGACTTTAAGTATGTTTTTCTTGAAATTTATTTTTACTAATGGATTGGTAATAATGTAATTTATTAATTCCAGATATTCTGAATGTTTATCTGAGACCAATGAAGTAAAATCAGAACCTGATGATGTCGCTCCGGTTCTGAACATAGCAATGTACGATGACTTGAAGTATGTCTTTCTTAAATGTATTTTTAATTTATTTTAAATGTTTCCAGAAATACTGAAAATTTATTTGTTACTCAGAAAGTGAAGTTAGAAGATATTATAAAAATGGAACCTGATGATGTCGCTCCAGTTCTGAACCAAGACATGTACGATGACTTTAAGTATGTTTTTCTTGAAATGTATTTTTAGTAATGTATTGGTAATAATGTATTTATTAATTCTAGAATTGCTGAATGTTCGTCGACTAATGAAGTAAAATCAGAAGATTTTATAAAAACTGAACCTGATTATGTCGCTCCGAGTCCCGAAGAGAATAAAAACATGCACGATGACTTTAAGTATGTTTTTCTTGAATTATTTTTACTAATAGATTGGTAATAATGTCATTTTATAATTGCAGAAACTCTGAATGTTTATCTGAGACCAATGAAGTAAAATCAGAAGATTTTATAAAAACAGAACCTGATTATGTCGAACCTATATTAGTCTGAATAAAAACATACACGATGACTTTAAGTATGTTTTTCTTGAAATGTGTTTTTACTAATGTATACATATTATGTTACAAATATTTTTATCTTATTGTTTCCAGAAATAGTGAAAATGTATCTGTAACTCAGAGGGTGAAGTTAGAAGATTTTATAAAAATGGAACCTGATGATGGTGTTCCGTTGCTGAATGAAGGCGCAAATAAATGAAACTAGAATCTATTGAGCTCTATGATTGGGCTAAAGAACTAACCGACGACGAGGAAGGTCAAACAGAATTTTCTAGAAAACGCTCGTACATCACTATCTCATCGCGCGTCTTTATACTCGTATAAAGATCACCGCATTAGAAGAGAGCATAGATAAAGAATATATATACTGGAAGAGAGACAGAGTACATCTCCACCGAGAGCCTCGCTCCGTGTTGTTCGTTACCTCGAAATATTTCGTATAGGCCAAATAGGGTTCTTTTGAGACATCAAAGGACCGGGACTCGAAATAAAAATTCCCGGTTCTTTCAGTACCGAAATTTTTTTTACTCGTTAACAGTAATTAAAAAATTATTTTTTCTTACATGAGAAAGTTCATTGATACTCATAAATAAATAGTGATGTTATCTCTTATTATTGTTCTTACTTCTGAAGTTCTTTTGAAGTTCCTATAATGTTTATTAACAATATTGAAGCTTAGATATGCTATTTTATTATTAAATATAATGTTGCTCAATATATTACTTATATTTTATGTTATGTTTTTATAGGCATTTGCATTTTTACAGTTAGTTACAAGTTGGTTTGTGTTGTTTGGTGTAAATTTTAAATTTCCTATGTTTTTTTTTTCGTTTTTCCTTCACTTGTGCTCATTTGTGTTGATTAGGCTTCAGAATCGGGAAATTCCGGTCTCGAAAGTATCATGAGTTCCCGGTTCTTTTGAGCCATCAAAGAACCGGGACTCGAAATAAAAATTCCCTGTACGTTCAGTACAACAGTTAGTCCCCATATTTAACTGTATTTAAACATATTTTTTTGTAATATATAGTAATAATTATATTTTATGTTGTTTTTATACGAATTTGCATTTTTTTTACTGATTAATAATTATTTTCATTAAAACACATATTTCTATCGATTTTATTTTTGAAAACCATCCCTTGCTTGCTGATTGAGGGTGCAGCCACACTATCCTAAAAACGGCGTATCGGCGTAACGGCGTAATGACCTTGAATAGATTTCCAGTAATTCTATTGGCTGAAACATTAATCTGTCAGAAATTTTATCTGTCAAATTCATCTGTCAAAAATTTCAGCCAATAGAATCACTGGAAATCGATTCAAGGTCGTTACGCCGATACGCCGTTTTTAGGATAGTGTGGCTGCACCCTGACGAAATGTGCCAACATTGAACAAAAAATTAGTTAGTACCGAAAGTACCAAAAAAACGGGCTCCTTAAAAAATAAAAATCCCGGCTCCTTAAGAGTCGTGGTACCGAAATTCCCGGTTCCGGAAACCCTAAGCTCAAATAAATTAGATAAAAAATCGTTATGTAAATATTAGCTTGTAAATAAGTTTTATTAGTTAGATTCTTTTGACTTACCAAGGAAAACCAGGTGCACGCTAAACATAATTAGAACGCAGCATGGCAGATGCGCATATACTTTACATATTTGGGGCAAGAGCAAGGGCGGCAAAAATCAAACCGTCAAATATATCGTGGAGCAATGCCGTGAAACGGCTTATAACGGCAGACCAGAATCCAGAATCAATAGATTACTTCAATTTGTTAAATGTTCGTTTGTAATTTTTTTTCTTTTTGTCATATACGTACTTTGTGTCTTAATGTGTCATACGCTAAATAAATAAATTAGTTAGATATAAATAGTTTTTTTAGTGTTGTTCATTTGTATGTAAATAAACTTCGTTAATTAAATAAGACTGAATTATCCACACGGAAAGCAGCAAAAACGTAACATTACATTAAATGAACTGGCATTGCAACCATTAGTGTGTTCTGTGATTGCAACTTCTCAATTGCAGGCAGTCGAATATATAGGGTGTTTCAAAAAACATCTCGTGGGGAGATTTCTCATGTAAAAGATTGATTTTTCATATCGACATATGTCCGATTCTGCTTTGTTTCATAGCTACATGGTGTTAAAATCTTAATAATCTTTTGATTTATTATAATTTTCTTCCAAGTACTTTTAGCGATTCAAATGAAATTTTGATGGTAAAAGCACAGAACAGGTACAAATTCTGTTCTGTGGTATAAGTTCCTATAAGTGCTATATATTTTAATGCTAAAAAGTGTCGATAAATTCATCACTGGAATATTAAAAGAAATGTGTGCCACCGACTTTTTTCTTTTGATATCCAAATTGTGTATAGTTTGTCCAACGACAAGATCCTTGACAGTGATGGATATGTCTGTCATTTTAATTTCAAAGTGGGTTATTTAATTTTACAAAGAAATAAGTTGGTACAATTGGAACGCATAGCAGGAAATTAATATATTTAAAATTTGACTGACAAGTGATTACTTCAAAATAGTAGATTATTTTCTTTTATCTATGCTTCAAAATATTGTGAAAAAAAAACTCTATATAAAACGATGTAATCGAGTTATTTTATTAAAAAAAACGGTATGTGTCAAAACAAAACAAACAAGAACAAAACACCACATACCAAAAAAATATAAAAAAGAACTATTTCTTTCAAGTTTAAAGAAACTTCCCGCATTTATTATTATATTTATCAATATGTCAAGTTATGTACAAATACAAATTTGTAATATTCCACAGGAATAAATAAAACAACATAAATAAAACAAACTATTTTATTAATAATAACACTTTCCAAATTTTATACCTTAAAGTTTGATTAATTAACTTTAATCTTAATTTTTTTAAAGCAGTACCTTTTGTCATTATTTTTCTGCAGTACTAAAATCCATTATTTACCTATCGTGTGATGTCGATATTTTACAGCTATCCAGTTTTTAGTATATGTTTAGTACGATTCTTGTACCATATACGAGATGCACTTATCTACGACGAGATGGTATACAAACTTTATTGATGGTAACTTTATTGGTGTATAAGACTTTCTGCCTGGGTAGCGAGTATTAACTATAAACTGTGCTCTGGGTCTACAGTTAATTTTCCCTCGTTTTTTCCTCCACTTGACTTCAAAAGACACAAAACACACGTAATAACACGAATCAAAATGCATCATCTTCGAAAACGCAGGGTATTTGACATAAGGTGACACAAAATTATAACCTATAATTTGGCAAGACTTTGATAAGCCTCAAAAATCTAAAGGCGAGTTCATACGTATCGGCGTCCGTTTGTCGTTCATCGTTCCGTCAAACCAATAAAATTGAAATATGATCTGTCATTTTTGACATAAACCAATAAACTGGTTAAAAACAACAAAAGACGACTCATGACGGATTTATATTTAAACCCATCCATAGTTAACTTAAAAAATATTAGAAACTTTTTTTAGTAAAATAAATAGATTGGTATGGGACGTCATCTGTTTTTCTTCTGTCATCGTCTGTCGAAATCTTACCTGAGAAAAAAGGCAAAGTATAGGCCGTTAGATGCCAATTAAAAGTTATCTCTTGACATTTTGTCGAATTCGGCCTCCTTGATGAGATAAACGCAATTTTATTAATCACAATAATTAATAAATTATATATTTAACCTAATTTATTATTAAATATTATTACTAATTATTACTATAAGTTATAAGTCCAACCTACAGCAATTTCAAATAAAAAAATAATGGTATTTAAGATAACAAAAAACCTAATTTTATTAAAGGTTGCTATTAGACTTGGATCAAGGCAAATTATTAAAAATTTAATATCAGTTATTGTGATTATTTGAAATTTGCCCACACTACACAAAATGGTATAAAAAAGTAAATAATATAATAAAATGTCAAGTTGCAAAACCCGCCTTAATCCATTTTTCTTAAAATGACCTCTTGACATATATTAATAGTAGACCCGGAAATCTACATAAACATAATCCTAAACTGCAGTAAAAGTCGCCTATTCCTATATAAAATTCACTACAAATTACGTTACACTAGCAAAATCCCTCTTATTCACTAACATTTGCTTTTTAATTGCATTATTGCTACCTAAGATTGTTACAAGTCCCGCATTTTTTCATAAGCTTTTTACACAAGTATAATATTACTACTGACGTTTTTTCAAATCCTTACTTACTTTTAATAAAATTGTATATTTAATAAATCCAAGTTAGGATGCAAATACCGTATGATCGAAAAAACGGCGTCCAGTTGGCTACGAAATGACGATCGATGACATTTCCCATGTCAATTTACATATAAAATGACAGCGTTCTACATTTCATAGCCATCGCTGACGTCGTTTTTTCTTGATCATACTGTATCAAAACCCGCAATAAGCATCATACTAAAGTAAACGCCACGAATGTTTGGGAGCGATTCATCCAAATACATTTTAATTTCATTCAAATACATTTTTATTAAAATGTATTTGGATTCATCGCTTGATGAAGTTAGAATCGACACGCGCGCTATCATTTTTTACATTAAAAACGTAAATATTTACCGCAGACGTAGGTTTTTAAAGGCCCGGTCTAATCTTCTGCCTGCGCTCCTCCTACTTATTCTAAAATGTTAGTGTGATTGACAAAGACGATACTATATCGCGTTTCTTTGATTGATTCGTTTTGGTGCGTCAGTCCATTGGTGTGCTTGCAGTGCGACCAATGGGGCATTCCAGTTTATATTTATAACCAAATATATGTTTTGACAAGACTTTGACAGTTAAAACAACAAATTACAACAGATTATTATATGACTTGAAAAACACCACGGCACTGGAATTAAGTTTTATGTGACCTTGAACAGATTAGTTCATATGGTAGCGACCGATGAATCACTCCCAAACATTCGTGGCGTTTACTATACAACAAAACCCGCCTTATCCGAATTATTTTTGTTTTTTTTTTATTTAAAAATTAAATGTAAATTTATATTTCTAGAAAAACCAGATAAAAAACAATGATTCCACTCAATGGACGCGTTTTTTGCAAATTAACGCTTGAAACATTTGCTAAAACAGTTTTTGCTTATTATCGCAAAACGTTTGTGTGATAAGACGGATTTTGCAACTTGACGCCTCACATATATACAAATAAAAAACAGCGGTATAGTCGTGACTGACTAAATTAAGAAAAAAAACTACTAATTCTAGTGAGGATGCAGTCAATAATCACCACACAGGTTAATAAATTACTTTTCAATTTGTCAAATTTTCGAGACATTTATTCCCATTATCAGTATAATTTCTAAAATATATAAAAAAGGCTTTAAAATTTTGCAATTGTGTAAAAAACAACGTAACAACATAAATATATGAAAATTAAACAAATTAGTTAATTTTTTTAAGATTATGATATTGAACATTTTCTTCATCCGTTTGCGTCTTCATCCAGAAACGGAGCGCCATCGTCAGGTTCCATTTTTATAAAATCTTCTAACTTCACCCTCTGAGTTACAGATACATTTTCACTATTTCTGGAAACAATAAGATAAAAATATTTGAAACATAATATTGTATACATTAGTAAAAACACATTTCAAGAAAAACATACTTAAAGTCATCGTGTATGTTTTTATTCAGACTAATATAGGTTCGACATAATCAGGTTATGTTTTTATAAAATCTTCTAATTTTACTTCATTGGTCTCAGATAAACATTCAGAGTTTCTGGAATTATAAAATTACATTATTACCAATCTATTAGTAAAAATATTTCAAGAAAAACATACTTAAAGTCATCGTGCATGTTTTTATTCAGACTCGGAGCGACATAACCAGGTTCTGATTTTACTTCATTAGTCGCCGAACATTCAGCAATTCTAGAATTAATAAATACATTATTACCAATACATTAGTAAAAATGCATTTCAAGAAAAACATACTTCAAGTCATCGTACATGTCTTGGTTCAGAACTGGAGCGACATCATCAGGTTCCATTTTTATAATATCTTCTAACTTCACTTTCTGAGTAACAAATAAATTTTCAGTATTTCTGGAAACATTTAAAATAAATTAAAAATACATTTAAGAAAGACATACTTCAAGTCATCGTACATGGCTATGTTCAGAACCGGAGCGACATCATCAGGTTCTGATTTTACTTCATTGGTTTCAGATAAACATTCAGAATTTCTGGAATTAATAAATTACAATTTTACCAAATCCATTAGTAAAAATACATTTCAGGAAAAACATACTTAAAGTCATCGTACATGTCTTTATTCAGACTCAGACCGACATCATCAGGTTCTGTTTTTATAAAATCGTCTGATTTTACTTCATTAGTCACAGCCGGACATTCAGCATTTCTAGAATTTATAAATTACATTATATTAACACTGTATTACTAAAAAGACATTTAAACAAAAAACGTACTTAAACTCATCCGAAAGTGGAGCGTGATCATTAATTTCTATTTTTAAAGAATCTAATATCGCTTCTTCAATGGGAGGTATACAATCAGCGTCTCTGGAAACAACAAAAAATTAAAATGGCGAAATATGTGTCTGAACATTTCTGTTCCAATGGCAGTATTTCAAAGAACTTTTGTTGATAATTGCCATTATTTTGAATAGTTTGAAATTCTAAAACGGTGACCTTAAATTTAGAGTTTAAAAATTAGCATCAAGGCCCTGGCAGGCATTCGCTTACACATTTAGGCTGTATTCCGTTGCAAAACCAAGCGAACCAGACCGGTAAACTACGGTAAAGAGCGGTTCCTGAATTTTTTTTTGTTTGATGCGGAACGGTTTGGTAAAATACTGGAAACGTCAAATGTTGACGTTTTCTAAATTACAATACCTCTATTATAAAATTTATCTTTTATGCATTTTTAATGTACCTATTCTCTGCTTTTACGTTTGCTTCTTCTTTTCAATGGAGTTTAATATTGAAAACTACTTTATTAATAAACTATTAAACTCGTTAGACAGATCAAGTGAAGATTTGCAGGTACAATATTAAAACAGATCAATAATAAATAAACAAATCTAAGCAATATTTATATTTCTATAGCCTACAAAACATCCACGATTGCTTGTTGTCTTGTCTTTCATGTTTTCTTTAAATGTTCCTGACTTTAAGAAACAATGGCTGCATGATAAGTTTAAATGGTTCTAAAAAGTCATTCTATTTAGTTAATGAAATTTATTTATCTTTACTGCCTACCTCCATTGCTTTTGGATGTAAATACAAAATATTATTACTAATTTTAGTAATTAAATGAGAATTTCACTCGAACTTCCAATATTTGCTCGATTTCTGTCACATAAATGACATTAATTGACAAACAAAACCAGAAAAACCAGCCTTCTCGCGCTGTTTAGTTTGGTAACAGCTATAACCGAATTTTTCAGGAACCGTGTTCCGCAATAAGAAAACTTTCAGGAAACCGATAGAAACGGAACATAAAACCATAACCAAGGTAAGCAACAGAATACACCCTTAAAATTATTATGGTTTTGGACAATGACAAAAATGTGATTTTATCATTGTCAAATTTGATGTCACATTTTGTTTACAAACACTTGTAGTCGTTTTTCCGGTACCAAGTGAACTTGCTTATGTCAATTAAGGTGTAAGTTACGTCTTAGGTAGTTACATAGTCATATGTAGCATGTAGCAGTCTATAGACTCTTTTCTGCGATTCCCTCATTCTAATAAAACAACCGTTTAATAATACAGTCTGTTCCGAAAAAGCCCCATATCATGGTTTCTGATAGATTTTTTCTCTAATCTTTTTCACAAAATATTCCAGCAAGTAGAGCGCATATGTTAAAAACATTTCATAGAGTTACAGTGGGTTTCTATTATTTTTAAATAAATAAATTGCTAAAATCCCTAAATGAGAAATACCAGAAAAATCGGAATGGAAATGTCAATTAAATAAACTCTAATATGAAATTTTTTAATGACATGGCTATCTGGTATATGTATAACAGGATTAGGGTAATTAAAGAAGAAGTATACACATATATGATTTAGGTATAATTCTTATAACAACTTTGCTAACAATATATTTACCTGGAACCAATATGATTACTCTCAAGGTGACGTTTTAAGAAACCTTTTGTTCTATATTTCCTGTCACAGTGCGTACAACACAGCAGCTGTCGTTCTTTTGGCGCCAAATGTATTGCCTCGTGGCGTCTAAGGTTTGCTATACGTCGTGTTTGGTAGTCGCATGTGGAACATCTGACCTTTTTCTGCGATTCCTTCAATCTAATAAAAGAATGGCTTGATATTACAGTGTGTTCCGGCAAATTTCCACATGATTTCTGTTAGAGATTTTTTCTCTAATCTTTTACGCTAACGCCCAAGGAGGGCACTCATATTAAAATATTTCATAGATATACAGTGCGTTTTTAGTGTTCTTAAATAGACTGCTAAAATATAAGCGATACAAATTAAACTTTTAGTTACGTAATCGAGGGCACGATTTTTAAATTCATTGTTGCCAACCATGGACATGTTCGGCGCCGGGCTGACTAACTGGAATTTAAATTTTCTGCAGAGGATCCAGATGGTAGCTCTGCTATAATAAAAGTCAAATTGCCACATTTATTTATTTATTTCCTGACATTATCATTCGTTTTCTTTAGTTTTGTATTACGAGATTTTGGTTTATGAATTGTGTTATTTTAAGCTTAAAAATTTTTACTAGCAGACGGTAGGAATGGCCCTTTATGTCCCCTAAGTGCTGTTAAGGAGGTGAATTTTGTTGATACTAAGGGCTGGCAAAGGTTAGTCTTGGGTCGAGATTTCCGTATGTTAGAAGAGTACAATGGCGTTTATAATGTAGTGAACAAAGAGAGGACAGTAAACATGTTGCCAAACGTATGAAATAAACCGAGAAACTGCACATCGCTAAGAGACGAGGAAGGGGATATAGCAGATTTGTCGCAGTTTTGTCGCTCACTCCGACTTAATAAGATCCCTATGCGATTTACTTCCACACATGTAAATGCCGACCCAAAAGTAACAGTTGCCAGCACGGTATAAATAATAACCCGTTTGTGTATTTATAATTAATTTATTTTTGTTTCCTAAAATATTTTGATTAAAAGCAAATATGTACAAGCGGGCAACGCTGTGACGATCAAGGTTAATCACGTGACTAAAAGTTTATTTGGTATGATCTATACATAGTTTAACATTACATAGATTACAGATGGGTGGTGGTTCGTTTTTATTTTTATAGTAGAGATCGCAGTCATTAAGGGTCATTTTACCCGAGGAGGTAGAAAGAAGTGTAGCCTCAAAGTAGTGATGGGATAACTCGAGCGAAAATTCGCTCGAATACTCGATTATTAAAATAACCGACATCGCTCGATTATGAACAAGCGATGCAAGTGACGAATTAGGAGCGACGAAAGCAAGCGATCCTAGAATGAAATAAATTGAAATCCGATTTTAATGTGACATACTCGATACAATGCCGAGCGAATTTTCTACATATATGTACATTGCAGGTAGTAAATTTATACGACGTTATCTGTTGCGTATCTGAGTGACAAAATTTTACGACCTACATCGACGATGCTTCATCGCCGAAAGAATATGTGCTCTGCGCACGCAACTTACTGCTTGGCGTTACGAGTTGCAAGTACAACGAGCAACGGGCGAAAAACCGTACTTTTAAATACGAGTGAAATTTCGCTCGATTATTGAAATCGCTTGAAACTCGAGTACTCGATTATTGAAATTAATCGATTTTTCTCACTACTACTCAAAAGCGTATTTATCTGCTGTCTCATTTTCTCTTATACCGGAGTGACCGGGAATCCACAAAAAAATCATTCAAGAACCATAATATTCCCTATAGTTCATAGCAAGTAAACTTTTAGTCATGATAGTGATTAGGCTTGACCGGCACAGCGTTGCCCACTTAAGGAGAGAACGCACTAGGCGGTCGCGGTCTTGGCCGAGCTAAGCTGAGCTGGTCTCGATCTAAACAAAAATTAATCGCATTTCGTAGTTGCAACAGTTCTGCTCGCGGTCACTTTTGTTTATATAAAATAAGTTCTATGGAAGAGGTCTTTTTTTTGGCTCTTCTGCTTGAAGAAGATTATCTTTTCTTTGATTTGATTGGCATAGTTCTTATCAACAGGAACCTAAAGTTCCACGTATTTTTCAACTAACTAAAGTTTTTCGTCTTCCATATTCCACCATGTGCGAAATCACCATGCACGCAAAACGAATAAAATGAAAAAATAAAAACAGCCTCTGGATCGTACAGGTTAATGTAGGCACGAATGTTGCTAAATATAGACGATAGCATGGTACGCGATCAAAGAAAAACGTGCATTTGGCGTTCCCGACCACGTCTCGATCGCATCGCGGTCTCCCGAGATTCTTTCAAAAAGATCGGAGAAGAGCGCGTTGCGAGCGAGACTAGCCTCCGAACACCAAGTGCAAATGCATGTTTTATAAAACAAGGAAAAGATCTTCACCGAGCGCGATCGCGACTAGTTCGGTCTGAGATGGGACGCGACCGCGACCGCCTAGTGCGTTCCCTCCTTTATACGACCGCGGTGGCATACAACTCTCGCATATAAATACTGAGTTTTGAGATTGCCATTCAAAGATATTGAAAACAGAGAATAACTGTTTTAAAAAGGCCGCGATCTTTTCAGACTGTCACGTGTTTTTTTTTCGATCATATACAGGGTGGCGCACCTCATTCGCCTCGGTTGATTATACGAAAACGGAAAGATGTAGAAACAAAATATTTTATGGGTATATGTGGGAAGGCAATGTGCATAATTTAAAGTTATTTTGAAATGTACAGGGTGTGTCAGAACTAAGATCCATACCAAAGTTATATTTTTTCTTATGGAACACACACACCCGGTATTTTATTACATTTTTGAATTCTTGGACATAAAATAAGGCATTTATTATAAGAGTTTAATATGTTTAAAAGCTTTAGTTTTTGAGATATTTAAAAATGCATGCTATAATAAAAAAGTTTGTCAACACCTTGTACAGGGTGGGTCAAATTCGACGCTTTTAAATGGAAACACCCTTTTCTATAGGAGATAGACGAAAAATAATATCGGTGTCTGTAGCTCAATTTTTATCAAAAACATGATAGTAAAAACCGCACATCAATATCTGTTACCATTTCGCAGTTACGTGGTGTTTTTCAAAAATGTGCATTTTTAACAAATCGCTGTAACTTTTTTGCTATGGAAAATTGTGTATTTCTATGAAAACATTTCCAAAGCACCTTTTTACGTACAATTTAATGGTTTAAGTATAATTTTAATTAATAATTAAAATTAATAATTTAAGAGTTCATAATCCCCTTCGAAATACAGAATTTTTAAAAGTTCGCCACTTTTAATTAGTAGGCTTTGGACCCCTTATTGATAATAAGCCCTTAATGGAACTTGAAAACATATTTTTCCCGCAAGACAACGCCTCTGAACGCTGAAGTTATCAGCAAATTTTTGCAGCCAATTTCAAGAATAATTGGACAGCTAATCAAGACCCCAGCCGTTGGCCGCCGAGGCCGCCTGACTTAGTGCCCATGGATCTAATCCTATGGATATATTTGCGGAAGAATAAAGGTTCCTTATTCTTCCGTATAATCTAGACAAGAATTAAAAATACTTAGCAGTTATGAGAGGGTATCTTTCACCCCACTGATTTAATGAATTTCGCGAGAAATGTTCAAAAACTGCCCCGTCTGTCCATAACAGAAGACGGTCGATATGTCGAACACCTGTAGCAAAATCTCATGCCTTGGTTTGCTATTTATTTTTATTGTTATTAGATATAGTTTAAATGTGTTGATGTTGGTGAAATATATTTTAAATTGTTATAAAATTTTGCATCTCTCATAGCAAATATTATTTTCGTTTTAATTGATGCTCACAGCTAGAATTTTTTTGCATTACAGCCGGTGCCGTTCAAAGCCTACTTATTTAAAGCCGGCGAATTTTTATATACTCTATATCTCGAAGAGGAATCGAGCAAAATATCAAGTGTGTTATATTTTTGGAAAGGTAATTTTAAATTCTTTTCAATAAATTGGGTGCCCGGTGGCGTAGAGGTACAGGCTCTCGTCTACCAATCTCAAGGTGTGGGTTCGATTCCTACACCCGGCATTTCATCAGCCAACTATTTTTATTAAAATGAAAATAGTTAGGGTACCTAGGTCGACTCAGCCTTAAATGAGTACTTGGGATTCACAATCCTGAGGTAATAATAGGCGGTTGAAGCGTAGTGCTAGCCACATTACCTTCCTTGTATACCGAACGGCTCTAGTATAGCAAGCTGTACCTTGCTACTCCCAAGGCGTTAAACGCTATATACTGGAGCTATTAATAATAATAATTTATTTCCAGAAACAAAAATTACAAAATAATAATAATACATTGTAACTCCTACAGAGATAAATAAATTATCTGTGTGTAGGGCTGGATGTACCTATATAATAATTAACAAACTACTAATACATAATAACAATAATTAATACTAACCTAACCCAGTGTGCCAAACATGACTACAAATGATATATATTATTATTATTCAATAAATTACAAATATACAGGGTATCCCATATAAAAAATCAAATTTTCAGTTGATAATTCTTAAATTATTAATTTAAAAAAAATTATACTTAAACCATTAAATTCTACGTAAAAAGGTGCTTTGGAAATGTTTTCATAAAAACACAAAATTTTCCATAGCAAAAAAGTTACAGCGATTTGTTAAAAATGCATATTTTTGAAAAACACCCCGTAACTCCGAAACGGTAATAAATATCGATATGCGGTTTTCACCATCATGTTTTTGACAAAAATTGAGCTCCAGACACCGATATTAGTTTTTGTCTATCTCCTATAGGAAAGGGTGTTTCCATTTAAAAGCGTCGAATTTGACCCACCCTGTACATTACTTTTCAGAATTAATTCTTGTGCTGACTTTCAAGCCAGAGAAATAAACTTTACTAAACAAATTGATTGCTTCCTTAAATGTATACAGGGGTATCAAAAATTGATGGTCTATTTTAAATATTTATTTTACATTAAAACTTTGTTATTTCAAATGCAACACTATGTATTTTTTTAAATAAGTCGAAGCAGATTTAAATACTCTTTCAAACTATATTAAGGTTTCCTATACCTATCTGGCTCAGATTTTGAATAAAAAGCGATTTTTCAATAAAACTGTAATCAAGATGGCTGGTGTCGCCATGGCAATTTTCTAGTGACACTTAGTAGCTATTTTCAAAATCGACATTAGTTTATGGACTTTATTTAAATTTATAACAAGTTATTATTATTTAATTTACCTACAATAATGTTAATAAGTAAGTATTTATTATTTTATCAAGAAAAATAAACCAGTATCTGCTGGCGGAAGGAATGGATATGTTACTAGTAATTTTATTTTGTGAGAACAATTGCTTGTTGTCCTAAAGGGTTTATGCTCAAAGATATCCAAATAACAATTTTCTTAACAAGCGTTCCTTTGAAAAATTACCTTTCCTATTTGCAGAGCTGATAGTGTGGTATATGAAAAACCTATTGGGCAGAAACCTGTCGTTGGAAGTGAAGAAAATGAATTTGCCTTAATTGGTTCTTTTATAGAAAATATATCTACAAGTCATCGTAATATAAATCAAAAAGAACTACTTCTTTATTTTTCTTGATAAAATAATAAATAATGACTTATTAAACTATTGTAGGTAAATTAAATAAAAGTAAACTGTTGTAAATTTAAATAAAGTCCATAAACTAATGTCGATTTTGAAAATAGTTACTGTCACTAGCAAATTGCCATGGCGACACTAGCCATCTTGATTACCATTTTAGTGAAAAATCGCATTTTATTCAAAACCTGGGCCAGATAGGTATAGCACAATGTAATTATGCACAAACCCTAATATTTTTTGAAAGAGTATTTAAATCTGCTTCGACTTATCTTTAAATATCTCAAAAACTAAAGCATTTAAACATATTTAACCGTTATAATAAATGCCTTATTTTGTGTCCAAGAATCCAAAAATGAAATAAAATACCGGGTGTTCCATAAGAAAAAATATAACTTTGGTATGGATCTTAGTTCTGACACACCCTGTACATAAAATACCCATAAAATATTTTGTTTCTACATCTTTCCGTTTTCGTATAATCAACCGAGGCGAATGAGGTACGCCACCCTGTATGGTGTCTGATATAATTGTATCGAGGATCCCCTTTATTTCTCAGATCTGCAGAAAGAATAAAAAAAATATTAGTATTTGAGACCATTTTAGATAAGGATTTGTACACGGTCTGACATGGTTCTACTAGGTTTGCAACCTTTGAATAAAAAGGCTAAGGAAGGAGCATATTGCTATCCATGTATTCATGCATGGTGGGCGGAAAAAGGACTCTAGGGTGAGGATCCTTGACAGTTCTGTTTGACGATTCATTTGACACATTTGAATTTGATTTGAAATTTTGTGGATTTGTCAGTCTTTACTGAGCTTATTTTATGTTATTTATTATTTATTCTACTACTGATAGTTGTATAAAGGTAGTAAATCTAGATGGAAATTGTGGGAGAACATAAATTAACAGTGACATTGTCGCGATTTATCGAAAAAGACTCTAAAATAGTTGGTTGTGTAGCGTGCGGTAGATCTCGGCATCAATCGAGTGAAATAATGGAACAACTTTTCGCTAGTAAGTGACTATATAATATACATAAGTGTAGTAAACCGATCATTTATGAAATTCACTTAAATTAAATAATTATATATTTTTCTTGCATTTTTGCTTATATTTGCTACTTTTTTTAGGTCCTCAATTAGACTTACCTGCTTCAGTTCAGTAGCGTATCGGATATTTGTGTTTGTAAATAAATAATTATTATAACTTATCTATTTTTATTATAATAATATGTTTTTATAACAATTTTAATAACTACCAATATTTATTCACAACGTAAAATAAAACAACAAATTATTGAGTCTACCCCACGTCTATCCTATATCATAGTTTTACACTTTTTAAATAAAATTAGAACGGCACTGATAAACCGGAATTTAAGTCGGCCATATTTGAGTCCCATCGCGGTGGAACTAAGATTTTTGATATGCTCCTTCCTTAGTCTTCTTATTCAAAGTTTGCAAGTGATTTAAATACAGGTAACATTGAATCCATCGGGTTTGTTACTATTTGTATTTTTCAATGAATTTATTTTCATTCGTGTCTTGAATTTCATTATAGGCCATTGTTTCGCATACAATAAAATCAAATATGATATTGGAATCATCATAATCAATATGTCTTATATTAACTATTAATTTACCTGGAATGCCCACGCTTAACGTGATCTTGTAAATTCGTATTTGACGTATATTTCTTGTCACACTGCGCACAGGGAAACATCGGTCGTTCTTCCGGTGGCAAGTGAATGTTCTTGTGAACTTTAAAATGGAACTTACGTAAAGTTTGGTAGCTGCATATGGAACATCTATAGATCTTTTTGTGCACTTTCTTCAATCTAATAAAGTAAAATTTAAATATTACAGTCTTGTAACTCGAGATTAAACTTAGATGGATGATAAGTCTCTTTTTTTTTGCTTTAATTATTTCTATTTAATATATTATTCACACTAATTATTAACTTTAACTATAACTGTATTTTTTTCTCGGAACAGGTTAAGTTAAGTAGCCATAGGCTAGACTTTGCCTGAAGAAGGACTATGATATATTTTTTTGTTATTTTCCATGAATAAAGTCATTTATTATTATTATTATTAAATTAGATTTGTGAGGTGGCTGTCCGCCGGTCCACTGTGACTTTTTGAGATCTCTTATGATCTCAACTAAGAGTTCAAAGTAGGTATTAGGGCACTTGTGCCAGACAGTCACATCCGGTCCAGACACCGAATTCCAAGAATTCCGGTGTCTGGACCGGATGTGTCTGTCTGTCTCAAGTGACCTAATGACAGAATTTCTGACGCTAGACGGATGTCGTCATCACCTCTGAATTCAATATTTTTTACATTAACATGGAATCAATATAACGATGCTTGATGTGATCTTCTAAACTCGGCTTTGACATACATATATTTCTTGTAAGACTACACACAAGCAAACATCTGTCGTTCTTCTGGTGCCAAATGAATTTTCTCGTGTTCTCATATGGTGCGTATCCATTGGCCGCGGCAAAGTTCAAGCGACAGCCGATTCAATCGACAGCCGCGGTCAATAGTCACATTAGGTCCATTTATAGACCTTTTTCTGTATTTCCCTCAATTTGTTTTGCTCTAATAAATTAATTTTTAATCATATCTCAATTTTTTTTCAAATGGAACAAGGGTGGCTCATTAGCATACCTAGAAAAGCATTTTTTACGAATAATTTGGTACCACACACTTGGAATTCGAGTCAAATTGTCGTTATGAACCGCATGTTACAATTTCAAAGTTACACTTCAACATTACATTTGTCAAAAGTTAACATATGATATGTCAGTGGCCGCTCGTGACCCGTGTGACTGGATAGGCGACAAAATTTTAATTGCGTCTATTTGCCCCTCCCCCCCTCTTAAATTTACATAATACCCTAACCCAGTTCGTAAATATATGTTATCTCTGGGTTAAAAACATAGCTCAAGAATATTTAGGACAAAACTAAAGCAAAAATTACAGCATTTAACGTAATGCATTATGTCATTACGTTATGTTTTTTTTTATCTATTACTATGGAGTACATCATAGACTTTTATTTTATTTTTATTTATTTACGCAAACTTAAAAAATTGGTAGTATTGAGAAAAAGAATAATTATGTTTTAAATATTAAATTGATGAGTCGGTCTCTTGATAAAGAAAAGTTATTTAGTATTACATCAGTAAAATCATCAGATTGTTGAAGAGCTGTGAAAAGATCTTATTAGATTGAAAGTAAGGCAAGTGTAAGGCAATCTCTACTATAAATTTTAACGCATTTCAAACATGAAAAATGTCTCTCAACCCAAGTACTTGTAAATGGTGTATTAACAATCAAAACAAACAATTTGAAAGCCACTGGAAATATATTTCCAAGATTATTCTCCTTAAATTATTTTCTAATCGAAATTATCATATCTATTATTAATAGCTGCAATTTATTCATTAATTTATGTTGGTCAATAACATTTTTTGTTTGTTAAATCAATATTAAATGCGTTGGAAATGTATCGATATAACAAGTTTGTTAAATCAGATAATGTGTTGGACATTTTTTATAGGATTTTTTAAATTCCGGAATTATTAGAATAAAAAATTAAAATAATTGAAACATACGAGTACCTGTCTGCAAACCTTATTTCTAAATGTATAACAATGTTGTCTAGTACCGTATGATCGAATAAAAACAGCGTCAGCGATGGCTATGAAATGAAGGTCGCTGTCATTTTATATGTAAATTTATATGGGAAATGTCATCGATCGTCATTTCCCAGCCAACTGGACGCCGTTTTTTTCTCGATCATACGGTATTTCATAAAATAACATTTATTAACATATCGAATTGAATTAGCACACTGAGACTTTTCTGTAATATCTGTTGTATCGTCTTCTTACACCGAATAAAATAACGCGCTCTTTTATTTCGGATTCTTTTATTTCTGTGGCGTGTTCTGAAATACAACCGGTTATATCATTTTGAATAAGGTTTCCAATTTGTTTTAAACGGTTTTTGAATTTTCATATAAAAGTTTTAAATGCTATGTATAATGAATCATTTGAAATATCCCCTTAACGAAATGTGATATATCCCCTTATGAAATATCGGGAATATCCCCTTAACTTCTAAGCCTACCGAGCCTCCACGACTTCATGCGAAGGCGACCGGAGATTTCGCCTAAGCCCCGCCTTAATACGATACAACTCCAACTTACGTCGCGTCGCTACCGCACGATGAGTTGGACAGAGACAGAAGACTGCCGTACGTCGTGTATCGACTCTGATAGTAGGCGATGTAGAAATCGCCGAACCAAGGCGTTTGCAGTACTCCAACGGTCAAAATTATTTTGTTTTCTAACGCAACGGCACAGTCAGTGTACACCAGCGGTAGTGAATATTTTAATATACAAGACCACAAATATTAAAAAATAATATTGATTATTACAACACTTCCATGTATTAACAGTTTTTTATGTATTGGCAACATTAATAGTAAATAATGTAATGTAAATTAAACCGCTTAAATTCTGCCAAAATTTTAGGGCAGGTGCCGCCTACCTTGCCTACCTTGACGAACCACCACTGTGACATGTCAACTTTTGACATTTATATATATGTTACGGTTAAAGTCCGATGTCCGGTTAATGTTTGGGTTTGGTTTTGTTTTGTGTTATTCTCGAGATTAACCGGGTGATGTCGATATTAACCTGATATCGGACTTTAACTGTAACATATACATTGTTATTAATTAACGTAAAAAATGAGTTATAGTAAATGACACGAATGTTTGGGAGTGATTCATCGGTAGCTACCATGTGAACTAATCTGTTCAAGGTCACATAAAACTTAATTCCAGTGCCATTCATCATTGGTAGATATGCCAATGCGACAATGATTAGAATGGTCACTAACGGAATTAGTACTGGGAGAATTGTCAGATCAGGGGCTTGGAACACCCTCAAAAAGGAAATACCACTCCTGCAACTCCCAGTGGACGATATGCCAAGAACGTACAACTTTGACAAACATGTCAATGTAGTATTGAGCAATAAGAAGGATTGAAGAGCGGTAAAACGCTTGCCCAGCAGTTAAAAGCACTTCATACCATAATCCTTGGTATACTGCTTCCAAACCGTCACGGGGAACAGGGATCGGAGTGTTTGGGCCGAGAGCTAATTACCCGAACCAATGGGCACTTACCCTAGTATCCTACAGGCAGAAATCTACGCTATCGAGAGATGCGTACAACTTCATCTTAGATAGGAACTATCGGAAACAAGAAATAGCCATCTTATCTGATAGTCAAGCAGCGTTAAAGTGATCAACTCAGTATCAATCAATCTGAAATTGGTCAAAAGAATGCATAGAGAGAAGCTGAATAAAGTAGGCGGGGGCAAAAACAAAGTCCTCCTACACTGCGCCTGCTCACCAAGGGATAGAAGGCAATGAAAAAAGCAAATAATCTAGCTAGGAAAGGGAATACTTCACTAACTGACCAGAACCGCTCTGCTTTCCAAGTGGGTAACCAACTCAAGGCGGAACTCGCAGCTTGAAGATTCCATCCGCAACCTGGAATGGAAATCTTGCAATGGTCTAAGACACTCGAAGAAGTTTCTGAGGGCTTATGATCAAGAAAAATCACAGATCTTCCTGGGTCTGAGTAAGAACAATCTTCGGATTGTCACGGGGTTTTTAACAGGACACTGTCTTCTCAATGAACACCTCAGTAGATTGAAACTAAGAAGAAACGGCGAATGCAGATTCTGTGGGGAAGATGGTGAAACACCAGTACACCTCATCACTGAGTGCGCCGAGACGACAACCATTCGTGCCATGAATTTTGGTACGACTGGTATTGGAGATGGAGAACTACCCTCTATAAAACCGTCCCAGATACTGGCTTTTGTCAAAGCCCTGGGACTGTATGATGAGTTATGATTCAAAAAAGGGGGACACAATGGATCTGTAAGGTCGAAGTGATTAACCCCCCTCCCACTCATTCTAAATTCTAAATTCTCTAATTCCAGTGCCGTGGTGTTTCAAGTCATATAATAATATATAATCTGTTAATTTGTTGTTTTAACTGTCAAAGTCTTGTCAAAACATATATTTGGTTATAAATATTAAATGGAATGCTCCATTGGTCGCACTGCAAGCACACCAATGGACTGATGGCACAAAAACGAATCAATCAAAAAAACGCGATATAGTATCGTCTTTGTCAATCACGCTAACATTTTAGAATAAGTAGGAGGAGCGCAGGCAGATGATTAGACCGGGCCTTTAAAAACCTACGCCTGCGGTAAAAATTTACGTTTTTAATGTAAAAATGATAGCGCGCGTGTCGATTCTAACTTCATCAAGCGATGAATCACTCCCAAACATTCGTGGCGTTTACAATAGCAGGTTAACACGTTTCACTGACGATATATGATTTAAGAGTAATTCTAATGCTGGTAATAAATTTACCTGGAAACATTATGCTTCTTCTCAATGTGATGTTTTAAGTTATGTTTATTTCTATATTTCTTTGCACAGAATGCACAAGCAAACAACTGTCGTTCTTCTGGTGCCAAGTGAATCATCTGGTGTCGTCCAAAGTGTGTAATATTTCGTGTTTGGTAGCCACAAATGGAACATTTACGGATATTTTTCTGCGCATCCTCTGACCTAAAATCATATATAAACATTTGTCTTGTGACATTATCCATCTACATGAGATGAAATACTTATTACTACGAAATACTTATTAGTACTGTAGTACTGGTAAAATAATTTAACTATGGATTGGTGTCTTTATTATAAACCATGATTGTTAGATATGAATACAGATATGAATATAACAATAATAAAATATTTAGCAATCCAAGTATGGAAATTTCAACAATATGGCAACCACTCATAAAACCAAACCAATGCCAATGCAGGTATTCTTAGTGAACAACCTCGTGCTTGACTGCACCCAACTAATTCACGGGTGAATGCTCGGTTCTACTAAGTATATAAGCTCAGTAGTTTTAGGATTTAGATTAGTTCACACTTGATAACGGTCAGTGATACTTCTGACCAAAACGTTGTGTAAGCAAAAATAAATAGACAATGGAAGTCTGAAATTTTTTTAGATTCAATACTGAATCATTGTCTACCACATTCAAAGTACTGATATGAAAACTTTTTCAGAACACTTGGTCGTATTGTATACAGGGTCCTACAAATTCGAGGTACGAGCATTGGTAACTCGGTAACCGTAATAGATACAAACATGGTTAAATTGGGGGCAAAGTTGCGCTTTGGGATGTTCACCAAGATGCCACCAAAAAAGTTTTAAAAATTTCAAGGATTGCTGAGTTTTTTGAAAAAAAAAACGGATATTTTTGAAAATCAATTTTATTTTTTCCTGTTTATACTTTTTAGAAAATCAAAAAACTAATTGCACATTCTTATAGCCACTTTATTAGGGCTATCTGATAGTATTTTTAGATTTTCAAATCAGCTGATAATTTGTGAGATACAGAGGCCAACTTAATTTTTTTAAATACGGACCTGCATTTTTTATTTCAGATTTTGAAAGAACTCGCTTTCCTGAGTACAATGATATGCCACACTTAATATTTTTTTGGAACTTTGGAAATTTGGACACAATTTATTTAAACTAATTTCAAGTCCGGCTCTGTTTTTTTTTAATTTTTAATATATTCATAGTTACAATATTGATATGCTTTCAAACTTAACAGTGACGTGGGTTGAATACGGAAAATCAAATGGAATAAAATAATATAAATAAAATGTAATATAAACAATCAAATCATTTCCCCGGAAGATGGATTGGAAATGGTAGAGCAGTATAATGGTCAGCGAGGTACCTAGACCATCTGATGACGTCAAGTAATTCGACAGGTCCAAATTTTACAAAAAAGTGAAATCAACACATCTCGGCAGTTACAATAAAGAGTACAAAATGCATTCGAAAGTATAAGATCTATTCAAAAGCTATGAATTAAAATGAACGAAAAATAAATTTGTGCAATAAGGAGGGTGGTAACCCTTTCGAGCATGTAGACTATGTAAAGCATTAGAAACTAGTTTGTAGAAGTTAATTTTTTCATAATAACTAGGATTAATATTATGCAAATTATTAGATCGTCAAGTGATCAAGTATTAGATCGTCATGCAAATTATTAGATCGTACACTGAGAATTTCAAATTCACAATAAGAAAAGTTAAAAATAATATCTTTAAATTGCTGATCTGGATATTATTTATTTGAATCTTTCAATTTACTCAATTTTCTTTATTCAATGTTAATTAGCACTGATCAATATTGTTGCGGTGAATATAATCAGATTAAATAATTTAAAAAAACAGAGTCGGACTTGAAATTTTTTTAAATAATAATTAAATAGTTTTGTTGCTGTTAAGGTACCAAAAACAAAAAAAAGTATAAAGTGTGGCATATCATTGTACTCAGGAGACTGAGTTCTTTCAAAATATGAAATAAAAAATGCAGGTCCGTATTTAAAAAAATTAAGTTGGCCTCTGTATCTCACAACTTGTCAGCTAATTTGAAAATATAAAAATACTATCAGATAGCCATAATAAAGTGGCTATGAGAATGTGCAATTAGTTTTTTGATTTTCTATAAAGTAACGGCAGGAAAAAATAAAATTAGTTTTCAAAAAAATCCGTTTTTTCCAAAAAACTCAGCTATACTTGAAATGTTTAAAACTTTTTTAATGGCATCTTGGTGAACAGCACAAGGCGCAACTTTGCCCCAATTTAACTATCTTCGTATCTATTACGGTTTCCGAGATACCATTGCTCGTACCTCGAATTTATAGCACCCTGTATAACAAGGTTAAGGTAATTATACAAGAAGTACCTATCGTCGGTGAAATGTGATAAACTGCTAACTCATTATTCCTAATTTTACAGGAGAGCACAAAAACGGTACAAAAAAATATGTAGACATGTCGGAAGTATTTTCATGCGTTAATATGATAAAGAGATAAGAATTTTATTTGTCGAGGAACAATAAAACTCAATATTTCGTGTTACGTAATTTTTTTCAGACACATAGGGAGATAGCAGATATTCGTCTTGGAGAAATAAGAAATAAAAATATACTTCTGGAGATAGCAACCTTTATTGTTTGAAATTTTGAAAATGGAATTTATGATAGGAAGTGAAATTAAAATTCATGAATGTAATTAATTCACTTATCTATTAAGAAATAAGAACGGGTTATACATTGCAGAGAGCTTTCAAAGTTAAAAACAGACGCCGCTTCGTTCACTTCTCTTGTCGCTATGCACCTTTTGGCACGTCGCACAGTGCTTCGAACATATGGCTCTAGAGGACAAAAATGCAAAACTTCTCTTTTATTGTAGGCAATTTATTCAAACTAGGTTTATTTGATACAAATGATGAGTACTCTCATTGTAGTAAATGATGATGTTCTTAGTCCCACGTTTATGAAAAAAAAAATCTTATAAATAATAAAAATGTGGGAGCTGTGTTCCATCTAAGGAAATAATAATTTATAGTATGAAAACGGTGTAAGTATTAAATAAATCCCTGTGATAAAAAAGAATTGGAATAACATTAGAACATGATTCCTACAATATAAGCCAATATAAGATAAAAATGTTTTTCTTTAATGAAAAAGAAACATTAATGCTATATTTAATTAAAAAAAAAACAAGATACTATAAATTTACATTAGGACAACAAAATGCATAGATCGTAACTACTCTGATTCAGAAGAATCACTGCTGACAGAATCTTCCAAATTTATAGTATCCAAATCACAGGTAGATGAAATATCCGCACATATAAGATATTTCTGTACATCATTTTCAAATATGTTACTTTTTCGCGTTGTTACTGTTCTTTTTGTTGGTATGAGGGGTTCGGATGTTAATAGTTACCTCTTTAATAGACCATATCAATATATTATTTTTTCGTTTTCTTGGGTATGAGGTTTTATAATAAATTGAAAGATGGAAACTTTTTTATGCGACGTTTCGCTCCAAAATAGTGGGCTTTTTCAGGCACAAATGGTCTCATTTGATTGGAATGTTCATCAATATCTAATAAAGAACACATTTTTTGAAATACAAATAATTTTGAGTTCTTGTCCTTATGATCAAGCCAAGTACCGTATGATCGAAAAAAAATGGCGTCCAGTTGGCTGGGAAATGACGATCGATGACATTTCCCATATAAATTTACATATAAAATGACAGCGATCTTCATTTCATAGCCATCGTTGACGCCGTTTTTTCTCGATCATACGGTATTAACCAGATCGGCATTGCTTATCAATTTTACTCCATCTGAAAAGTATTATAAAATAAAGTTCGTCGCAAGCAGACGCAGGTGAACTATACAAAAATTAAAAGTGTATGAATATGACAACAAAAATATTCAATAAATACGATATGTTTTGATATGTTTTTTTTAAATGCCTTTTTGAAGTTTGAAAATGTAAAATTTTTATACCCATTTAAGAATCATTTTAGAAAATAAATAAAAACTAAACAATAACGAACTTGTTTAGAAATAAATTTAAAGTACATACCTTGTTTAACAATATCCATAGTGGCTTTCAATTAAGTACGTACTAACTCGTTTACGGTTAACTCCATATACAGAACTACTATGAATGTTATTCTTTTCATTGATATAAGATAATGATCGCAAAATTTATTTTTAGTGAAAATATTTGCTAACAAAAAAACGGTGTTTATGAAAAATAATATACAGGATGGTTTAACATTGCTATAAGTATAAAATTACATATTCAGATAATAGTAAATTTTAACATTTTTTTCGATTTTTGTCCATGGGACGAAGCACTGTGCGTCGCGTCGGCGTCGTCGGCGCGAATTCCCCACTTCTTGACCGTTACGACGGCGCTCAGGGTCGTCTTCGGCGATGGCCTACGTTGGTTCTGTCAAACCGGACGCGGCAGACCACTATGCCGGTAACGACCGTAAAATATTGTTACAAATTGAATATTACCCAAACAGATTTAGAAACAATCAATTAAATTTAAAAAATATGATATTCATAATCATATACTTAAAATATCGTCGGTCTAGAAGCAAAACATACAAGTCCATAAACGAATAAATTTTTAATGCATTTTTAAAGAACGGAAGTAGCAGCATTCTGAACTTAATGAATATGAAAATAATTTAAAAATTACTTACATAATTCTTATTAGATATTGTAGAATCCTTCCATGCTTATCCTAATTTTAAACAACGGTATTTACCGAGCTTGGAAAACAGTGCGTGATTTTATTAAATTTTTATTACTTTTCTCCTCATTTTTTTAATTTTTATAAAAATTATGTATCATTTACGTGGAAAAGTGTTGAAAAAAATAGAACTGATTAGGTTTTATAAATTTCGTTTTTCCCCTTACCCTTTACAGATACCCCGTATTTACAGAACGGATCGACGCAGGGTCGGACTGGCCATATTATATATATATTTTTTTCTTTTTATTCTTGGCTTTAGGTCGTTTTTAGCGTGATCGTAACGGAAATTACGGAGATAGCAGCATTTTGGTGGCTATTTCAGATCACTGGGAGTTAGCAGATATTATTGATTTAAAATAACGAATTTTCTTTAATGGGAAAAAATGTATTTTCTTTCCCTGCTTATAGAGTATTTTTTTCTCTTTCTAATGGTGTAAAAAAAACTTATTACGTTAAAAATAGAGTTAGCAGGTTATCACGTTTCACTGACGATATGTGATCTAAAAGTTTTGAATAAAAAGATTAAGGAAGGAGTATAATGAGATCCATGTATTCATGCATGGTAGACAGAGGTTGGGCCCTACTGATCCTTGACAGTTCTGTTTGACGATTCATTTGACACATTTGCTTTGAAATTTTATGGACTTGTCAGTCCTTACTGAGCTTATTTTATGTTATTTATTCTTTATTCTACAACACGTGGTTGTTCAGAGGTAGTAAATCTAGAAGGAAATTGTGACAGAACTTAAATTAACAGTGGCACTATTGCGATTTGTCGGAAAAGACTGTAAAATAGTTGGTTGTGCAGCGTGCGGTAGGTCGCGGTCAAAAATCAAGGGAAATAATGGAATCGCTTTTCAGTAAGCTTTTCTAGTAAAATCTATTTCTCTATTTCTAGTATAATATACACACGTGTATATTATATAATCACAGTAAACCGATCATTTATCAAATTCACTTATAATTAACTAATTATATATTTCCTCTTGCATTTTTGCTTTTATTTACTACTTGTCGAAGATTAGATGTCAAAGAATTTAGATACGTCAATTTGACTTACCTGCTTCAGTAGTGTATCGGATGTTTGTGTTAATAAATAAATATTATAACTTATCTATTTTTATTAGAATTATATACCGCATGATCGAGAAAAAACGGCGTCAGCGATGGCTATATGAAATGAAGATCGCTGTCATTTTATATGTAAATTTATATGGGAAATACTTTTATAACAATTTTAGTAACTACCAAGATTTCTCGACAACGTAAAATCAAACAACAAATTATTGAGTCTACCCTACATCATTTTTTACACGTTTTGAATAAAATTAAACGGCACTGATAAACCGGAATTTAAGTCGGCAATTTTAGGTCACAGTCGCGGTCGATCGAAGTTTTTTGATATGCTCCTGAAGCTACTTAATTTTATTATTCAAACTCTAAAAGTAATTCTTATGCTAATAATAAATTTACCTGGAATCAAGATGATAATCCTCAACGTGACGTCTTAAGTTTCTGTTTGACGTATATTTTTTCTCACAGTGCACACAAGCAAAAATCTGTCGTTTTTCTCGTGCCAAGTGAGTTTTCTGGTGTCGTCCAAAATATGACATATTTCGTGTTTGGTAGCCACAAATGGAGCATTTATGCATATCTCTCTGCGCATTCTTTGGCCTAAAATCATCTTTTTTTTAAATCAAGCCCGTTATAGTAGTAAGATAAACCGTTTTTTATAGTACTTAAATTTTAATTTGATCAGAGATTGTATGAAGGGACAGGAGAAAAGTCAAATTCTCTCTTAACGAGAAAAGCACGCTTGTTCTTTCCTCATTTTGCTTACTTGCCAGTTTGCTGGACTTTTCAGCTTTTTTCCTTTATAGTACAACTTTGACGCTATATATTTTCTGACTAGGCTCCTTTTTTCCCAGTTTAGCGGTTTCCAAAGATGCTTACACTCGCTCTGAACCGAATATTTAAATACAACAACAAAATTGACTTACCTGCTTTTTTCCCCTGACCCTTCATATAGGAGCAATGTCTAAACAAATCAATTTTATAAGTTGGCTATAGGATGTTTCATTTAAAAAAACAAAGAAACATTATTTATATAATATTTTATAAAGTTTGGCGTAGAATTTTGAACAACCTTTATGATTTACGATTACCATATTTATAGGAAAGTAAGTACAGACCACCAAAGTAAAAATCTAATATATTCAGGACGAAGATTTCAGGACAGTCCTTGTATTTTTAATATTTATTTTATGAAAGGCTGAAAAATATATATATATGTTACAGTAAAAGTTAGAAATCAGTTTACTGTAGTAAAGCTCACATTCACTGATTTGCTAAGACTACGCCAGTAAAAGTTCAACAGCAATTTTTGACACCAACTTTTACTAGTGAATGTTAACATTTCCTGGACAAGAGCAGTGAATTTGAAAGATTCAGTTAGCGCGCTTGCCACATGTTGTAAAATATATAGGATAAATAAGGATAAGTTTAATAATAGGCAATATAAGGATAACATTAAATTGGGCTAAACGTTGGCAACGTTGACCAACCAGACGTCCCGCATAAATTTGCATTGTTTTTTTTGTGGGTTTTGTTATCGTTGTAAAAAGTCCTGTGCGGTATTTTTCCTATGGAAGAAATTTTCTGTGAAAAATTAAGCCAAACTATATAAGCACTCGCAAGAATGTAATAATGCCTGTTTTTTATTTTTTTGCAGTATAATGAAATCATAACAAAAGTTAAGTATGCAAGAGAAAAATATATTAAGGAACCTAGTGACTATAAATTTATTAAACGTGTTGATATGCTTAAAGTAGCGGGTTTGAAAAAACGAATAACTCCCGTTGAAGAAAATTCGGGCATACTTTATTATACCAATAAGTAATCAAGTAATCTTATGTTTATAAATGTTTTTTTTATTGTTTTGTACATTTCAAAATGTTTACTATGTTTTCTCTTTTAATATTTTTAGAAGGTTATGTCGTTATTTTCTATAATTTTTAATAAATATACTAAACAAGTAAATTGTAATTTTGAGATATGTGGATCAGCTTGAATATTCAGGTGATCCAATATTCTTAAAAGTTTATTTGTTCTAACTTCCAACAACATTCTTCCTTACCACACTCGCCCTGTACAACAGAATAACTTTTAATGGCAAACTTTAGTAAATGTTACTTTCACTAGTGAATGTTAGAAATTACTAGGAAAAGTCGACAAATCTCTTTAAAATACCACATTCACTGGTCCAATGCGTAATTGTTAGCATTTCCTAGTGAATGTTAACAATCACTGTATTTCCGACTTTCACTGTAACATATATATTTTATTTATTTATTAATATCTCTGAAACTATCGAAATATATTTACTCATATCTTAGGACTATGTAAAGTGATCTGGAAGGAAGCCAAAAATGCAATAATATAGAGGATATCCTTTTTAAAAAAATCATCCCGATCCTGAGATACATCCTAGTTTCTAGTACATACTATAGGTCTGCACTTAAAATTCCCAAGTTTTTTATTCTAGAAGCTACAGATGCTCAAGTTCTATTGCCAGACCCTGTATAATCAATGTATTACACAAAATAAATTTACCTGGGATTAAAATGATTGGTCTCAAGGTGATGTTGTAAAATTTGTTTTGTTGTATACTTCTTGCCACAGTCTGTACATGCAAACAACTGTCGTTCTTCCGGTGCCAAGTGAATTTTCTTATGTCGCGATATATTTCGTGTTAGGATGCCACAAATGGGACATTTACGGATATATTTCTGCGTTTGCTTTAACCTAAAATAATTTTTTAAAAAAATCAGTCCCCCTATAGTAGTAGCACAGATAGTAGTAAGTTAATTAAACAATTTTTTTATAGTAGTTTAATTTCAATTTGATCTGAGATCAAATAGGGCCAATGTCTAAACAAATCAATTTTATAAGTTGGCTATGAAAAATATATTTTGATGTGCTTTTTTAAAGGCTACCGTTTAACGGCTGTTTAAGTACATCGTTTTAGTGATGGGCAAAACTGTTATTTTTAGATAACAGTTGAAACTGTTATAGTTATTTATAAAAAACAGCTTAAAAATAACAGGTTTCTTTATTTTATTGCTAAATATCTGAAAGAGTATGAGGCGGTCACCGCCAGGCGTATTAACGCAGTTGCAAGTTGCAACAATGACATGCTCGGTGGTAGTATTTCCAGGGTGTAAAAACATTTCTAAATATCGATTGTTATCTAAAATACCTCTCTAAAAACGGTGGTTGTTTACAAATAAGCGCTGTTTACAAATTGCGATATAAAAAAGCCAAAATTCCGCCACTCGTCTATACGTATACATTCCGATCTACCTACGCCTTGCCCTTCGATCCGCGTAGGTCTTGGAATTGCGTAGCAGTGTACAGGGTGCATCTCACTCGACGGGCGAGAAGCTCTTAGATATAATTTTACTATTTGCGGTCAAAAAATAACAATATAAGAAAATGTGTAGTATATTCTTCATAAGTAAACCAACTACACACTAGAGTTCGAATTAATTTTACACTTAAACTAGCGTGTACCCTCGACTTCGTTCGCGTCGAATTAATAATTTGTAATGGTGATGATAAAGCATTTCTATTAACATACAAACTGGATAAAATTTTCTCACATTTGCCAAAAATAAGCTTTAAACGTCGAGCAGTTTAAGCAGAATCGTGGTTAATCAATTACTCAACTTTTTGGAACACCCTTAAAAAATTTCAAAATATGTAAAAAAACAAAATAAATTATGCGTGTCCAAGCGTTTTCCCGAAAGACTAACCGTTTTTTAAATAACAAATATTGTAATATTTGAGGGGCGTTTTCACCCTCTTGGAATTTGAGATTCGAGAAACCCCTCCTTATCGAACCTCAACTCCACAGTCAATCCGTTTGCCAAAAATCAGCTTTAAACGTCAAGCAGTTTAAGCAGAATCGTGATTACTCAATGGTCATATTTTATGAAACACCCTGTATATATTTTTAAAAAATCTTAAAATATGTACAACAACGAAATAAAATATACGTGTTTAAGAGTTTTTCCGAAAAACTCACTGGTTTTTAAATAAAAAAAATATTCTAATATTTGAGGGTGGTTTCACCCCCTTAGAATTCGAGTTTCGAAAAATCCCTTCTTATCGAACCTCTACACCCTAAAGTCAACCCGTTTTCCAAAAATCCGCTTTTTACGTCAAGGGCTTTAAGCAGGATCGTGATTAATCAATGACCAGATTTTTCAAAACACCCTGTATACATTTTTAAAAAATCTTAAAATATTATTCTGAAAATTTTTCAGAATAAATAAATACCTAAATATTGAAACTTAATAACGTACTGAAACATACAGCGCCATAATAGCTCGACATCCGCCCGTTATGCTCGTAACAGGTTGAAAAACAATGTACCTATTTAAAACAACTGATGCGTTATTCTCCAACCTGTTTCGAACCTCCATCGACAATCGACCGATGCAGCAGCGTTCCTTTCCCACTCCGATTATCTCGACCACCGCCCTGTTATGCTCGTAACAGGTTGAAAAACAACGTATCTAAAATGACTGTTTCTCCAACCCGTTGCGAGCCTCCATCGACAATCGACCGATGCAGCAGCGTTTCTTTCCCACTCCTGTTATCTCGACCGCCAGGCGTTATGCCCGCAACTGTTTCAAAAAACCTGCTTCTTTTATATCCTATTATTTTTAAGCTGTTGTAAGCCCAATACGACCGTCGACGACATCGACCGAAGCAGCTACGTTCACCATAGCGCATTCCCCACTCTGTTGTCCGTTGTCTCGCCGCGCCGCCTGTATCGATGGTTGACGAAATAACATATTTTCCATCCATACTAGTTGTTTTTTGGAACTGCTTCGAGCAGCATAGAATTTCGTGGCGGTGAAGAGCGCCGACTTCGTTTTTCGTTTCACGAGCGGCCGATCTCTACGTGTCGTTATTTTATATCTGTTATTTTTTAGAAGTAGTAACGGTTGCGTTATGTTATTTCTAAATAATTGTTATAAAATAACAGATAGTTAAATAACAACCCATCACTACATCATTTAAAATTTCTATACGTTTCTAGTCTCGGTACGCAATTACGTTAAAAATGGCTTAAAATGCTTATGCAGTAGAAGATTTTTTTTATTTTTGTCAAAAATGTCCCGTATTTCTTTGATACAAAACCAAACATTTTATGGCAAAACTGAAAAATGCAAAATCTCCCTATAATTCGTTTCTAGTTAAATAATTTATTTTGTTAATCTCGTACTAATATTCATTTTAATTATACTGACTGCTGCAACAATCAGCAAGTTAGCTAGTTCTACATTATAACATGTTAAAAATATTTAAAAGCTACTGATCACTTGGAAGTTAACCATTCAACCATACTGAAACCTTTTCTCTTCGTCGTCACGTTGTCAGGGTTGTTGGCATAATCCCTTCTTAGCAATTTTATTTATTGCATAAATTCAGTTTTAAAAGAGATCTGGGAATTGATTAATTCGAGTTCACTTTTATGTGAAAATAATGATATAAAAGACACGGAAATTATACTTACATCTCTAACTTATCATCAGCTGCTACACCGGTTTCAATATATATTTCATGTTTATTGCCTTCCATGTTGGTAAGTTTAACAGCCTGCAAATCACTGCAAATTTGTTTTATTAGTAATATACCACTGACAAATTGGTCTCCGTTGGATCAACACAGTGCTGTTTACAAAAAATAACTTGAATTTTGTAGGTTTTAAATTTGTAGTTTCTAGTGGCAAGAAACCCAGAAATCTTTTCAAGAAATGAACCCACCACAAAGGTATACACATTATATCAAAATAGTTATCACAGTGGATTCTGCCAGTTTTAACTATAGGTATAACTACATAATAAAAAAAATGTATCTTCTTATTTGTCTCTGATATGTAAGATAATATTACTAATATTTGTTTAATGTTGTTTGTATAAAAAAATTGAAGAGGATGAAGTTTTTCACTAACTAATAGTAAACAATATTTCTAATAGACATTTTATTAAACCAAACACTCTCCTCCCATTACATACAGTTAGTAATTAATAAAAACACAAACAGATAGAAAAATATACTTACAGTTCAAACTTATTATCTGATGATCCATTTATATTTTCTTCGGAAATATTTATTTCTTGTTTAACATGTTCCAGATCTATTGATTCGTTATTAAAGGCAGCATCTGTTGGGCTGTAACATTAAATTTCTCAGTATATACTTTTTGCAAATATCAGCTTGTATTTATTTTACAATAAAACAACAAGAAATTTAGAGTTCCACCATAGAGCCCAAATGTTACCGAAATATCAACTAATAATTATTTGTAAAATATGAGAAATTTTTAAACTTTAACATTGGCTCATCGTCGTCTGAAAACACCTCGAGGCATGACACAAAGTTTCCACATAATACAAGGATTTAATACTTACGACTTCAAATCTATTTCTTCATCTATATTATTCATTGTTTCTAATAAAAAAGATCAGTAGCTGAAAGAAAAAATAGAGTTCAGTTCATCTATAAAATAAACGTAAAAATAATTCGTTTTGTCGAAACATATTGCCATTTATATTTTATATACACCTGTTGTCATTTATATGTTATATATACCTAAGTAATAAGTAATATAGAAACAAAATTAGTATTTAAAAAACGCAAAATCTTCACCCAAACAATTTATACAACACAAAAACAACAAAATATCTGCATCTGCATTGCATTATCATATGATGTTTGACTTTGACAGACAACCAGCCATAGAACATCCATAGAAGAAGTTTGAGGTGCAGCAAGGCTGCAGCCACACCAGAGATATGGAAGTGGTTTGGTTTGGTTCCCTTCTATTTCTCTGGGCTGCACCCTCATGATAGCTTTGACAATTAACTTCAGAGTACCAAAAAAATATATAAAATAATGAAGAGGTGGAAGATTCTCTGGGTGGAAGAAGGAACTTTAAACTAACGAGCAGATGTTACCTTTCTTTGTTATCACTCTAAGGCAAATGTCAACGTTGTCGTCGCTGTCAAACATATGATATTTGATATTGGGGAAAATTGTGGTGTAGATTGTTGATTTATTGATGAATACAGATGAATATCTAAATGTCTTTTTGTAATACAATACTAAACACTGACTAAACATTAAACAGTTTCTATGATGGTTTCTATGGTTAATTATTATAAAATGTAAATAACAACACGCGCGTACATACCAGAGGCAGCCAGAGGTAGAATACATACTTTGCGTACATATCTGAATATGTTAAAACGAATTAAGTTTAATACGATAGGTGATAACTGCTTTGTATTTGGTCCTCTTCAAGATTACTTATAAATCTCAATTCTACACTTTCAGCTGAACTGATCTCAAGTTTATTTTATCTCTTTCTGGTACTGACTTTTTTATTAGAAACTATGGATAATATACATGAAGTAGATTTAAAACCGTAAGTATTAATCTTTGTATTATCTAGAAATTTTGATTCGTGTTTGTGTTCATACACACACATTCAAATATTGTGTATCCAAACTAGATTTTGTCTATCATAATTTGATAAAAATTGAAAATTTATATCCTGTAGATTCAGTTATAGCATTTAGATTCGGCTGTTATATTAGTGAAAATGTATATTTTGTTGTATGACTAGAGAGAATGAATATATTCATCAAATTGATATTTGATTGCACAAAGTATATATTGTGAAATTTATTGTTACAGCCCAACAGATATTGCTTTTAATAATGAATCATTCAGTGTGGAACATGTTAAACAAGAAAATAATGCTATAGAAGAAAATTTAAATGGAGTATCATCAGATATTAAGTTAGAACCGTAAGTATATTTCTAAATATTTATATTTTGATTAATTTCTAACTGTATATTGCATGCTTTTTAATGTCACACAAAGAAAAAAGTGTTTCTTTAATAGTGGTTTAATAACATTTAATAACAGTTTATTGGACGTATCAATTATTGGCGTTTCATCTTAGGGCTTTTATATAAACATTGGTAATAATGTCACAATTAATAGTATCTTACATTATAAACATAAACTACACAAATGACACTAATATACATAAAAATTATTATGTTGTTAAAATTTAGCTAGAAGTTAAAATTCTTATATAAATATTATTAAAAAATATCAAATAATTACAAACAATTATTATATGTATATAAAAGATAAAAATAATTACACAACAAATATAATTTGAGCTACTGTAAAAAATTTTAGAATCTACCAAAGAAGAGGCAAAAATATGTGTAGCATCCGATGATAACTATTCTGATATAGTGACATTTATAAACACATGTCTGAATAACTTAATAAATTATAATTATAATATGTTAAGCAGAGCATGTACATATGATTTCGACAGATGACATTCAAAGAATGACACAAAAACACTACTCATGAATTAAAACAGACCAACTGTTACTGTTATATACTTTTTTTTATCTTTTAGTAAGAAAATTCACTTGGCACACGAAGAACGACAGACGTTTTCTTGTGTGCACTGTGACAAGAAATATACAAGAAAACAAAACTTAAAACATCACATTGCAATTAGTCATATTGATTCCAGGTAAATTTATTGTTAGCATAAAAATTACTTCTAAATCATACTTATATATTTATTTATTTATTTATTTATTTCATAAACGCCAGAGGCATTCAACAAAAAATGCAATTTGAACAGATAATAGATAATACAAAAATTATACAAAATACAGAAATAATAGATTCCATAAACTAACAAAATAATAATGAGAAAAAAATAACAAAGGCCAAGCCTAGTCTACAATTCATTCTTGAAAACAATTACATTTCTAGCACGGTTTTTAAATATACTTAAGGAATTACTAAAATAATCCAAGTCGTACCCATTCACACTCCTGGAAATTCTATTTGCAGGGCAATTTTGTGCATAAAAAGTTGAATATGTTCTTAAGTGCAGCAACGATTGTGACCTCAGATGTCTTGGAGCAATGTGAAAGTCGAAATTTGCCAAACACCGCTCAAACACATATGTACCGGGTGTCCCACTAAGAATAGCTCTCGGCTGTATCTCGGAAAGTATTAGCCGTAGAGTCTACGGACAAAAATATTTATAACTAAAGGGGCTATGAGAAATTGCTGGAAATTATTTTCAAGTTTGTAAAACGGCCGCTAGAGGGCACAACTACTTTGGAAAATAAGAAAATAGAAATTTTACAGAATTTTGCCTAGATAATGGGTACTATAAATAATAGCTTCATAATATTCAGTAAATTTTGTATGTTTTTCATTAGAACCATTTTCCCCTATCTGCTAAAATAAAGTGGTGGGGTAAGGTTAGATCTATCTTTATTTAAATGTTAATAACTCCGGACTAGATGATCAGAATCCAACAAACGAGGGCTCGTTTAAAAGAGCGTTTCTTACTCTATATTATACCATAAAAATAATAATAATAAGGTTTAGAACGTAGACGCTAGGAGGCGCTTTCTTACAATTTAACAAACATAGCGCGTTTTTTCAAAAAATAAATAAATACGATAGTATATGTAATTTTACCTGATAGTAAAGAGTAGTAAAAAGAAGTTAATATCTTCTTTCAAACCGAAGATATTAGCAAAATTATCATAAATACCAAAAAATAAGCCCTTAATTACCTTATTTTTACAATACGGTATCAGCCCTCTTGATTATGCCCATTCTAACAAAAAAAATAAGATAGAAACAGTTAGTTTATTTTAAAATTGATGAAGTACCGGAATACCATAATACTAGATGTATTAATGTCTAATAATTCAGATATTAATAACAGTGAACAAGAAACAATGATTCAGTGAAGTCATCGTAGGCTTTGGAAAAAACTTGCTTTGGCGTAATAGTATTAACGTCAAATTGTTTTGATAGTCTTAGCAGCGTTTTTTACCTTTTAATTGCCTTTTCAAAATGCCTTTATTATTTGAAGTTGTTGCATATTTTAGTGCTAAAAAAGTGAAGATAAATTTATCAGGGACATGCATATGGGTTATGCCTAGAATATTTTCAAAAAAATACCTTTGCGCCATTGACTTTTTTCTTTTGATATTAAAATTGTGTGTGCTGTTTAATGCCAATTAAAATTTATCTCTGGATATTTTGTCGAATTTAGCCTCTTTGATGAGATAAACGCAATTTTATTAATCACAATAAAATAAAAATAAAATTAATAAATTATTATATTTTATCTAATTTATTATTAAATATTATTACTATTAGTCCAACCTACAGCAATTTCAAATAAAAAAGAATAGTATTTATCAACAACCGTTTAGTTATAACGTTTTTACATCACTATTTTTTTAGTATTTCAGTTACGCATAGATAAATGCAACAAGTTTAGATTGGAAAGCCCTTAAAAATTTTAGGTCGCGAAATTATTTTGGGTCGCGACCGTTATACGCGATCTGGCGCTGCTATAGCGCTCGCTAAGAACAACGGCAAACAAAAACAGAACTAATTTTCTCTTGTCAAAGTCAGAATCTTCAAAAATCGTAATAATCTTTCAAAATCTAAACCGCTCTCATTAAATAAATTCCGAAAAGTGTTTATAGCGTCCATTTTCAAAGTAATAATTGCTATCTTGTGAGTTTAATTCAAGTTTTATTTACTCCAACCGGTGATAATTGTGAAAAAGTGGCATTAAAAACTTAAAAAGCTGTGCTGTTAACTGTGAACTGCAAAAACCATCGTGGATCGTGGTATAACGTCGGTTTCCAATGTTTCATAGGTATTTCATACATGCGTCCTTATATAAAATAAAGTTTCTTGTATGCAACACACTGTCTTTTATTTATAAAATTAAACGAAAATAATAATAAATTTGAATAAACAATATTTGGCGATATAATTCCGGAAAAAGCCGAACCGCTCCGAAATTTTCAAAAGTTTTGGGTCGCGACCGTTGCAAGAATAGCGCCAAATAGTGTTTACATTGTCCTTATGGGCACTTCTTTATTTAATAATAATATTATTCTATGCATAATATTTATCTATGCAGTTACGTTATGAGATTCATAACACAACTAGTGGTGTTATGAATCTATAACACAACTAGTTTCTATAATAATGAAAAACAACTACGAACATCTAAATATATTAACTTTTCCGGCAATAATGATTCCGTGGCACGTACTGCGGCGACTTCTACATCTGAAGGGAGACTTTCGGAATCGCTCATCGTAATTTTTAAAATGATTTTTCTGGGCAAAAAGTGCTCGCGTTTACTTGACAGGGCAAACCGACTTATCGGACCTATGTTGATATGAAAAATAAATATTTTTTTACATCTCCCCACGAGAGATGGTACATGTTTTTTGAAACGCCCTGTATACAAGGTGACTTAGTGTTCTGAAATATTTTCATATGAGCGCCCTTTTTGTGCGTTTGTGAAGAAGATTGTAACAAATATCTCTAAATCATGAAATCTTGATATGGAGCTTTTTCGGAACGCTCTGTAATATTAACCTTTTTAGGAACGCTCTGTAATAATAAGCCATTCGTTTTTTAGACTGGAGAATTCGAAGAAGAGAGTCTTCAGATGTGGCATATGTGGCTTTCAAACACTCCATAGGGGAAGTCTTAGGCAACACAAACCAGTTCATTTGGCACCGGAAAAACGACCGTTGTTTGCTTGTAAGCATTGTGACAAAAAATATACAACAAAACAAAATTTGAATCTTCACGTGGAGGATAATCATATTGATTCCAGGTAAATTTATTGTTAATATAAGAATTATTATAATCCACAAAATTCTTTAAGTTAGTGGTTATTTTAGTTTGCTTTGGAGTTAAATAAAACAAATGAAAATTTTAACTAATTCTTTGAATAAGAAGACTAAGGAAGGAGCATATCAAAAATCTTAGGTCCACCGCGATAGGCCTCAAATATGGCCGACTTAAATTCCGGTTTATCAGTGCCGTTCTAATTTTATTTAAAAAAAGTAAAACTATGATGTAAAATTGTTACAAAAATATATAATTCTAATAAAAATAGATAAGTTATAATAATTATTTATTAACACAAACATCCGATACGCTACTGAGGCAGGCAAATCTGGTAAATCAAATTGACGTATCTAAATTCTTTGACATCTAATCTTTGGCCAGTAGTAAATAATAGCAAAAATGCAAGAAAAAATATATAATTAGTTAATTTAAGTGAATTTCATAAATGATCGGTTTACTATACATATGTATATTATATAGTCACTTACTAGCAAAAAGTTGTTCCATTATTTCACTCGATTTTTGCCGAGATCTACCGCACGCTACCCAACCAACTATTTTAGAGTCTTTTTCGATAAATCGCGATAGTGTCACTGTTAATTTAAGTTCTGCCACCATTTCCATCTAGATTTACTACCTTTATACAACTATCAGTAGTAGAATAAATAATAAATAACATAAAATAAGCTCCGTAAAGACTGACAAATCCATAAAATTTCAAATCAAATTCAAATGTGTCAAATGAATCGTCAAACAGAACTGTCAAGGATCCCCACCCTAGAGTGCTTTTTCCGCCCACCATGCATGAATACATGGATAGCATTATGCTCCTTCCTTAGTCTTCTTATTCAAAGAACTAATTGCTTATATTATAAATAAGTTTAACAATAATAAAATTTGCTCTGGCTGTGACAGTCGACAATAAAACAAATAGTTATAAAATAAACTGGGGTATACAGGGTTATTTATATTAAAGAAGTTATTGCTCTTTAAAGATAATAATTATTTATAAATAAATTTCCAGGCACTCTGTATAAGGTAGTATTATTTTTATTATTGCAACACAAAATTTAGAGAATATAAAAACTTCAATACAATATTTGGTTTTAAAAACTTAAATACTCCTAGAGAAATGAAGCATTAAAATTGTTACTGCATTTTCACAAAACAGTAAATATTTCAAAAAGGGTAAGATTAAAGTGCGGTAAGCCTTAATCAAATTTGCCTTTATCTTAATCTTTATGTTGATGTAGGTGACCCTGTAGACATTACCTTGCGTAGATGTATAGATCATACCAAATAAACTTTTAGTCGCGTGATTAAGCTTAACAAGCACAGCGTTGCCACTTTTACATATTTTCTTTTAAATCAATCAAAATATTTTAGGAAATAAAAATAAACTAATTATAAATATATACACAGTTATTATTTACATCAATAAAACTCACCTCCTTAACATCACTTAAGGGACATAAAGGGCCATTACTACCGCTTTCCCGTTCGAAATAATTTAATAAGGTTGCGATGAGTTGTTTGCAACTGCTATTAAGCTATTTTGTACACTTCGCACTAAAAGAGGTTCTAAAAAGAGCAATGTTCGACTGCAAGGCCTGCTAGTGAAAATTTTTAAGCTTAAAGTATCACATCACAAATCATCTAAACCAAAAATTCGTAATACAAAACTAAAGTGTCAAAACGAATGACAATGTCAGGAAATAAATAAATAAATGTGGCAACTTGACATTTTTTACAGCAGAGCTACTACCTGAATCCCATGGCTGGGAAACTTAAATGGAAATGACAGTTCATTAAAAATAGTTTTTCCTCCAAGATGCAGAGGCGCAAAATATTAAAACTGTCAATATCAACAATGCAAATGTCAATATCTGACAATAATAAATTTGATTTTTAACCTGTTTTTAACTAACACGAGACACTCAGAGACGCTTTTGTTGTGATTTTCCGGTTTGATTTCGCTTTGATTTGTCGAATTATTGTAAAACTAAATTCCTTCAGATTTTTTGGCAGTATTGTGTTTTAGACACTGTTTTTTAAAAATGGTGGGATAATTTGTGTTTTGTATAGACTCTTAGTTATTTTTTATCATGGAGTTTAATTGTTGTACACCGGGTTCCCGAAGGATACAATAGTAAGTAAATTAAATATATCTACTTACAGTTATAGATTTTTTAAATTAGTACTGTTAATAAATGCTACTTGCTGAGCAGTTATTTAAGTTCTTTATGGTGCATGTAAGGAATTAAGGACGCGCCTTGCGTTATATTAGCATGATCAGCAGATGATTAAATCTAATTTAATTTGTTTTTATTATTTCAGGTCTCAAACGGAAACAAACTGGGAATACCTACACCAAAATTATATAGCCGTTTCTAATTCACTTCAAAGGGAGGAAAATTATGTAAAACTGCCTGCTATTTGCTGAAAACCGCCAAAGATTAAATTATAACTGTAACAACTTAATATATACTATTACTAGTTTTTTTAATATTTTTTTAATTAATATCCGACATATAAGAACACTTTGTATGCTTTTAATTAAATTTATCGTTTATAATATGTTCAACCTAATTAAAAGCACACAAAGTGTTCAAACCCCCCTCCCCCCGCATCCCTCTCTTCCCATAGTATTTCTTCCTCCGACTACCAGAGGCGCCCTTGTATAATAAAATTGAAATGTATTATAAGTTGCCTATTTATTTAAGATTATAAGTCTTTTATCTATGCTGAATCTCTAGCGGGAAATTTAAATTCTAGTTAGTCATCCTGGCGCCGGAAATGTCCATGGTTGGCAACAATGAATGTAAAAATCGCGCTCTCGATTACGTAACTAAAAGTTTGATTGGTATCGCTTATAGGTCTGACAACGGGGCTTAAAGCTATAAATAATCTCTCAACTATAATGTCAACATATTGGTGATTCTGTTCTAATTTTGTTTTACTAGTCGTGCATTATAAATGCACACAAGATTATAATTTTAATTAAATATAATATTTAAAAATTATTTTATTAGGACGAAAAAATTGAATGAATCACAGAGAAAGGTCTATGCATGTGCAATATGTAGCTATAAAACACTAGATAAATCACATCTTAATCGACACAAGTCCATTCACTTGGCACTAGAAGAACGACAGATGTTTATTTGTGCGCAGTGTGACAGGAAATATAAGTTAAAGCGGAGTTTACAAAATCACATCAAATTTCATCATATTGATTCCAGGTAAATTAATAGTTATAGGCTTGGTGCATTCTCCGCCGGTGCTGCCACCATCGGGGAATATCGTACACAACTAGTATATACAAATACACGGGTTTAAATAGCGAGTATACGAAAAATGTATTATATAATTATTCTAAAAGTGTTAAGCTTCATTCAGAACCTCGCAATTAGTGGAGTAAATTATTGGTTTCAATTACACTTTATACTGTTTAGTTTACGATCATTCACAATGTCTAAAAACACAATTAAAATTAATAGAATATCCTAGCAACAGCTTGCGTTAGTCAGTTGTGTCCATAGAGAAAGCCTACTATTTAGTTTATAAAACAACCAACTTTTGATTTCTAACCACAATTTCTCTTGAAGGAAGACAATCAAAGGCCAAAATGACATTTCTCGCAAATTTTAATTAGTTTTAAAGTATAATTAGTGGAAAAGTTAAAAGTTTGATAACTTTTTCTACTAATTGAAAATGTCTACCACTCATTTTGATGTTCTGAATGCTTACATTGAAATTAAAGCTTTGAATAAGAAGACTAAGGAAGAAGCATATCAAAAATCTTAGGTGCACCGCGATAGGCCTCAAATATGGCCGACTTAAATTCCGGTTTATTAGTGCCGTTCTAATTTTATTTAAAAAATGTAAAACTATGATGTAGGGTAGACGTGGGGTAAACTCAATAATATGTTGTTTTATTTGACGTTGTGAATAAATGTTGGTAGTTATTAAAATTGTTACAAAAATATATAATTCTAATAAAAAGTTATAAGAATATAGTATAAGAATTATTTATTAACACAAACATCCGATACGCTACTGAAGCAGGTAAATCTGGTAAATCAAATTGACGTATCTAAATTCTTTGATATCTAATCTTTGACAAGTAGTAAATAAAAGCAAAAATGCAAGAAAAAATATAAAATTAGTTAATTTAAGTGAATTTCATAAATGGTCGGTTTACTACACGTATGTGTATTATATAGTCACTTACTAGCGAAAAGTTGTTCCATTATTTCACTCGATTTTTGCCGAGATCTACCGCACGCTACACAACCAACTATTTTAGAGTCTTTTTCGATAAATCGCGATAGTGTCACTGTTAATTTAAGTTCTCCCACAATTTCCATCTAGATTTACTACCTTTGTACAACTATCAGTAGTAGAATAAATAATAAATAACATAAAATAAGCTCCGTAAAGACTGACAAATCCATAAAATTTCAAATCAAATTCAAATGTGTCAAATGAATCGTCAAACAGAACTGTCAAGGATCCCCACCCTAGAGTGCTTTTTCCGCCCACCATGCATGAATACATGGATAGCATTATGCTCCTTCCTTAGTCTTCTTATTCAAAGAATTAAAGGAACAAACTTCTACGCTAATTGAAATCACTAATTTATTCCACTAATTGCGAGGTTCTGAATGAAGCTTTAGGAAGTATAATTTGTAAAAATTCTAAAAATAAAAATAAAAAAGTAAATATTTTGATATAACTTCAGAAGGTCTAACTTGTATTATAATTTATTATTCCAGCTAAAAAAACTTTTTAGATGGGTTCAACTAAGGTAGCGAGCATATTTTTAATCACCGGTCTAGCAAAACCGGTGATTAAAATTTGGGTGATAATTGGGGCCATTTCGGCTGTAACAACATTTTTTATTAGGTACATAATTATAATTTTAGAAGACAATTATAGATTTTAGATTTTTTTTATTTTAAGAAGCATTACTGATAATATTTGATTTCTGACGTTGAAGCGCTGCGGTCGGAATTTGTTGAAATAAACTGAAATGCACCAAGCCTATTGTAAGAAATATTGACTTGAACTAGAATATTCTATCATCTATTCATTCAATCTAATCTAGGTTACAAGACCTTAACATTTAAATATTGTTTTATTAGATCGAAGGAAATGCAGAAAAAGGCCAATATATGTGCCATATGCGACTACCAAACGCACTATAAGAATCATCTTTGCATACACCAGGAAATTCACTTGGCACCGGAGGAACGACAAATGTTTGCCTGCGCGCCATGTAACAAGAAATATACGTCAAAGGGCGGTTTACAATACCACCTTGATAAATATCATATGGATTCCAGGTAAATTAAGAGTTAATAAGAAAAATTAATTATGATGTTTGCAATGTACAGGGTGGGTCAAAGTTGACGCTTTTAAATGGAAACACCCTTTTCTGTAGGAGATAGACAAAAACTAATATCGGTGTCTGGAGCTCAATTTTTGTCAAAAACAAGATGTTGAAAACCGCATATCGATATCTGTTATACTCTGTTTTTTTTCTCAGGTAAGATTTCGACAGACTATGACAGAAAAAAAGCAGATGACTTCCATACCAATCCATTTATTTCACTAAAAAAAGTTTCTAATATTTTTTAAGTTAACTATGGATGGGTTTATAAGTAAATACGTCATGCGTCGTCTCTTGTTGTTTTTAACAAGTTTTATTGGTTTATTTCAAAAACACTCAGACAGATCATGTTTCAATATTATTGGTTTGACGCAACGATAACGACAAACGGACTCCGATGCGTATGAACCCGACTTAAGATTTTTGAGAGTTGTCAAACTCTCAAAAATTATAGGTTATAATTTTGTGTCAAATTTTTTGGACTGTGTTGTTACTTGTGTTTCGTGTTTTTAAAATTAAGTGGAGGAAAACTCGAGGGAAAATTAAGTGTTGACCCAGACCATAGTTTACAGTTAATATTCGGTGCCCAGAGACCGCCAGAAACACAGTTTGCCAGACACTATGGCCAGAGAGTTGTATTAGCCACAAATAAAGTTGTATACCATCTCGTATATGGTACCAAAAACTGGAGTATCTGTAAAATAACATCACACGATAGGTAAATAATACATTTTAGTACTAGCAGACAAAATTAAGATTAAAGTTAATTAACCAAGATTAGACTTTTTCAGTTTTATACAGTTTTAAAGTAATCACTTGTCACTCAAAATTTAAATATATTAATTATGCGTTCCAATTGTACCAACATATTTCTTTGTAAAATAAAATAAACAACTTTGAAATTAAAATGACAGACACATCTATCACTGTCAAGGATTTTGTCGTTGGACAGACTATACCGTTTCGGAGTTACGGGGTGTTTTTCAAAAATATGCATTTTTAACAAATCGCTGTAACTTTTTTGCTATGGAAAATTTTGTATTTTTATGAAAACATTTCCAAAGCACATTTTTACGTAGAATTTAATGGTTTAAGTAGGTATAATTTTTTTAAAATTAATAATTTAAGAATTATCCACAGAAAATTTGATTTTTTTTATGTGACACTCTGTATATTTTTAATTTATTGAAAATAATTTAAAATTACCTTTCCAAAAATATAACACACTTGATATTTTGCTCGTTTCCTCTTCGAGATATCGAGTATACAAAAATTCGCCCGCTTTAAATAAGTAGGCTTTGAACGGCACCGGCTGTAATGCAAAAAAATTCTAGCTGTGAGCATCAATTAAAACGAAAATAATATTTGCTATGAGAGATGCAGAATTTTATAACAATTTAAAATATATTTAACCAACATCAACACATTTAATCTATATCTAATAACAATAAAAATAAATAGCAAACCAAGACATGATATTTTGCTACAGGTGTTCGACATATCGACCGTCTTCTGTTATGGACAGACGGGGCAGTTTTGAACATTTCTCGCGGAATTCATTAACTCTGTGGGGGTGAAAGATACCCTCTTATATCTGCTAAGTATTTCTAATTCTTGTCTAGATTATACGGCGGAATAAGGAACCTTTATTCTTCCGCAGATATATTCATAGGATTAGATCCATGGGCACTAAGTTAGGCGGCCTCGACGGCCAACGGCTGGGATCTTGGTTAGATATTAAATTATTTTTGAAATTGGCTGCAAAAATTTGCTGATAACTTCAGCGTTCAGAGGCGGTGCGTCGTCTTGCTGGAAAAATATGTTTTCGAGTTCCATTAAGGGCATATCATCAATAAGGGGTCCAAAGCCTACTAGTTAAAAGTGGCGAACTTTTAAAAATTCTGTATTTCGAAGGGGATTATAACAAAATATCAAGTGTGCTATATTCTTGGAAAGGTAATTTTAAATTCTTTTCAGTTAATTAAAAATATAGAGGGTGTCCCAAATAAAAAATCAATTTTTCTGTTGATAACTTTTAAATTATTAATTTAAAAAAAATTATACTTAAACCATTAAATTCTACGTAAAAAGGTGCTTTGGAAATGTTTTCATAGAAATACAAAATTTTTCATAGGAAAAGAGTTACAGCGATTTGTTAAAAATGCACATTTTTGAAAAACACCCCGTAACTCCGAAACGGTAACAGATATTGATGTGCGGTTTCCACCATCGTGTTTTTGATGAAAATTGCGCTCCAGTCACCGATATTAGTTTTCGTCTATCTCCTATAGAAAAGGGTGTTTCCATTTAAAAGCGTCGAATTTGACCCACCCTGTACACTCACTGGCACGAAAAACTGGCACTTTTGATATACGTATTTCAAAGTTTTATATATTTTGTTCTAGTGTGCCGATTTTGATGTTTTTTAAGCAATTTGTAGCTAAGTTTTAGTGTATTTTTCTGAATTAAAAATGAAGTTTTCTTCTGTCAATTATACGAGGGGAAACAAAATGTTGATATTTTGATGAAAGCTTGAAACACCCTGTGGAATTTGTTAGCAATGCAAGGAATTTAAAATACATTTTATCACCTAGCTACATCTTTTCCCGATAGTTTCTTTTTCGATTCATCTCAATATCTTTATTTTTATTGGGGATATTCGCTTTTATATAAGACAGTAACTATGTATAGCGATTTTAGCATTGATTTTGGGTCCTCATCAACACACTTATAAAATAGTGTTTACTGTTTTATATACCAGGTCACTGAAAAGTCATATTCTTATTGGGCGGATTCAGTAAACACACCGGTATCAACCGGTAAAGACCTACCGATAACTTTTTATTGAACGATCGAGACAACAAAAAATGTGATAGATGACAATTATGACAAACAGCGCCGACCGGTATGTACATTAACCGGAAACAAAATACGGTAAGCTCTCAAGTGATCGGTGACCACTACCGGTGAGTTATCATTGGCATTCACTTTAATTTTCTACACTGGTGGACTAACCGGTGTGTGTACTGAATGCGCCCATTGTTTATTGACGTTTACTCTAATAGAGAGCTGCTTTAATTGATATGTAGAGATCAACTTTTGGACTTAAAACCACATCTGCGAGAGTAATGGTGGGTTCATACAGCCAAATAAAATAAGAAATGAGGAATTCTTATTTGTGAGCGTTCATACAGCCAAATAAAATAAAATAAGAAATATATATTTGCTCATGCGCAGTACAGAGCTGGATAAAAGTTAACTGTAATGATTGTTTATAGTAATTTTACTATTTATAGTATATTTAGTTATTCGATGCATACTATATTATAAATTTATACTTATGTAAAATTATAAAATAAATTAAATCCAAACTGAAAAATTTGTAGGTTAGAATTAAGCTTGATTTTCATGCATCCGTTATCCGACGACACGTTGATACGATATTAATTTTATTGGTTGAATTTAAAGACTTTGATTGGTTAGAAACGGTTAACCAATCGAAGCCTTTAAATTCAACCAATAAAATTAATATCGTATCATCGTATCGTCGGACAACGGATGCATGAAAATCAAGCTTTAAGCGTGCGCAAAGTCGTTCTCACATAAAATAAAATAAATTAGTTAAAAGATAACCAATTCTTATTTTATTTGTTATTTTATTTAGCTGTATGAACACGTGTACGGTATCTTATATAACCAACTTTCTTATTTTATTCTTATTTTATTTGACTGTATGAACCCACCATAACTGTCCAACCGACAATAATAATATGATTTTTCAAGGACAGTGACATTACATAAATCATAAACACTATTTTATAGGTCTGTTGACTGGGACCAAAAGCAAAGGCTATATATATGGTTTTAATGTAAAAAATACGAAAAAAATACGAATTGAAGACGACACTAGTCTTCAAAAGCGAGTATCTCCAAAAGAAATACAACTATTGAGATGAACCAAAAAACAAACTATTAAGAAAAGATACACCTAGATGATAAAATAATTTTTACATTCCTGGTTTTGTTAACGTATTCCACAGGGTGTTCCAAACTTTTACCAAAATATCAACATTTTGTTTTTCCTCGTATAATTGACAGATGGGAACTTTCGTTTTTAATTTAGAAAGAGACACTAAAAAGCCAAATAATTTAGCTACAAATTGCTTAAAAAATCATCAAAGTGGGTTCACTAGAACACAATATATAAACCTTTAAAATACATGAAAATTTTAAGGTGCCCTGTGAGTGTATTCATTTTTTAAAGCCGGTGAATTATGTTACGGTTAAGATCTGATGTCCAGTTAATGTCGACATTACCCGGTTAATCTCGAGAATAACACACAACAAAACAACCAAAACCATAACCAAATCCAAACATTAACCTGTTAATGTCGACATTAAAGGGACATCGGACTTTAACCGTAACATATATATTCTTAACTGTGCAAAATAACGGCAATTATCAAAAAAACTTATTGAAATATTGCCATTTGAACAAAAATGTCCAGGCACATAAATATTTTGTCATTTTAATTGTTTATTGTTTCCAGAAATGCCGATTGTACATCTTCAACTGATGAAGTGGTATTAGATTCTTTAAAAATTGAAATGGATGAACTTAATTCCCTTTTGAATGACACTAAGTATGTTTTTAAGAGTATTTTTACTAATATAATGATAATAATGTAATTCATTAATTCCAGAAGTCCTGAATGTGTATCTGCCACTAATGAAATAAAATCAGATTTTATAAAAACAGAACCTGATGATGTCACCCCAATTATGAACAAAGACATGCACGATGACTTTAAGTATGTTTTTTTAATGGATACAATATTGTTTTTTAAATATATTTCTTATTGTTTCCAGAAATATCGAAAGTGTATATATACCTAATAAGGTGAAGTTAGAAGACTTTATAAAAATGGAACCTGACGATAGCGTTTTGTTTCTGGATAAAGATACGGATAATTAAATGTAGGACATATTTGTAACATTGAAAATTTTGAAAAATCTGTTTTGTTTAATTTTCATATGTAAACATTTTCAGTCTTAAGCTGTATACAATATGTTTGTATTAATTTGTGATAAAATTTTTGTAATTTTTATAATTAAATTTGTAATAAGTTTTACAAAATATATTGTAGTTTTATTTTTATTATATTATTATCGTAATAAAATTGATAATCATAAAACTTTGTATTGTTCTATATTATTTAGCAACATTTTGCTGTTTTTTTGAATATGTTTAATTTCAAGTACGCCACTGTCTGTGATCATAGGATCACAGCGCACAGTGCTAGATTCAAAGTTTTCAGACTGGTTTCAGATTCAGATGTCGGCCGGTATATTTAATGGTGGGGGATCGTTGGAAAACATCGATACTGAGTTTATTTCAAACTTCACGCTCACTAGACGGTCACGCTTATTAGCTTATGGATAGTACAATTCTTTTCGACCGCAAAATTACTCTGTAACGGTTGGTCTTTTTATCCCTTCAACTAAAAAACAATGCATGTAAAAGTTCCAACCGAAGTTGGGATGCTTGGGATGCATAAAAACAGCCGAGAAGCAATCAGCGTGCTAGCGGCCGCTATTCTTTTTCTGTTACTCTATGGTTACTCTGGCAATCGTGAAGGCTGTCAAATATGACATTAGACGTCACGTAAGTACCACGTGACTATTGTTTGCTATTGTTATTTGTGATTGTTATTGTTGGTGTTGTTCAGTGTTGTTGGTTGGTTGTGTGGCTCTTGAAGATTTTGTGGTTATAAATTGTTAGTTTATTATAATTATTTAAAATATAAATATCACCTATTAATCTCTGTTAATTGCTCTAATTTTGGTCCTGTACAAGATTAACTTATACTTTTAAAAACTAACAATTCTAGAAACTGGATATACCTATACTGAATTCGGTTCATTTTTCCCTTTAATAGGTATATTGATCTTTTTTATCAGAAGCTATGGATAATATAGATGAAGTAATAGATTTAAAACCGTAAGTATTATCTTTATATTGTGTAGCCAAACTAGATTTTGTCGATGTAATTTGTTGAAAGTGTAAAATTTCTATACTGCAGATTCAACTGTAGATTATGGTTCAAAAGATTGAAATACGTATATGCTATGCCATTATAGGTATATCTCACTAAAGGCTTATTTCATAATATTTCTTTCGGGTTTTTTATTCAATAATGATAGTGGAATTACAATTTTTATTGTAAAATAAATACAAGCTGATATTTATAGGAAGTATATGCTGTGAAATTTAATGTTACAGCCCAACAGATGCTGCTTTTAATAATAAATCAATAAGTTTGGAAAGCGTTAAACCAGAAATTAATATTTCCGAAGAATATATAAATGGATCATCAGATAATAAGTTTGAATTGTAAGTATAATTTTCTAAATGTACATGTTTTGATTCTGTGGATTTGATTGTTTTATTCTTATTTGTTTTTAATTTTTACTTATGTTTATTAAAGTCAAAGAAGCGATAGCCATACCTTACTAGCCTCAACAGATACCTGAGCAATATATCTTTTTATATTAGACTGTATTAAAAAAACCTCTTTTATTTTTTGTTTAGAGGCTATTGGTTCTTTTATCATAATATTTTTAATAGCTCGAAAGAAGCTGGGAAAAAAGTCTGTCAGTGTACCATATGTGGCTTCCAAACGCTATATAAATCAAATCTTCATCAACACAAAAAAACTCACTTGGCACGGGAAGAACGACAACTGCTTCCTTGTGGGCACTGTGGCAAGAAATATGCAAGAAAACAAACCTTAGAACATCACCTTGAGGAGAACCATACTGATTCCAGGTACATTTATTTTGTGTTATACATTGATTATATACAGTGTCACAGATAAAGTCTTCGTGCTTTATTTATTGATTTCTTTCTTTGAATAAGAAGACTATAAGAAGATTTCTTTGAATAAGAAGACTAAGGAAGGAGCATATCAAAAATCTTAGGTACACCCTATGGGTACACCGCGATGGGCCTCAAATATGGCCAACTTAAATTCCGGTTTATCAGTGTCGTTCTAATTTTATTTAAAAAATGTAAAACTATGATGTAGGGTAGACGTGGGGTAGACTCAATAATTTGTTGTTTTATTTTACGTTGTGAATAAATGTTGGTAGTTATTAAAATTGTTATAAAAAAATATATAATTCTAATAAAAATAGATAAGTTATAATAAGTATTTATTAACACAAACATCCGATACGCTACTGAAGCAGGTAAGTCAAATTAACGTATCTAAATTCTTTGACATCTAATCTTTGACAAGTAATAAATAAAAGCTAAAAATGCAAAAGAAAATATATAATTTAGTTAATTTAAGTGAATTTCATAAATGATCGGTTTACTACACGTATGTATATTATATAGTCACTTACTAGCGAAAAGTTGTTCCATTATTTCACTCAATTTTTGCCGAAATCTACCGCACGCTACACAACCAACTATTTTAGAGTCTTTTTCGATATTTTGCTATAGTGTCACTGTTAATTTAAGTTCTGCCACAATTTCCATCTAGTTTTACTACCTTTATACAACTATCAGTAGTAGAATAAATAACAAATAACATAAAATAAGCTCCGTAAAGACTGACAAATCCACAAAATTTCAAATCAAATTCAAATGTGTCAAATGAATCGTCAAACAGAACTGTCAAGGATCCCCACCCTAGAGTGCTTTTTCCGCCCACCATGCATGAATACATGGATAGCATTATGTTCCTTCCTTATTCAAAGATTGATTTAGATCAAATTTGACTTTAGGAGTTTTGACTTTTTGGGAGTATGCTAAAAATTGGGTATAGTGGGCGAATTTTGAAATTTTTATTTGAAAAAGTTGTTGAAATAACTTAACCATTAATAGGCGATTGTTGTGGCAAAAGCAAAATTTACTTATGATAGTCCAATTATTAGTCAAATATTTATCTAGTTTTCACGTATTCGGTTAAATTTATTATGTCAATATTAATAGTTTTTACAGGAAAATAAATTTAGTTGTAAAAAAATTGATCAAACTGAAGCAAAATATGAATAACTTCTAAATACTAAAAAATATAAAAATGTATTTTTGTTTAAGCATAATATGATATCTGATCAAATTAAAATTAAAGTATTACAGAAAAATTGTTCAACTAACTTACTACTATAGGGGGCCTGATTTTTAAAAAATCTAAACTTGAATTGAGTAATTAGACAGAAAAATGTATATAGTAGTAATGATGTCACCTCAATATACAGGGTCGGCAATAGTGCGTCGGGCATCTGTAGCTTTTGGAATAAAAAACTTGAGAATTTTAAGTACAAACCTAGAGCAGCCTAGAGTATGTAAATTTCAGGAGAATATTTTAACTTCTATAGGGTGGCTCAAAAAAGTGAGTGGATCGGGATGATTTTTTTTAAATGGGACACCCTGTATATTATTGCAATTTTGGTTTCCTTTCAGATCACTTTACATAATCCTAAGATATGAGTAAACATATTTCGATAATTTCAGAGATATTAATAAACAAATAAAAAAATATATATTTTTCAATCTTCTTTAAAAAAAATAGTATAAAAAAGTATTTCAAAATTTTTAATGGTTTTGCAGATACACGCACTATTATTTCATATGGGTCTTTCAACGGTAAAATACGAGAGAAAAATCATTGGGTGGTTATGATAAAAATTTACTATGGAAAATGCCATATGAAATATAACAGCGCTTTCAGATGGAGCGGACCGTCCGCGACGGACCGTCCGTCGCGTCGTGTTTTGTCAAGATAGCCGTCGGACGAACTCCGTCGCGCGTCGGACGGAGCACACGCGCCCATGTGAAATTGTTCATATAAACTCATGGTACTTGCTCGAAATCGCGGACGCTCCGTTGCGGACGACGGTCCGCTCCATCTGAAAGCGCTGTAAAACCGCGATTATTTTTGTTAGTTTAACAGTCGTTTGTGAATTATAACGGGTTGATACGTGAGGTATCAACCCGTTCAATGTAACGGGTTTGGTTAGGTTAGGTTAGGTTAATTTGATAAACCATGATTTATAGAGTTACACGACTGTAATATTAAAAATTATTTTATTAGGGCGAAAGAATTGATTAAATCACAGAAAAAGGTCTATAGATGTTCCTCATGTAGCTACCAAACACAAAATACTTCAGGTTTGAGCCATCACAAGAAGGTTCATTTGCCACCGGAAGAACGTCAGTTGTTTGCTTGTGCGCATTGTGAGAAAAAATATACGTTAAAAACGAACTTAAGACGTCACTTTCAGGATACTCATACTGATTCCAGGTAAATTTATTGTTAGCATAAGAATTACTTCTAAATCATAATACCTATCTCCTATCTGGTCATCGAAACTGCGTGATCTTTATTTTAACGTGTAAGACAGTGATGTAGACAGCTTAAATGAAAAATCGAATGTATTAGGAAGAGATAAAAGTTAGATTGATATAATAGATTTCTTGATGTCCTGTGTCGTTAATAGATGCGGTATTGACGGATTTTGCATCAAAATTTCAAACGGCACAAGTAGGTATTTACGAAAAATGTTGCATCTTGGGTTGGAACTTTATTTTTCACAATTAGTTACTCATACAACTCATACTCCAAACCAAGGCTATATGTATATTATAACTTTAGATTATAACGGGTAGATACCGTGAGGTTATATATTTGACGGACCCTGTTTTGTAGTTACAAGACTGTAATATTACAATTATTTTGTTAGGACGAAAAAAGTGAAGAAACCACCAAAAAAGGTCTACAAATGTACCATATGTGACTATCAGACACCATATAGCTCAACTATTAGGCGACACAAGAACGTTCACTTGGTAGAGGAAGAACGACAGATGTTTGACTATGCGCAGTGTGACACGAAATATAGACCAAAAAATGGTTTACAATATTCAAGGTAAATTAATAGTGAATATAAGAAATATTATTTATGATAATTCCAATATCATATTTCATTTTATTTTATTTCAAACTGTTAACGCCAAGCCGTTTAATTTTAGTTAACTTGTACCATTTGTAAATAATTTTTGAGAGTATACGATGTCGAGGAACTCTTGTTTTATAGATTTACACATGTGTAATATTCAAGAACTATTTTATTAGGATGAAGGAATTGGAGGAATCGCAGAAAAAGGTCTATAGATGTACCATATGTAACTACCAAACGTTACATAGGCCCAATCTTTACAAACACAAGAAAGTTCACTTGGCATTAGAAGAACGACAGATATTTGCTTGTGCGCAGTGTGACAAGAAATATATGTCAAATCGGAGGTTACAAGATCACATTAAGCGTAATCATATTGATTCGAGGTAAATTAATTAACAATGTAAGAAATATTAATGATGAATTTAATGCCTTTATGGTCACATATTCATTCTTAAATTAGTAATACCAGAAATTCTTTAAATCTTAGTTATGTCAAATTATAAAACTGAGTCGTTGGTTCATCGACCTGAGGAGGATGCTCTCTCTCTCTTGACTATTCTATTGTACCTTTCCGTATGTAAAAAGACTACAATGCTTTTATAATGTACTGAACAAAGAGAGAACAGTAAAAACGTTGCCAAACTTAGAAAATAGAAAAAGGATACTTAAAAGATGATAAAAATAAACTATTATTATTATGATATAATGTATCACCGAAAAAAACAGCGTCAAAGTTGGCTTGGAAATGGAGATCGTGTTCATTTTATAATAAAAAAAATATATGGCCGAGAGTCAAACTTGCGAGACTCCCCCGTTTTTGAGAAAGCTCACAGACGCCGAGTTGCCTTGGTTCGGTTCCTTGGGCGCCACCCCCAACGTTTAAAGTGTTTGAGAGACCACTAGTGCCAATACGGGTAGCTTTTATACAGTGGAGATACCAGGGAGTGATGAGATGAAAAGAAAATAAAACACACAATTAACTATAACGTAACACTAGGTTTTTATTTAACTAATTAATTATGTACAACAGTAATTAAAGAAGGTTCCCGTCCTCGAATTGTAACAATAGTGAAATAAAATGTATATTTAGAGACCCGTAAAGTAAAATTTACAATAACAACCGTGCACCTCTAGAGTTTTGATCGATTATTCCCGATACGTAACTCTCTGACTGATTCTATCCCGCGAATTCAAAACGCGTTCCCGAAATGACGTTCTATTAAAGACGACGCGAGTTCCTGATCGGCGTCGAATTTAGCGGCGTCCTAATGAACACAGACACGTAGATACCGGAGCAACACATTCTACTACGACGCGACTCTCTAAACGGCGGCGACGTCGTTACAGGCGTCCCGATGGTCACAGCTAAATATTTATCGGAACGGCGTCCGTTTTGACAGCGAAACACGGACCTCGGATCGGCGTCGGAGTTAAAAGCGTCCCGTGATACACAAACGCGAGTCCTGGATCGATCCCGAAGTTAACAGCGTCCCGAGGGATACACACACGCGAGCGCTGGATCGATCGCGAAGTTAACAGCGTCCCGTGGGATACACAAATGCGAGTCCCGGATCTATCGCGAAGTTAACAGCGTCCTGTGGGATACACAAACGCGAGCCCTGGATCGATCGTGAAGTTAACAGCGTCCCGAGGGATACACAAACGCGAGCCCTGGATCGATCGCGAAGTTAACAGCGTCCCGAGGGATACACAAACGCGAGTCCCGGATCGACGTTGACGTTAGCGACGTCTCGGCGAGTTGTACGTCGTTCGGATGAGCGCAGCCTGCACACACACCGCCCGGTCAGGACAATCTGAACGTTCGCGATCCGTGCGTTTACTGAACTACCCTGACTGTCCCTTAAGAAGATGAATTAATTATTAGCCTGTAATTAGCTTTTCCTAGAGATACACTGAACAGGCGCAGATAGTCAAACAGAACCTTTAAAAGAAAAGGCCACCATTCCTGACGACCTACCCGTAGCACAGCGTAGTCCCTCTTTTGCCTGGTCGGCAACCCTAGTAATTTTTAATATTAATAAAGAAAACTAAAAACTCTCGTCTCCGCACCCGAAGGATATACCATACCGGAGTAGATAGTCAAACAGAACCTTTAAAAGAAAAGGCCACCATTCCTGACGACCTACCCGTAGCACAGCGTAGTCCCTCTTTGCCTGGTCGGCAATGGTTGTTCTCCCGCGCTTTTAATATCCTAACAATCCGGTCAACTAACTCCCTTATCCCTATAACACGTCCAGGTAGTCGAGTAAACGCTTAATAACTATAAAAATAATACGACCTACCCTCGATCACTTTGGCGGTGGGTGCTTACCTTATACAGTGCGGCGACAGGCGGCTGGCAGCAGGACACTTGGCAGGGCACTCCGGACTTGAACCTCACTGTTTCGCGTGCGGATACGATACCAACTCCCTAACTCAGTGTTGCCACTACCAAAATTTTATTTTCGGTAGATAACTTGGTCAAAATTCGGTAGAAATCGGTAGATGGGATATTTAACACGTATTTCTATTAAGATGTGCTAAAAGTAAGTCATTTTTGGGGTATAAAAAAGATACTTGCAAAATACAAACAACACAATATCGTTTTAGTTCCAAAAAATCAGAATTTTTTCCTATAGACCGTCTTGCAAAGCCCCTCCAAATATAGGTATATTGCCTAAAATTATTCCAACATATTTTTGGATACTTTTAGGAAGTTTAATTTTAACCTAGGTACTTAATAATTCAAAGTTAATAATCGTTTAGCAACAGTGGAATTCACTAGATACATAGATAGTTTACTACTAATACTATTTTTTGGAAATTTGAGACTTTTTCATCCTTTTATCCTTAAAAAAGCACAACCTCTACTTAGTCTTCTTTATAGGTTTGAAAGATCGGGATTTCCTCCCGTAATGGAATAATTAGGATTAGGAACATCTATACAAAAATAAGTGTAAAAAGTAAAGAGGGTACCCTCAACAAAACAATGAAAATTTCTCTGATAAGGTGTACGGTAATTTCCCTACGGTTGTTTATATGTCATTGGTCGTATTTGTGAGTCAAGAAAATATAACTCATTAGAAATTTTGTACAAATTGTACTATAAAATTCTTTTTTAATATCTATGACACTAAAATATTCCGAAGAATGAAAATCGGTAGAAAATATAGTCTTTTCGGTAGATCGGTAGATGGACTGCCAAATCGGTAGATCTACCGAAAAATCGGTAGAAGTGGCATCACTGCCCTAACTGGGGCTGCTGCAGCCAAGGTACTCGACTGACGCTCCCCTCCACTCGGCCTGCACCAGCAGAGTAGGGCGAGCGGCGCAAACGGTTCGGTTTTTCGCATTAAACTATAGCGACCAAAACCGATCAAAACTCTCTTACAATATGGCAATTAAATATTTAACTTATTTAATTCAACAATAGGAACCCTAATGAAGTTCATTACAATAATGATTTAACAATAAAATACATGGACTGTCATTATTAAAAGAAAATAAAGTCCCTATTATTCTAGTATAATATTAACACAATATACAGGGTGTCCTAGAAATTTTATGAACTTCATTACAAACTAAAACCAAAAATTACGGTTATATACAGGGTTTGTCGAATTGTATTCCGGAAACTTCGGCAGCATATTCTGCAGATTAAAATAAGTAAAAAAGTTCGTATAAATGTATGTCCTAAAATGCTTAGTTTCGGAGATACAGGGTGTAGAAATTTCATTTTTATTTCGATTTTTTAAAAATAATTTAAGAAGTAACGTCAATATTTGCATGAAAATTGGTGTCTGGCAGTTTTTGGACATGAGAAATTTGATTTTCATGTCAATATGACTCCTACTTGTAGAGCTTTCGTCCATACCTGTATAAAAGTACTGAGTAAAAAAATATACATTCACAACTTTTTTACATAAAAAAGGTCTCTTGGTAAAAATCGCTACGAGTAATGTTTCTCGAGATATTTGAAATTGAAATTATCAATACCTGTCATCATTGACAAATTAAACATGTTGACCAAATAGTTATTAGACTGAAATCTTAAATTTGAAATCTTTTTGTGTCAAAAGTTCAACAGAAACTGTTTAATCATCATTTTTTCGCAGAAAAATTTATGATTAATTTTAAAAAAATAAAAATTTATTATTTCAGTCAAATAACTCTATTCAACGTGTGCTTATTTTGTGTCAATAATGACATGTATTGACTATTTCCATTTTAAATATCTTGAGAACGGTTCCTCGGAGCGATTTTTACCAAGAGACATATTTTATGTAAAAAGTCATGGAAATGTATATTTTTTAGTCAGTAGTTTTATACAGGTACCGTCGAAAAGTTATTACTCTACAAAACAGTCAAAACGCAGTGTGCTTATTTTGTGCCAATAATGACATGTATTGACTATTTCCATTTTAAATATCTTGAGAACGGTTCCTCGGAGCGATTTTTACCAAGAGACATTTTTTATGTAAAAAGTCATGGAAATGTATATTTTTTAGTCAGTAGTTTTATACAGGTACCGTCGAAAAGTTATTACTCTACAAAACAGTCAAAACGCATGTAGGTGGCGCCCCCTACAAATAGGAGTCATTTTGAAATCAAAATCAAATTTATCGTATCACAAAACTCCCAGACACCAATTTTCATCCAGATATTGACGTTATTTCAGAAATTATTTAGAAAAAATCGAAATAAAAATGAAACTTCTACACCCTGTATCTCCGAAACTAAGTATTTTAGGACATACATTTATAGGAACTTTTTTAATTATTTTTATCTGCAGAATATGCTGCCGAAGTTTCCGGAATACAGTTCGGACCACCCTGTATACAAGGAAGTATCAGGGCCCCGATGCTTATTTTCATAATATCACAGATTAGGTATCCTATAAGTATACAGATAAAAATCTTGTCCCTAATTCGTGGTACGAAAATTGTTTTTTATGACGATGTGCAAAAGAGTCAAATTTCCTGTGCGCAAAAATAAACTCGCGTAAAATAACAATAAACAGCGTAATAGAGAGATATCGCTAAACCGAATAGCGTGCATGGACATTAATAAGGCCAGGTGTTATTTCCTTTACGTGAGGTGGTATTAAATCTCTTCATTTATAGTTATTGGATCGGAAAGGATTCTGTTCGCGTCGCGTCTGCTATTTAAACTTAACCTAACTTTGAATTTAAAACTTTGAAAATGTTTTGTTTACTAGGTATTTTAAAACTAAATGGCTAAAGTGCTTATTTCCAGTGCTTTATTGTTCAACGTCTGCCAGTGGGTTTAGGGCAACAAGCAACAAATTCTCTTAGAAGGGCTAAGTCGTCATCTGCTGTAAAACTAAGACTCTTTATAGGTTCTTTAGTATTGGAAGAGGAATCCATATTTTTGGGCCATATTTATTTAATTAAAACTGATCCCAGCTACTTAAATATGAAATTACCTAATAAACTAAAGCAATAATTCAAAACAATTCAAACATAACCTAAAATAAAAGATCTCGCCGGCCGGCTCCGGTTGTCAAATACCCGCACATGCCCATTTAAGCAATTTTTAAACGTTATCAGAGGTTATTTAGAAAGCGCGCTTGGTGTAATTGATCCGCAAATTACGTCAGGCGATAACGTTATTAGCGGATGTTGCGTTAAAAATTGATTCGCGCACATCGTAACCATGATAAGGTACGCGTAAATACTGGATGACGCTATTCGGTTTTCCGATATCTTTCTAATAACTGTGCCGGTCAGGCGCTGTGCACAATTTTAGAGGCCATAAGTGGGCGTGCTATGTGCGCAAACTAGTCACCTAATTAGTGCCCGATTCCGAAAATTGGAACCACGAAAATCAATAAAGAAAAAACAAAGATTATAATCTGTATAATCTGTGGTTTTATTATCTTGTATTTATCACTGTTTTAAAATTTGAAACTACTCAAAATAATGACATTTATTAAAAAATGTTCTTTGAAATATTGCCATTGGAGCAGAAATGTTTAGACACATATTTCGCCATTTTAATCTTTTATTGTTTCCAGAAATCCTGATATATCTGCTGAAGTGATATTAGATTCTTTAAAAATGGAAATTGATGATCACGCTCTGCTTTTGGATGAATTTACGTATGTTTTTTGTTTAAATGTGCTTTTAGTAATGTCATGTTAATAATGTAATTTATTAATTCTAGAAATGATGAATGTCCGGCTGTGACTAATGAAGTAAAATCGGAAGGTTTTATAAAAACAGAACCTGATTATATCGCTCTGAGTCTGAATAAAGACATGCACGATGACTTTAAGTACGCTTTTCTTGAAATGTGTTTTTGTTAATGGATTGGTAATAATGTAATTTTATAATTCCAGAAATTCTGAATGTTTATCTGAGACATATGAAGTAAAATCAGATTTTATAAAAATGGAACTTGTTGATGTCGCTCCGTTTTTGAATAAACACATATATGATAGTTTTAAGTATGTTTTTTTAAATATATTTTTACTAATGGATACATATTATGTTTTAATTATTCTCTTATTGTTGTTTCCAGAAATACCGAAAATTTATCTGTAACTAAGAAAGTGAAGTTGGAAAATTTTATAAAAATGGAATCTGACAATGACGTTCCTTTAGATGAAGAAAATATTATATTGTAGCTTTATTTTGGTTAATTACAAAATCCGTAATATAATCAGTAATTTGAAGTTTTTGTGATTACACTGTTTAATATTAATTACACAACATTATTTGCTTTTTAATTCATTATATTATTGTTTAGTGTACCCCTATACATTAGACATCACTTATTCCTATACCGGGTGGTGCGTCGTTAACTATCCAATATAAACAATATACAGGGTTGTTCACCACATACGACACGGAGTATTGTAGCTAAACGATGAGATTTTTACAAGTTGTAAGTTTGGGGTTCGTTCAAGGACTATTAGAGCTACAATTTAAAAATATTTTTACAAGATACAGAGTGTCCCAAATAAATAAAAAATATCAAAGTTGTATTTTTTTAAATGGAACACCCTGTATATTATTACATTTTTAGTTTCTACGATTAAAATAAAGGTAAATTTCATTAAGGTTTATTATACTTAAACCTTACCGTTTTTGAAATATTTTCAATTTTGTGAAATTGCAGTAAAAATTTTAAAGCTTCATTTCTCCAAGGGTATCAATGTTTTTAATACTAAATATTAAATGAAGTTTATTTATTGATTAGTTATTATGTTGCATTAATAAAAGTAATACTACCTTATACAGAGTGTCTAAAAATTTATTTTAAATAATTATTAGCTTCAAACGGCAATAACTTCTTTAATTTAAATGGAATGCCCTGTATATTTTAGGAGAATCAGATGCACAATTAAATTGTCTATCAAATTGTATTATACTATTTTTTACCTATCCCTTCAAGTTTTCGTAGAAAATGCATTTTCTACGAATGTCTAATGCTTGTCTAATGGGCTTTAAGCCCCGTTCTCAGAACTGCGACTGTCGCCAGAGACACGACAAAAGAACCAATCAGATTTGTACAAAATTCAAACAGCTGTCATTTATAAACTCGACGGTTGACAGTTGGCTTTGGCCGTTTTGGGCAGATCTAACCTTACATTTTTGTTTACTTTTTACTTAAGAGTAGCAGAGTCTATAGTGCGTTTTTAGAGACGAAAGTGTTTAAAGTTTTGGTTTTTTGTTCGAGATTTTTAATTATGGATTTGGAAAGTAATGGTCTTGATGAAATTACCCTATTAGGGTTATTGGGAGTGACCATAAATTTGGAATCAGCATACTTCAAAACTAGATGTAAACAAAGCATCACGTGATCGCTCTTTACTATTCTATTGGCTGTAACGTCATTTGCTACGTGGTGCTACGGACGGCGAACCGCCGCGAACGGTAAAAAGTTAAACATAATTCAAGTCCGACGGCAACCGGGCGCCAAAGCCAACGCCAACCGTGTTTATAAATGCTCTTATGGTAATATACAGTTTTAAGAATTGGGCGGCGGCGCCAACGCCAAAGCCAAATCCAACTGTGAGTTTATAAATCCTACTTTAAGCCCCGTTCTCAGAACTGCGACTGTCGCCAGAGACACGACAAAAGAACCAATCAGATTTGTACAAAATTCAAACAGCTGTCAATTTTAAATTTAGTAAAGCTCCCATTGGTCGTTTGAAGTGTCAATCAGTGTCGCTGTCGACACGACGCAGTTCTGAGAACGGGGCTTTAGACACAAATAAAACTGAATAAAACACTATAGATGGCTACATTTGAAAAGAAAAAGTAATTTATTTAATAAGGTGAAACTCCCCTAAACCTCGCCTAGGACACTTGTGTTTAGCCCTAGCAGGCAACTATTAAGCCTGACTAATCACGTTAAAGCCCCGTTCTCAGAACTGCGTCGTGTCGACAGCGACACTGATTGACACTTCAAACGACCAATGGGAGCTGTACTAAATTTAAAATTGACAGCTGTTTGAATTTTGTACAAATCTGATTGGTTCTTTTGTCGTGTCGCTGGCAACAGTCGCAGTTCTGAGAACGGGGCTTAAAGCCCCGTTCTCAGAACTGTGTCGTGTCGCTGGCTACACAGTTTGACATTTCAAACAACCAATGAGAGCTGTACTAAATTTAAAATTGACAGCTGTTTGAATTTTGTACAAATCACATTGGTCCTTTTGACGTGTCGCTGGCGACACAGTTTCATTTCAAACAACCAATGGGAGCTGTACTAAATTTAAAATTGACAGCTGTTTGAATTTTGTACATATCTCATTGGTCCTCTTGACGTGTCGCTGGCGACAGTCGCTGTTCTGAGAACGGGGCTTTGAGTTTTTGACAAACACAAATGAATTAATTCAAATAACCACGCTAACCAACCTGATTGGTCAAGCTTAATAGTTGACTGCTAGGGCTAGACACTTCTTAGTTTAGCATAGGACGAAAGCATAGAGACGAAAGTCTCCCGCTAGCCGCTAGACTCTAGACGCTTCCTGTGGACAGTGTGGACATCTATGCTGTGGACCAGGGTTGCCAACCGTACGAGGTTCCTCGTACAAATACGAGATTTTTGACCTGCTGTACGAGGTACGAGGTACAAGATTTTGATAAAAGATGATTTGATACTTTAACGTGACTTTTTACGTCGGCTTGGGTAATATTTTATAGCATTAATGAGGATTGTCCAAAGGAGATACTTCACATATAGGCTTAAACCTTAAATACATATAAACTACACATGTAATTTTATAGACTAACTAATAAATGATTGAACCTATTTTTTATTTTTTTTAGAATGAATTACCTATTTTTTAAATCTCGTGGTCAAATTATTTATTAACATGTTTTCTCATTTAACTTCAATTAACAGATTAATATGTTTAGTGCAAATTTTTGTCTTTATTGCAGTTATTTTAAATGTTTATTAAATGTACGAGGTTTTTATCCTTTTTATAGCGAAATACGAGATTTTTACAAAGGATTTTTAGCTGTCTATGTACGAGGGAAAAAAGTTTTACGCTATGGTTTTACGGTTGGCAACCCTGCTGTGGACGCTTCTTGATTTTGTTTTTGTTTGGAAAAAGTTGTGCTGCGGATTGTTGATTGTTTTGTTGGTGAAGATCTAATACAGTTAATTATGAGTTAATAGTAGATTATTTTCTTTTATCTATGATTATGAGTTAATTATTCTATGATCAAATACCTGCAAATACATTTAAAAATTCATATTATAAGTTTCTATATTACTTATGTATACATAAAATATAAATGATAACACGTCTGAATATGTGTTATATCAAAGTTATATTAATGGGTATGCTCCATTGCTCTCTGTATTTGGGCCTATTCAAGATATTCTTATAAATTTTATTTCCACATGCTGGATGTAGCTTACAGCCGAACTGAACACAGTTTCTTTTTTTTCTGGTACTGACTTTTTTATTAGAAACTATGGATAAAATAGATGAAGTATTAGATTTAAAACCGTAAGTATTAATCCTTATAATATAATAATTAATATATAATCGCATTATGTAGAAATTTTGAGTTTTGAGTCATACCTTGAGAGGTATTGTTTTGAGAGGGTCAATGATTTATTTTATGTATCGAAACCAGATTTTGCTGATAATAAGTTGATATTTAAGTACAAGTTAGAAAGTACATGTACTGTGAAATTTTATGTTACAGCCCTACAGATAGTGCTTCTAATAACAAATTAGTGAGTGTGGGAGATGTTAAACAAGAAAATATTGTTTCAGAAGAAAATATAAATGGTGTATCATCAGATAATAAGTTAGAACTGTAAGTATATTTTTGTAAATATTTGTTTTAATTTATTGCTAACTATACGAGAGGGAGAAAAAGTATTACACATAAAGAGAAAAAGTGTTTGGTTTAATAAGATGTTTATTGTACGTTCCTGTTAATGGCATATCACCGTGAGTGCTTTTATACACACAAGAAACAAACATTGGTAATGCAGCTACAGTTTAACAAAAATCTCGTTAGTTTAACAGTCATCTGTGAATTATAACAGGGGTAGATAAATGAGGTTATATGTTTGAGGAGCCTTGTTCTACGGAGTTACAAAAATATACTTAAAATTATTTTTTTAGGACGAAGAAATCGCGGAAAAAGGTCCATATATGTTCCATGTGTAACTACCAAACGATATGTAAGTCAAATCTTCACAGACACAAGGCGCTTCACTTGCCACAGGAAGAACGGCAGGCGTATGTTTCTGCAAATTAAGTACACATTAAGACTATAATATTTAAAAATTATTTTTTAGGGCAAATGAATCACAGAAAAATGTATATAGATGTGCCCTATGTGACTACCAAACACAATATAAGTCAAGTCTTAGGCGACACGAGAAAGTTCACTTGACGCCGGAAGAACGACAGATATTTGCTTGTGCACAGTGTGACAAAAAATATATGTGTAATCAGAGGTTACAAGATCACATTAAGTTTAATCATATTGATTCGAGGTAAATTAATTAGCAATGTAAGAAATATTAATGATGAATTTAATCAATTAATTATTAATGGTCACATATTATTCAAGGTCGATTTATAAACTCTACAGTTGGCTTTGGATTTGGCGTTGGCGTTGGAGTTGCCGTCGACCGTTCGTAGCGCCGCAAAATCGCATTTATAAACTCGACGGTTGACAGTTGGCTTTGGCCGTTTTGGGCAGATCTAACCTTACATTTTTGTTTACTTTTTACTTGAGAGTAGCAGAGTCTATAGTGGTTTTGGTTTTTTGTTCGAGATTTTTAATTATGGATTTGGAAAGTAATGGTCTTGATGAAATTACCCTATTAGGGTTATTGGGAAAATTTGGAATTCCCATACTTCAAAACTAGATGTAAACAAAGCATCACGTGATCGCTCTTTACTATTCTATTGGCTGTAACGTCATTTGCTACGTCGTGCTACGGACGGCGAACCGCCGCGAACGGTAAAAAGTTAAACATAATTCAAGTCCGACGGCAACCGGGCGCCAAAGCCAACGCCAACCGTGTTTATAAATGCTCTTATGGTAATATACAGTTTTAAGAATTGGGCGGCGGCGCCAACGCCAAAGCCAAATCCAACTGTGAGTTTATAAATCCTACTTAATTCTTGAAATTAGTAATACCAGAAATTATTTTACGCTTGTGCAAATTCCATATTAGAGATTTTTATTATTTGATATTTTCCTTCCATTATTTTTGGTAAAATATTATGGGCAATAGTAGTGCACATTTCAAAAATATTTTCATATATATGCAATGTATGAAATGAGTTTTGTGTGGAACACATGTTTGGTATGGAGGTTAAATAAGATGGCGTTAATTTTTGAAGACTGTGTTAGTGGCGCGGCCTTTGGCGTCTAACCCGAACTATGAGCGCATTTTCGATATAGTAGGTTGCATTCATACCTAAATACTGGCGCCAAAAATTTAAAATTTGTATATTTGAACCGAATCTTAATCTTTCAAGTTTATAATAAGAAATCTTCGTAGTTTTTTTAGATTATTTTGTTGACAACGAAAATTTATTATTAGACTTTAAAGCATTAAAACCTATAAATAAAATACTGTGTAGGAACATAATAATTTATTTAACTCCATACTCCTTGCCATACTCCAACTCAAGGCTGCGATCTTCAGTATATTTTTTTATCTAACTTGATTGGGAGTGAACAGGGAAGCAGGGTTGGGAGCTCGCACAGAGTATCAGTAGGTATCCCGTAGGTATTCAATGTTTTTGATAGTCTTTATTCTATAACAAGAACCTAGCAGTTAAAGAAAATAATTTGTATTACTGGAAATAATACCAGGTGTAATACCTAGTCGTTCCATAGGTATCAGAAAAGAATGTGATGTTTTAAATTAAAAAAAATAAATTAGCAATATACGATTATTATGTGCACTCACTATTACTATTAGGTATGTTAAAATAATTACCGAGATAAAACTTACCTTTAAAGGAAACGTTTTGCCTGGGTCTCAACCACAAAACAAAAATTACAAAAATGCCGAATAATCGTGGAATCTGAAATAATCAATAATGACAATAATCTTCTCTTCTGACAAGCTAAAAGAACAGGCATATTCAGTTAAAAACAATTTATTACTCCGATTTGCTCCGTTTATCAACAGATTTTCGTTATCTCCTTCTAGAGCTAAGAAATAGAAAAAGCTACTGACAATTTAATTAATCCTGTCAAATGTTTAACTTGCAAAGTTGAAAACTTCCTTTTTTGACCGCCTAAACGCTATGCGCGTCTGGGATGCGCGGTGACAAAATAAACTTGTCTACGAAATGCCCTATTCCACAAGCCCCCTCACTTTAGTTATTAGTTTCTCTCTGGTCAAGACGTACATAACGATCGCTCTAAAGAAAAGTTAGATTCTCGCGAGAGAAACTGCAAACATTGCGGAAAAAAAGTTGTAACATCAATACAGTGTCACAAGTGTTCAGACTACTTTCATCTGGCCTGCATGATACAGACGGGTTTGCTAAAATCGGCTACTTGTCGACATGAAGCTAATGACAATTACCAAATGGGACGGTTGGAATCCAAATCACCCTACTGGGATAATGAAAAGCAGCTTTTATTAAGAATTATAAAGGAGCTGGAGGAAAAAAATCAAATTCTGCAAGAAAATGTAAGCCTACTGAAGGAGGTTCTCGAGTGTAGGGACAAGGAAATACAGCAGCACAAAAAAGGTAAACAAATCAGTGAAAAATTGGATTTGGCGGGAACGAGGAAAGTACTACTTTCCTCGTTCCCGTACCCCTAAGTAGGGTTAGCACCAAGTAATGTAAATATGAGCCGTGAAGATAGTGGCGAATCAAAAAACCCAACCATAAAAAACTATAATTTAAAAAACTAATAAACTAGTATTTTTTAAGAATATTCAAGAAGTTATAGATTATATATTTTGTCCTGATTGTGATATTATTGTTTGTGGTGATTTTAATTTTAATTATTTTAACAAGTAATGTATAAATTTTGTGAAACTAAGTAACATATTTGCCTCGTATGGACTACTTTACAGGGGTGGGTGGCCAACCCAGATAACCGATACGTCTGTTGCCTGTATTGATCACGTATTTAGCAATAATCATTATTTTATTTCTTGTGTAACTGATAATACCTTTTCGGACCACAGAACAACTTTGGGAGAGTTTAACATCTGCTTAGGGAAATCAAGTAAAGTCAATTTGTGGAAAAGAAATTATAACGAGGAAGCGATTTTTAATTTTAAACGATTTTTGGCCGCTGAAGCTTGGACTTCTGTGTATGATAACGTAACAATGTCTGAATCTTTCGAATGTTTTTTCAATATATTCCAATATTACTTTAATTCACATTTTCCCTTGCATAAAACTTACAAAGAAAACGGTTCAAAGAGTTGGGTTTTATGTGATGTTAAAACTTCAAGTAGTAATTTAAAAGATTTGTATGCAGAAGCAATTCCCCAAGTTCATTGTCTGTATATGGACAAAGGCTAAAATTATTGTCAGTGACAGATGGAAAATCGGGTAGAGTGCCAGATCTACTCATTTTATTAACAATTTCAATATTTTTAAAAAAGTTATTAAATACATTGGCTAACGTTGTTGGATCTTCAATCAACTCATTGTTATGGTCACGCAAGACAATATCATGTTGTTGCATTCTTTTATTTGTCATTTGGTTAACGACTTGCCAACAGGCCTTAGTTGTATTAGCTGATGAAAAAATTTTGTTTTGATAAAATATTCTTTTTGTATCCCTAACTAGTTTAATATGCTTCTTCTTCGCCTGCTTATAAAATGGTCTCAAATCTGGATTTATTTGGATAAGGAAAACTAAAAAACTCTAGGTCTAGTGAGTTTGATGACATTCTTAATTTTCTAATTAAACAAGTATTAATGTTCATTATAAAACCACTTACTTATCGGTCTTTCATTTTGTTCTGGGGAGTTCCCAAACCGGTTAAAAATAGGAAAAGTTATTCCAATATTGAAGGGCGGAAACGAGTGCAATGTTGAAAACTCTAGGCCAATTTTGGTGCCATCAGTTCTTTCAAAAATCTTTGAATATGTTTTTTTGAATCGTTTGCTTCAACATCTGAATAATACGGGGGTGTTGTCAGAGAACCAACATGGATTTAGAGGATTTTTTGTGATCACAGTAGGGCATTCGACTGTATTGATCTAGATAAATTCTTATTAATAATTGCAAATATGGCTTTTGCGGTAACTCGTTTGGATGGACCAAATCTTTTTTAACTGAAAGACAACAATATGTTTCGCTTCAAAATATTGACTATAAAAATAACATTAGAAACTTTGCATCCAATTCTATTGATATTTCCATTGGCGTCCCCCAGGGTTCAATCCTGGGTCCAATATTTTTTATTTTATATATAAATCAATTTGATAAAATATATGATGCCAGCGTTTTTACAGCTTTTGCCGACGATGTGTCATCTTTAATATCAGACAAGTCCGAAGTATCTTTAGAGCAGAATTGTAATAATTTAATTAAGACAATTGGCCAAAATTAAGGCCAAACCCCACCAAAACAATGCTTATGCGTTTTGATCATGCACAGAGGTCTGTTAGTGAAATGGAGGTCAAATTAGATAATAAAAATATTTCTTTTAGTGAGACTACTAAATACCTTGGACTTTACATTGACTCCAGCCTTAACTGGAAAGCACATTGTGCTCAACTCGTACCTAAAATAGGCTCCCCAAGTTATGTCTTAAGGCAACTAAAATCAGTTCTAACATCAGATCAATTAAAACAAGTTTATTTTGCTAATGTCGATGCAAAATTGAGGTACGGTGTCTGTTTTTGGGGTTGGTCAACTCTTTCTCGAGATGTCTTCATTGCTCAAAAGAGGTGTATACGGTCTCTGGCAGGTATAGCGCCCTCACAGAGTTGTAGGGACTACTTTAACAAATTTAGTATTTTAACCCTTCCGTCTTTGTTCATATATGAAGTGTGTCTATACGTTTTTCTCAACTATGATAAATTTAAGAGAAATTGTAATGTACATAGTTTTAGTACGAGAAGCGCCTTGGATTTGCATATAAGTATTTGTAAATCTTAGGTGGCTTATCGATCACCACACAATATAGGACCTTATATGTTTAATAATCTTCCTATTAAAATTAAATCCTGTAAGACACTAAACAAATTTAAGTTAAATTTAAAAAATTATTTGTTGGGAACGAGTGGACAACCGCGGCTAAATTTTTTTACACCATTGCCAAATTAATGCCAAAAATTGCCAACTAATGTCAAAAATGCCATCTATTGCCAAATAATGCCATCTATTGCCAAATAATGCCATCTATTGCCAAATAATGCCAACTACTGCCAATTAATTTTAGTAATTTCCATACTAATGCCAACAATGCCACTAATTCCTTTGACAATGCCAAACCGTACCGTGTAATTTCTGATGTAACAGTGGTCGCCATTTCGTTAGTTTTCTAGG